CAGGGGTATAGAGGGAGGTGTGGAAAGAAGTAGTCGAGATGTGAAGGGTAGTGAGGGAGGAAGAGAGAAGGATTCCTCATGAGAGTTTCGGTTAGCGTGATGCCAGGGATCTTTGTTGTGTGGAGTGGAGTGGAGTGAAGAGGAGAGGAGTGGTCTCGTTCGAAGTGGTAGAAGGTTATCGTAGATTGATCGATGGTTGGGTACGAAATATTTGTAGGAAGGGAGGAGAAGTTAAAGGTACGGTAGGAAGATGCAGGAGGAGAAGAGAAATTGAAAGTAGGGTAGGACGACGGAGGTTATCGTAAGATGATTGATGGGTGGGTACTGAAGCATTCGGAACGTGAACCTACCTCTCGGCAAGGTTGGGAGGAACGATAGACCGATTGTATTTTAGAATAGAGAAGCACGACAATAGAAGAAAACCAGACACCTGTGTTATTCAGGTGTCCCTCGAGAACCTTGCAAGTTGCCTAGCGAGACTGAAAAACGAAATCGATGAAATGAGATAATGAGAAAGATAATGACAGTGAGGGAGATGAGGTCTATGATGATGATGATGATCAGGAAACGGACAGACAGACCGGCCGACAATATATAGTCCAGGTCGGCTAAATTTCGCCGCTCCTGCATCAATCCTGCCCGCTCTCAGGTTGAATCAAAACAACACCCTCTGCCTAGATTAACAGAGCCCATCGCAGCTGGTCCCACCGGGTCCCAGCAGGTTTACTAATCCTTGCTGTCCGTCTCACCCACGTCTGCAGCTCCGGGTTGAAACGGCCTCGCCAAGGCGTCGTTTTCACTGGGTCCCGCAGTACGAAGAAGGGGGAAGCCTAGTGATGCTTGGAGTCGCTGCTGTCGAGGCATGCAATGCCACTCACTCATCGGGCGATGACGTGTGAAAACCCGATGGTGAAAACCAGGAGGGAGGACGGATGATGACCTGGGAGATAACCTACACTGTACCGGCAAGGTAGCCAGTCGTCCAGAGCATGTCGGCGAGGCTGAGCTGAAGTGGCTAGGGGGAATAGGCGGCGGCAGTGACCCCAGGGCTGTTGCGAATACAAAAGCCAGACGAAGGATGTCCCACCCAGAAACACCGATATCTAGCCAGCAGCTCTGTGTATCTCACGAAACGTCTCTCTCATCGGAATTATGAGAGAGTATCTTACAGTGCACGAAGCCTCGGTTTCCCTATTTGAGCAGCTACATCCGAGACAGCGTTCTTCACCTCTATTTATCTTTCTCTAAGCTGCAGGATGTATCGTGTATTTGATCTGATGTGAGGAGGAGTTATCTTCCAGCTCTTCGACGGGAGAATTCTGCGATTTGGCTCTCGAGCTGTGTATCGACTCTCTGAGAACTGTAGATCTCGAACAGTTAATATCCAAGGTGTGTGTCTTCAATGAACTGGAGAACTGTGAATAGGAATGACTGTGCGGAGATACTGTCAACTAGAAGAGAATCTCAAATGCTTAATATGTTTAATCACTGCGCAATGTCAGCGCAACGGAAGTCCTCCAGTATATCTACAGAACCTCGAATCCCTCCCAAAGGTCATGATAGCATACCGATGACGAGCCGGCGCGCTGATAAATTCTCTGTCAGCATTGCTGTGGAATGCCAGCATCGCTGCGAGCGTCATAGCCACATTGCGGACGCATCACAATTACAGGTACCAGAGCGAAAAATCAAATCATTATCGTAAATAGGTCGAGCCACTCTATCCAATATGCATAGCCACATTCAACAGGTAAACCTCCTCCTCCTCCTCTTCCTCCTCCTCCTCACCATCCTGCTCCCCTTCCTCCCCTCCATCGTCCTCATCTACTTGCTCATCTTCCCATTCATTCATCTATTCATCATTGATCATCTCAACATCCCATCATCTCGTCTTCACATTCATTCATACATCATCCTCTCGAATCGCTGCCGCCTCATACCCTCAACCTTCGAATTCAGTCTCTTTCGAAAAACATCCAGTCTCGTCTTCTCTTTTCGTCTTCCCGCCGTCATCTGACGCGTCTTGGTCCTCGTTGTCCGAGGCTTCCTCGTCCAACCGTCTTTCCAAACTGTCCTCGGACACGTCTTCGTAGGAGGATGTATCCTACTCTTCCTCCCCATCTTTCACCAGATTTTTCCCGCTCCATCTCCACCCTGGTGGTTCTGGTATGCCCTCACCTCCTGTGCGGCAATGGCCGTATTGTCGAATATCGGGCGTTTTCCTCGACCGCCAAACTGGTTGGGGGCGGGCCTAGGAGCAGCCGCAGTTTAAACGGTCAGGTGCTCATGTTCGGCCGTCGAAACGGCGGCGAGTCGGCTCAGGAGACCGAGGAAGCGCAGCATTGGGTGCGAGTGTCGTCTTCAACCGTTAAATCGACGCCGAGTAGGGCCAGAAACCGCCGCATCACATGCGAACCATCGATAGTCGACAGCCAGGTTGGTGGCAAGTAGCGCTGGGAGGGCGGACATGACCAGGTGGAGCTGGGCCGGAACGGCCTCGATGTGTGTGCTTTTGGAATGGAGCGTAGTCGTCTTGGAGGTGGCGCTGGCAAAAGGATGACCGGAAGGCTGTGTGTGGGTAGGAGTGATAGTGGCGGCCATACTTTCTGAGAGCGGGGGTTACAGAGAGATGTAGAATCAGGGTAGTTGAGAGGGACGGGATCGGGGTTGTAGTGAGGTGGTGGATAGTGATGGTAAGAGATGAGGGGGTTGTGGAGAGGATAGACGGGTGGTGGAGCGCTGGTTGAGAGGTGGGAGGTTATGGTATGAATGATGGTGGGGTACGAAGAGTGGGAGGGAGGGAGAGGATGCTGATAGTAGTTAAGGAAGAAAAGGGGAGGAGAGAGAGGAAGATGGTGGTGGGTGGAGAAGAAGGAGGAGGTATATATAGAAAAGGCGGGGGGGGGGGGGGGAGACTTTGTATCAATGAACCAACGGGGTGCTTGGATCTGGTCGCCGTTCAGTCTTTGGTGATGCTCGTTGCTGCTGTCGAGGCAGGCAATGTTACTCGCTCATCGATGGATGACGTGTGAAGCGCTGCCCGAGAACCACAGCACCCCGGGTCACGCCCTCTGCGCTACGTACCTGAAGTAGGTCAGGAACCGAAGATAATGATCACTGCTGGTACGGCAACAGGTCAACGAAGCAATGACGAGAGCACTTGTGAAAACAATGCTAACGGCGAAGAAGCCAGCGGAAAGCCGTGTGGGTGAAGGTGACTGGGAATCAGACAAAGAGAAGGCAGGAGAGATGGTCCACAGCGGAGCTGTTCGCCGATGAGCGGTGCAGCGATACAGCGATGCGAGCCTAGACTCGTTCCTACGAACGACGGACGTAGCGAGGACAGCTCCGTCAGACCTGTAGGTGGAGGAGGAGGAGAAGGAGGAGCAGGGGAGGGAAGCATTCCGAGAAGAACAAAAGTTTCCAGCAGGACTCTGTGTCTGCGGCCTCTGCAGGGAGGTGAGGGCCAACGATATGTGATTGTCTGTTCCTGGTGCGAAACATATACTGGTCTGATTTGCTATGTAATTTTTTATTTTTATTTTATTTTATTTTTGGTAGGCAGCGGAGCCACATCTTGTTGGCCGGTAGGGGGGTCGCAACGTCCGGCCAGCCAGCGTGGATAGGAAAACAGTGCGACGGCTCGACATAGTCCAGACAGGCTGCATGCGAAGTACATCGATATCTCTCACTCTTAGAACCACCGCACCGGTGTTCTGCATTTTCCTGACGGATCGGACGAGACCAGCCAGGTTTGTCCACTACTTCTAGGGGATCAGCATCAGAGTAGTCGATCCCGTCCGTCATTTTCCTAGACGGGTCTTCCTCTCTTCGCACCAAGCTAACTCTCTATCCATTACCTCGGCGTGGTGTGAATACATTATCTTACCTTACGTCACTATATTTCTAACACATACTTCCACCTACGTTGCAGTCTTGCAGACACCACTCCTGTAGGCAGCTGAATCGTTCCTTCCGGTGCACTTGTCAATATTAACATCGAGACCGTTTTCAATAGATATGAAGATACTCGTAGTCGTACCTCCCACCTTCGATACCTCCCACACCTTTTGAGAAGACGAATACTACTAAGGCTACAGCTGTGGCAACGGCGCTGATCTCACTTTAGACAACCAGGAAAAGCGTCCGATTAAGTACCCGGGTATCCGGTTCCGTTCGCAGCCGTGGGAATTTGGGCTGCTGCGAACAAAAAAGCCGGGCAAGCCGCGAAGGATGTTGCAACCGAAAATGGTGTCATCTGGCCAGCATTTCTGTGTATTTTATGGAAGCTCTCTCTCAGCGGAAGTATGAGATACTGCCGGGTAGTGCTCGAAGACACGGTTTCTGTATGTAGCAGGTACATCCCGGTCATCGTTTATCACGTGTATTCATCTATCTCTGGGCTGCGAGATGCATGTAATCCGCTGCCGAGACGAAAGCTTCGAGGTCTTCGGCCGGGGCGTTCTGGCTCAAGAGCTATGTGTCGGCTTTCTGGAAACTCTAGACACGGAACCATCGACATTTAAATTGTACTTCCCCGATAATCTCGAAAAATATGAACAGAGATGATTGTGCAGAGAAAACAATGTGAGCAATTAAATCATTATCATAATTAGGTCAGACCACTCTCTCTAACATGCATAGCCACATTCAATAGTTCACTCTCCTTCAGTCTTTGCTATCCCTCCTCCTCATCGTCACCATCCTGCTCCCCTTCCTGCCCTTCCTCCCCTTGCTCACCACCGCTCCCTCGTCTGCTCGTCTTCTGGTCTGCTCATCTTTTCGTCTCGTCTGCCCGTCTTCTCGTCTTCCCGTCGTCGTCCGAGGCTTCCTTATCATCGTCGTCCGAGGCTTCCTCCTCCGAGTATATTTTCGGAGTCTTCCTCTGAGGCGTGTTCGATGGAGGAGGCTTCTTCCTCACCTTCCATCAAATCCTTCACCACCTTCTCCTCTTCACCACCGTAGTGGTTCTGGTATCCCCCCATCTCCTAGGGGGGGACCGCCGCATTTTCGGCAGTGTAGTCGTCGTTCTCGACAGCCAAACTAGCATCGAGCACCACCATTGCAGGAGCCGCCGCATTGTCGAACATCGGGCGTTTTCCTCGACCGCTAAACTGGTGGGGAGCGGGCCTAGAAGCCGGCCAGGCGTTTAACTTAGCCAGCTCATTTTCGAAGTGTGGACGGTGTTGTCCTCGACCGCCAAATTGGTGGGGAGCAGGGCCAGGAACCGCCCAGGGGTTCCACTTGCCAGCGCATTTTGCGAAGTGCCGACGTCGGCTTCGACCGCCAAAATGGCGGGGGAGTAGTGGCTGGAACCGCCGCATTAGAAGTGGGTGCCGTTTAAGATCGCCAAAATGGCGGCGAGTAGGGCGAGGAGGGCCGACATGACGAGGGCACATAGTTGGCGATGGCCTCGAGCGCCGTGCTGTTGTAGTGGGGAGGAAATGGTTTGGGGGCGGGTGTGGAATGGTAATGACCGGCTGGCGGTGTGTAGGTGGGGATGATAGTGGTGGCCGTACTTTCTAGGAGCGGTGGTTGTAGCGAGATGGAGGATTTTGACAACTAAAGGATGGTCATGGTGAGAGATAAAAGAGTTGTCGTAACGATGGAGGGGTAGTGATGATAAGAGATGAGGAGGTTGTCGTGTGGATGGAGTGGTGTTGATGGTAGAGTAGGAAGAAGTGAGAAGGAGAGAGAGGACTCGGATGCAGGGTGTGGAAGAATGAGGGGGGAGATATAGAAAGGGTGCCGGGCGGGGTGGGGGCTGAGTCATTTGGTGTGAAATGGAAACAATTCACGTGGTGCTTGGAACCAAATCACGGTTGCGTCGCTAGTCATGCCTGTCGCTGCCGTTTTGAAGACATGCAATGTTTCGCACTCATCGAGCGATGACGTGTGAAACTTCGATGATGAAACATTGAGATCGTGCACGGATGGGGTGGCCAAATGGCACCGACGCCTGGCTACCGATAGCCAGTTGTCCACTCAAGGTAAAGCATGTCGGCGAGGCTGAGGTCAAGCTGTAGGGGCCGAACAAGCGGCGGCGGACATCTGCCAGCTGCTGTGAACAGAAAAGCCGGGGGAAAGATGCACCACCCACAAACACCGACATCTAGCCAGTAACTGTGTGTATCTTACGGAAGCCCTCCATTAGCGCCATTATGAGAGAGTACCTTACAATCCAAGGTGTGCGTCTTCAATAAACTTGAAAACTATGAGCAGGAAGGACTGTGCGTAGACACCAATCGGAGCAATTTAATCATTATCATAAATAGGTCACGCTACTCTATCCAATATACATAGCCAAATTCAACAGGTAGCCCGCCTCCTCCCCTTCCTCCCCTACATCTTCCTCATGTCCTTCCTCGTCTTCCCATTCATTTATCTATTTAACATTCATCATCTCTTCATCTCGTCTTCCCATTCATTATTTGATTCATGATCTCAACATCTTATCGTCTCATCGTCTCTCCATCGCACCATCTCCTCTTCTCCTCCCCTCCTCTTCTCCTCCCTTCCTCCCCTCCTCCCCCTTTCTTCTACTCCTCTGCTCGTTTTTCCGAATGGTCGTCGCAGATTTCTTCGTAAGAGGATGAATCCTACTCTTCCTCCTCATATCTCCACCGACTCTTCTCCTCAACGCCCCCATTCTGCTTCTCGTTTAATCCGGTTCCTGGGCGAGAGACGCCGCATTACCGGCAGTCTGGGCTTCATCTTCGACCGCCAAACAGTGAGTTATAAAACCACGTTGGAGCCGTCGCATTACCGGCAGTGTGAGCTTGATCTTGGACCGCTAAACCGGTGAATTGTAGACCATGATGGAGCCGCCGCATTGTAAACCGCATGATCCTCATGTTCAACCTCCGAATCGGCGGGGAGTAGGCCCAGAAGCGCCAATACGCTGTGGAGATCGATGTCCGATGTAAGGGCCTCGAGGGCCGGACTCGTGGAGTACGCCGTAGTCGACTTGGGGGTGGCGATGGGGACAGAGTGGCCGGTGTGCAGGCGGCGATGATTGTGGCGGACATACTTTCTGGGAGCAGAGGTATGCAGAGATGTGTGGAAAGAGGACAGTAGAGACGGGGGAGGGTGGTGATGCAAAGAGATCACATGATCGCCATGAGAGTTGCCGTTAGCGCTGAGGGGTGGTGGATGGCGAGAATTTTTGTTGTGTGGAGCGGTAGGAGGTAATCGGAGGATGACTGATAGTTGGGTACCAAAACGATGGGAGAAGGGAGGAGAATTTGAAAGTAGGGTAGGAAGAAAGGGAAAGAGAAGAACGACAATTGAAGAAAACTGTACACCTGTGTTGTTCAGGTGTCCGTCGAGAATCTTGCAAGTTGCATAGCGAGACCGAAAAACGAAAACGATGAAAAGCGATAATGAGAAAGATATTGACAGTGGGGGGGATAAGGAAATAGACAGACAGACCGGCCGACAATATATCATCCAGGTCGGCTAAAGTTCGCCGCTCGTGCATCGATCCTGCCCGCTCTCAAATCGAATCAAAACAACACCCTCCGCCCATATTAACAGAACCCATCGCAACTGTTTAGTTGTCCGTCTCACCCAGGTCAGCGGGTCCGGGTTGAACCCCCCTCGCCAAGGTGTCGTTTTCGCTGAGTCCCACAATGCGAAAAGGGGGAAGACTAGCGATGCTTGTCACTGCCGTCGAGGCACGCAATGTTACTCGCGCATCGAGCGATGACGTGAAAACCTGATGGTGAAAGGCCAGCAGCGGGGACGGATGGCATGGAAGACTACCCACCTACACTGCGTCGGCAAGATAGCTAGTCTTCCAGAGCATGTCGGTGAGGCTGTCGTCCGCCCATAGTAACAGAGGCCATCGCGGCTGGTCCCACTGGGTCCCAGCACGTTTACAAATTGTAGCTGTCCGTCACACCCAGGTCTGCAGATCCGGGTTGAACCCCCCTCGCCAAGGCGTCGTTTTCGTTGGGTCCCACAGTAAGGAGAAGGGGGAATCCCAGTGATGCTTGTCGCTGCCGTCGAGGCATGCAATGCTACTCACTCATTGAGCGATGACGTGTGAAAACCCGATGGTGACAACCAGGAGGGAGGACGGATGATGACATGGGAGATAACCTACACTGCACCGGCAAGGTAGCCAGTCGTCCACAGCATGTCGGCGAGGCTGAGCCCAAGTTGCTAGGGAGAACAGGCGGCAGTGGACACCTGCGAGCTGCTGTGAACAGAAAAGCGGGCCGAAGGATGTCCCACCTAAAAACACCGACATCTAGCCAGTAACTCTGTGTATCGCACGGAAGCACTACCTCAGCAGAATTATTTAGAGAGTACCTTACAGTGCACAAACCCTCGATTTCCATATTTAGCAGTTACATCAAAGACAACATTTATCACCTGTATCGATCTTTCTCTGGGCTGTGAGATGTACCCTATCCGCTGCCGGGAAGAGATGAAGTTCTCGCCTCGACAGCCTTCTCGTTGCCTGTTGCCTGAAGAGGTCAGAGCCTCTGATATTCGTGGTGACTACGGACGCATGAGTGACAAACGAGTGACGAGTCAACTCGAGTTCGGCTGCCCACCCGTCACTGCGTCAAGCTTCGGTAGGTTTTTTTCTTCACTATCTTATTTTTTCATCTTTCTCTCTGTCTCTCTTTCTATGTGCGGATGGGCCGGGCGGAGCCTAAAATGCACCCACATCGAGCTCGAGATCAGCGGTCGGAGACTGTCATCCAAACCCCTGTAGAGGGTGTGGGTTCCCGCGGAGTATGAGAGATCACTCGGTATGGCTACTCAGCGTAGCTAGCTACGGTATATAGTCGTTTCCTGTAGCTAGCTAGAACTCTATCATTCTCTTCATCCACTACGTTCCCGTCTACGAGACTCCGTCATCGTGACAGAGACAGTGCGATGGAACCAGACGTGTGTCCAGCCATAATCTGATAAGGTCAAATGCTGTGATGATCGGACAAAAACATCCTCTACTCTAGATCTTCGGCAGGGGCGTTCTCGCTTTCGAGCTATGTATTGGCTCTTTGGGAACTCTAGATCTTTAGTAGTCGATATCCAACATTCCCAGGTGTGTGTCTTGAATGAAATGGAAAACTATGAACAGAGATGATTGTGCAGCGATACAAATGTGAGAATTAAATGATTATCATAATCAGGTCAAACCACTCTATCCACTATGCACAGCCACATTCAATAGGTAACTCTCCTCCCAATCTTTGCTATGCATCGTCCTCATCCTGACCATCCTGCCGCCCTTCCACCCCTCCCCGTCCTCGTCGTACACCTCCTTCTCGTCTTCTCGTCTCTCCTACGTCATCCGAGCCTTCATCCTCCAAATCAATCCATGGAGCCTTCCTCGGCGGAGACATCTTCGTAAGAGGAGGTGTCCTCCTCTTCCTCCTCATCTTGCAACAGATTCTTCTCCTCTCCGCCACCGCTTTGCTCTGTTCGCACCCCGTCTGCTAGACGGGAACCACCGCATTAGGTGCGGCGTTCGTCCTTAACCGCCAAATCGTCGGCTGGTAATGCGAGAAACCACCGCATTGCGTGCTAGCCAATGGCTGGTTGTGGTGTTCAGCACCCAGAAACAAACAGAAAAATCAAAATCAGAAAATCAGAAAATCAAAAACAAACAAAATCAAAATTAAAAAATCAAAATCAAAAAATCAAAAACTGCGTTTCCATCAGCTGTTATTCCCCAGTAAGATTCAGTGAGTGCTCAGACTGCGTACCAAAGAAACCATCCAACTTCTTCGAACGAAACATGTCGCAACAAGTCATCAGATCTCCAAAAGTGGTCTCCATCCGGGTGGTCTGGCGTGGGATCGGCATTTTCTGACTCTTCCAGAAGCCGGAGGAACTCTGAAAGATCTTCCTCTTGATTCTCCTGCTCGTCCGCGGTGGGTTCGGTGACCGCTTCCTACGTATCCATCACGCTGACTACGCATTCGATAATGCGATTGATGTTTTCGTCATCCAACAGCGCGTCGATCTTCAACCGCCAAGTTGGCAGCGAGCAGGGCCAGGAACCGCCGCATTAGGTGCGGCACTCGTCTTTGACCGCCAAGTTTGCGGTAGGCAGGGCGAGGAACCGCCGTATTGCGTGCGAACTAATGGCTCGCTGATTCGGAGGTAACTCGTCAGTTCTGCGGGTTTGGTGTTTCGCTCCCAGAACCACACAGAAAAAACAAAAACAGAAAAACAAAAACTGCATTCACATCAGCGGTTTTTCCCAAGTAAACGTGTGGGAGTGCTCAGATTGCGTACCTAAGAATTCGCCCCAATCGGTCTGTCCAGCCATCGTTGAAACTCGCCATAGGTGATTAGTGGTCCGAGCCGCCTCCATCATAGGAAAAGAAATTCTCTAAACTTGCGACGTTCGGCACGTCGAGTGAATTGGAAGCGTGTGAACTGACCCACGCCACCGTATTCTCTGGGAACGGTCACCTGGGGTGGAAGCATGTGAACGGACCCACGCCAGCGTATTCCCTGGGAACGACGTCAGCTGTGGTAGGGTGTTCTAACGTCCGTTGGAACGCTACTGGGCGAAACATCATACCCAGAAATCAGTGTTAGTTTTGTGTTATTCATTGCTTGCATGTGACCTATCTGGAAAATGGTAGTATCTTCACCCCGTCCGCTCCCACAACTTTCCCCCAGCCTCGCCCTTGACTGGCCCGTTGCCACATCTCTTCCCCAGCATTGCCCTGGACCCGCCCCTTCCAACAACTCTCCCCCAGCATTGCGCTGCCTCGCCCTCGGCCGGCCCGTCCCCTCGGCTCTTCCCCAGCCTGGCCTTGCTCTCACAAATCCACCCCAGCCTTCCCCTTCACTGGCCCATTCCCACAAATCTTCCCCGGCATCGCCCTTCACTGGCCCGTTCCCTCGACTCTTTCGCACCCTCCCCATGCTCCCTGGGCTCTTCGCCGGCCTCACCCCGCCTTGCTCTTGACTGGCCCGTTCCCTCGACTCCTCCGCGCCCGCGCCTGCCTCGCCCCCGCCGATTTTTCTCCAGTCCCGCGTTGCCAACAGCGCAGACCACATGAGTGAAACTTGCGATTGAGTCATAAAAGTTACTGACTCGCTTTACGCACACCTGGTGACTTGTCATTAAAACTCATCACTAAAATCAAGTGACCTACCACTCAATTAGATTGACTCGTCACTAAAACACCAACTAAAAATTTACTTATCAACCAACGGAACACAATGCCCACGAAAAAATCGTAAAAAAAGTGTGTAAAGCAGCACCATAGCGAGCTTCAGTGTTTCAATAATATAGAAAAGAATTTTCTTTCTCTCTGTAGCTCAAGTGGCCCGTTCCCACAACTCTGCCGCCACCCGACTCTTCCCGAGCCTCGCCCTCACTCCCTGGGCTGTTCCGCGACCTCGAAATATTCCCACCATTCTTCCACGCTCTCGCTCTTGACTGTTCCTCAGCCTCGCCTTGCGCTCATAATCCTTGCACGCCCTCGACGTGCTGCCTGGCCTCTTCACCGGCCTCGCCCGTGACCGGCCTGTTCCCTCGACTCTTCTGCGGCCTCGCCGTGCTCCCTGGTCTCTTCGCCGGCCTCGCCCTGCATCACTCTTGACACGCCCGTCCCCACAACTCTTCCCCTGCCTCGCTCTCTCTTCCTGTCGCCCTCCTTGATTAGCTGTTCGAACACCTTTTCCGCGGCCTCGCCCTGGCTGTCTGGGCTCTTCTGTAACCTTATTATGTTGCCTCAACTCTTCCCCAGACTCGCCCTTGAATGACCGTTACCTAAACTCTTCCCCAACCTCACCCTTGACTAGCCATTCCCGCAACTATTCCCCAGCTTTTCCCGCGCTCATTGGGCTCTTCCGCAACCTTGGAAAGTTCCCCCAACTCTTACCAAGCCTCGCCCTTGACTAGGTGATCCACAAAATCTTCCCTATCCTCGCCGGCCTCGCCCTACCTCGCCCTTTACAACCCTATTCCCTTGACTCTTGTACGGCCTTACCGTGCTCCCTAAGTCCCTAGACACTCCGCCGGCCTCGCCCTACCTCGCGCTTAACTGACCGGTTCCCTCGACTCTTCCCCAGCCGTGCTCTTGACTGGCCCGTTCCCCCAATCTTCCGCTCCTTTGCCTTGCTCGCTGGGCTCTTCCGCGGCTTTCGTCCTATCGACTCGGAGGTGCCGCCAACTCGCCGGCTCCGTCAACTCGGAAATGTCCTCGACGTGCTGCCTCCATTCTTGCGTGACGTGCTCCCTCAACTGTTTTGCTCCCGCAACCCCTCCCCACCATTGACGTGCCCTTGCACCATCCTTGCCCTTGACTGGCTCGTTCCGTCACTCTTCCGTGGCGTCAACTCGTCTGTACCGTCAACACCTCTGTGCCGTCTACTCTTCCCTGCCGACGACGTGCTTTCCCGTCTCTTCCGTACTGTCGCTCTTCCGGAGCCTTGTCTTGCTCCCTGAACTCTTCCGCGCTCTCGCTCTTGACTAGGCCACTCCCTTGACTCATCGGTGCGGTCAAGGTGTCAGCGCCGTCAACTCAGCTGTGGCGTCATCTCGTCGCTTCCAATATGTTCATAGTTGGTTGGGGACACCGGCCCGCGACATTGCTTTGGCATGATAGGTGATAGACGAATATGGTTCTTGCTACACATGATAGTTGGCTGTTAAGCTTTGGATCGCGCCATGCTGACGTCACCATGGGTTCTAGAATTAGCTTGGAAGACGACGGAGACTACGCGTGGCGAAGTGTGTGGGGTTCTTTAGGTTTATCAGCTCTCGCCACAGCACTTGCCACAGCACTAGCCATCAGTCCGACCTCATACTCACACACGCACGCCTCTGAGGAAAATGATGATATATAATGCCAGTGGCAGCGCAACCTTGATTGCTTTCTCTAACTTTCAACATCAGTCCTCCCCACACTCGCTACTCCACAAATCCACACACCGCACTCCCTATACCAACGGTTCGATCATACCGGCTCCCCAAAGGACTGCCAAACTGTTGGCAGCGCAGCCGATTGAGACGGCCGCCCCAAGAGACCGGTACGACCTTCACCTCGCCCTCGTTCACCACCTGCATTTCGCCCTCGTTCTCCACTGCTACTCGTATTGCCAGAACTGTCGCTGATATTGTCTGCTCAATAAACACAGCCTCGTCCTTCGATACAGCCTCCTCCTTCTAGACAGCCTCCTCCCTCCAGACAGCCTCCTCCTTCGATACCGCCGTTTTCCTCGATAACGCCATCTCCCTCCATACCTCGTGCTCCGTACATACTGCTACTCTCCGAGTGTCTTTTCGTTGATACCTTCTCCTTCCTTTGTACCTTGCAGGCCTAGAAGAGGAGCATGTGCCCGCTGGGATGCGCGGAGGAGGAGGGGAGGAAATGGATGAGGGAGAGGAAAGCGGGGATTGGGAGGAGGAAGAGGATGGGTTTATTAGCCCAAATCATGATGCATGTGGATAGTCTATGAGGAGTATATAGTACAAATAGGAACAGAATAAATATTCTGAAATACGCAGGATATATCGCCTACTCGTAAACACCGTGCACAGTAGAAATTTCTGGATGATTGACTACCTACTCCAACAATAGGTAACGCAGACGGTTTCTGTGTTTCCAATCATATACGAAATAGACTGGGCATTTGTCGTTCATACTGGAGATGACAGTCATTTTTAATGTGCAATAGCGCCTTAGTATTCCCAGCGTGACCAGAGTCAGGACCGTCTACACGCCCCAACGGATAATATTGTTTTCCTGATGATCCGGGTGGTCTGCCATTTGACCAGTGTTTTCCAACTCTTCCACAAGCTGGAGGGATTCTGAAAGATCTGCCTCTTGGATCTCCTGCTCGTCCGCGGTGGGTTCAGTGACCGCTTCCTGCGTACTCATCACCCCGACTACGCAATCGATAATGCGATCGACGTTTGTGTCATCCAACAGGGCATCGATCCTCGACCGCCAAATTGGCGGCGAGTAGGGCGAGAAGGGCGGACATGATGTCAAGGGGCTGCTAGTCGGTAACGCCCTCGAGGGGCGACTAGGCTCTGGGGGCCTCGAGGGCCGTACCGTTGTAGTGGGCAGGAAATGTATTGGGAGCGACGCTGGAGTGTAATGCCAGGCTGGCCGTGTACTCGTGGGGATGGTTGTGGCGGCCATACTTTCGGGGAGCGGTGGTTGTAGAGAGATGAGGGATTTCATGGTGAGAGATAAAAGAGTTGTCGTGAGGATGGAGGGGCGGTGATGGTAGAGTAGGAAGAAGAGAGAAAGAGAGAGAGGATGTCGATGGTGGGGTAGGAGGAAGGAAGAAGGGGAGAGAGAATGTTGATGGCTGGTTAGGAAGAAGGAGGAGGATATAGAAAGGGGGGAGGGTGACGTCGTTGAAATAACGCAAGCGGTGCTTGCAACTGAATTACAGTCGAGTCGTTAGAGCGGCTTGCCGCTGCCGCGGAAGCACGCAAACAGTCGCCCATCGAGCGATGACGTGCGAATGCTGCCCGAGAACCACACCACCAGTGTTTTACATAGTCACGGCGGATCGGAAGAGGCTAATTCAGCTTTATCTACTCCTTCTGGGGGTCGGGATAGTAGTACTAACTCCGTGCTATCCGTCATTTTGATGGACGGTATTGTCTGTTCTCGCACCAAGCCAGCTGTCTATCTAGTTTTGCCTCATCGTTTTCTTAATACATTATCCCATCTTACATCGCAATATTTCCGACACATTCTTCCACCTACGTTGCCAACAGAACCTCGGTAACCTTCCTTCCTACCTTCCAGTGCACCTATCAACTTCAACATCGATACCACTTTCAACAGCTATCAAGATACTCGTATGTCCCACCATCGATGCATCTTCCACGTGTTAAGACGAAATGTCAGTGATGTAGCCTCCGGCTTTAATCTTCAAAGCGCGAACTCGATGATGAACGATCAGGAACGTGCCGAGTCTGGACGGATGGTGTTGGAGTTTGAACGTCTGGAAGCGGCCGATGAACACCGCAGCAATGTTGGTAGACAGCAGCAATGCTGGCAGACAGAAGCAATGCGGGCAGAGAATGTATAAACGCGCACAGTCGTCTGTATGCTATGGGAGGACTCCAGATTCTGTATATAGAGGAGCTCCGGTCCGGCGAAAATGTAAAAACCAGACAACGATCTGCCAATACATCTTTTTCTATCTGACAGATGGCATGGGGGAGTACAATGCGCTGATGCGATAACCGGTCGTATATTCCGTGTGGAAATTGTCGGCGAGGCTGATGTCAAGTCTCAAGTTGCTATCGGGGAAGAGGGGGGCGGCAGAGACGTGGGCGCTGCTGGGAACAGAAACGACGGCCGAAGGATGCTCAACAAGGTACTTTACAGTGCTAGAAGACTGTATTTTTCGTATTTAGTAGGTACATCCGCATCATCAAGTATCACGTGTATCTATCTTTCTCTGGGTTGCGAGATGTATGTGGTCCTGTCCGATTGCGGCTTTAGGCGCACATGAAGGATCTCTCCGCATATCCGCTGTAGGGCGATGGTGACGTTTCAAAGGAGCACTGTTCCGAAGGAGTGAAAGACTGAGTCGTGCGAATGGTATCCGGCGGAGAACATGGTGCTGTTTGGTGTCGGTCATGCGAACTGTATCTGGAGATGTTCTCTGTTGTCTAGTCTCGCCAGCGGGTCCACTAGCTCAGTAAATTTGACAGATACGCTGCCGAGAAAAGATCTTCTAGCTCTTCGGTGGGGCGGTTCTTGGTCCCGAGCTATGTGTCGGCTTTCTGATAACTCTAGATATGGAATAGGTAGTCGAAATTCAAACTGTACTTCTCCGATGAGCTCGAAAAATATAAGCAGAAATGATTGTGTAGAGAATCTAATGTGCGCAATCAAATCATTGTCATAATTATTTCAAACCACTCAATACAATATGCATAGCCACATTCAATAAGTGAACCACCCCTCCATCGTCGTCATCTCTCTGTTTGTCTTCCATTCATCCGTCTATTCATCATCCTGTCATCTCTGTTATCTCGTCTTCCCATTCATTTATTTCCTCCACAATGATATGATCCCAACAGCCCACCATCTCAACATTTCATTATCTCAACTTATCACATATCACCATATCACCATCTCAACATCTCAACATCTCAACATCTCGTCTTCTCGTCTTCTGTGTCCTCCTCTTGAATCTTCTTCCTCAGCTTCACCTCCTTCTCTTCTTCGCCACCATTGGGGCTCTTCTCCCACCCCTTCCCCCTGCGCTTCGCCGATCTCCTTCGCTTCTTCGCCACCATTGTGGCTCTTCTCACACCCCATCTCCTAGACGGGGGCCGCTGAATTGACGATGGCTGGTCTAGGAGCCGCCGCATTGTTGAACTTCGAGCGTTGTCCTCGACCGCCAAGTTTGCGACGATTGGGGCGAGTAGGCTCCATGGATCTCGAGCGATGTTCCGTTGTAGTGGGCAGTAAATGTATTTGGAGCGGCGCTGGGAGAAGGATGACGGGACGACTGCGTGCAGGCAGACGGTGGGGATGATAGTGGCGGTCATACTTTGTGGGAGCGGCGGTTGTAGAGAGGTGGAGTGGAGAGATTGATGTCAGCAGGAGGATGGTGACGGTACGAGAGAAGGGCAATCGTGGGGATGGAGGGGTCGTGATGGAAAGAGAAAAGGGAGAGAGGTGAAGAGAAGGGTAGTAGATCGGTACAGGATTGGGTGTGGGAGTTGTAGAGAGTTGTAGAGATTTGTAGGGGAGGGTAGTAGAATGGTGCAGGATCGGATGTACAGAAATATAGAGGATGGTAATGGTAAGAGGCATGTCATTTGTGGTGAGAACAGAGGGGCATTGATGGTAAGGTAGTGAAGGGCTGTGGACGGGGAGGATCATCAGGCAACTTTAGTAAGAGATGAGATGGTGGCATCGATTGTCTCGACTTCGGTGAGAGGGGCACCGAGAGAACCCGCAGCAGGTAAGGTGATCTTGGCCTCCTTTTCTGCTGCGGGTTTTAGAAGAGAGAAAAAGAAAATGGAAGAAAAGAGCCACCTGAGTTCTTCAGGTGATCGTCAAGAAGCTTGTGAGTTGAATGGCGAGACCAAACAACGATGAAAAGGTAGGAAAGAAATGAAATCAATGAAATCAATCACAATAGTGTTGAGAAAGATGATGAGAAAGATGATGAGGAAAGAAACAACCGGCCGACATAGGAGAGAGATCTGCCTTTTATAAACAAGGGCTCTCCGAAAATTTTGCCGATCGAATCTGGTGTAGCCAGGTCGGCGAAATTTCGTCGCTCGTGCATCTGCCATGGCCACCCTCAAATCGAATCAAAACGAATCTCTCTGCCCACGGTCATACCTGCCAGCAGAGCAGGTCGCGACGGGTCCCAGTCTGTTCACAAGCTGTTGACAGTCGGTCCAACTCAAGCTCGCAGCTCTAAGTCGAAACGGACGTGCCAAGGCGTTGTTTACGCTGGGTCCCACAGTAGGAAGAAGGGAGAAGGAGGGATAGGGTATTGATGGTGGGCTCAGAACAAGGGGAGGAAGACAGACGAACAGGGGGAGGACACACCTTGAGTCGTTAGTGATGCTTCTCGCTGCCGTCGAGGCATGCAAAGCTGCTCGCTCATCGAGCGATGACGTGTGAAAACTCGATGGTGAAAGATCAGGATCGGGGAGGGATGACATGGAGGTCTACCTACACTGTACCAGCGAGATAGCCAGTTGTCTAGAGCATGTCGATGAGGCTGATGTCAAGTTGTTATGGGGGAACAGGCGGCAGCGGAGATACATGGGCTGCTGTGACCAGAAAAACCAGGCGAAGAATGCTCAACACAAAAAAGCAAAACACCGACATCTAGCCTAACACGTCTGTGCATCCCACGATAGCTCTCCCTCAGCGGAGCTATGGGAAACTGCTCCACATTGCTCGAAGCCTCGATTTTCCAATATAGCGGGTACACCCGTGACATGATGTATCACACGCATTTATCTTTCTCTGGGCTGCGGGAACAGATCTTCTAGCTCTTCGGCAGAAGCGTTCTGTCTGACGATAAGTATCGGCTCCCTCTACTTTAGAAACTCTAGATCTCAAACAGTATATATCCCAGGTGTGCGTCTTCGATGATCTGGAGAATATGAACAGAAATCACTGTGCGAAGATACCAATGCGAGCAATTACATTATCACAATTAGTCCAGCCACTGTATCCAATATGGATAGCCATATTCGATAAGTGACCCTCCTCCCAATCTCTGCTATCTCCCCGCCTCCCAGCCTCCCAGCCTCCACTTATCCCCCACCGATCAGAATGCATAGCAAAAATTCTAGCATAGGATTCACAAGACAAACCCTACTTCTCATCTCGCCTAAGCCTTGGTACACTCCTCCGCCGTCGGCTTTCGCCCAATAACATGCCACCTGTACGTGTATGAGTGAATCTGCCGATTCGCGACGTCATTCTTTGCGCGTGTGATGATATCCGCCGCTTGCGCGCCAGTCATCCCTCCCACCCTTGTGAAGAGTGCCATTCCGTAGGCCTACTTCCAGTCAGTATCTTCGAAGAAACCAGTGATGCAGAGGTAGCTCACCTCAAACCCGCTCTCGAGGATCATCTTCCCAATGGCGCCCTGCTCCTTAATCGTCTTCTTCTTGGGCCACGTTCCCCACGGCAGCTTATACGTGCCGACGTAAACATCGACGAACCCAGCCTTTTCGAGCTGTTTCTTCAGCGCGTGACCGTTCGTCTCACCGAACCCGGCGGCGCTCGCGAGACGCGTGAAGTGCACCATGTACTCGACGAACGCGCAGTCCGCGGGAACGCTGTTGTCGTCCGACCACGGGCCGCCCATCTCCGCCTCCGCCAGCTCAACCCACCCCCCGGGCTTCACGTGCTCGTACATCTGCTGCACGTAGTGCGGAAGGTCCTTGAGCGTGTAGGTGATGTCGCGGGAGTGGATGAAGTCGAAGTGATCCTAGTAATCACGATGTCAGCCAAGGTTCTGCACATGGATGCATGTCATCCATATTCGGGAGCGATGCAACACGGTACCTTGGGATAAGTCCAATCGAGACTCAAGTCGTCCACCTCGAATTTGCAGTTCGGCACGACCCACGCCGGCTGGATCGGACTGAGATCTACACCGACGACCTGCGCGCTCTTGAACGTATCGGCCATATCGAGCGCCCAGATACCCGTGCCAGTGCCACAGTCGAGGATGTGGTGCGGATCCTTCGGAATCGGTGCGGTGTAGAGGTTGCCGTTTAACACAAGGAGGGAGAGGTGGTGGACGAGATCTAGACGGTCCTGTTCCATCTCATCGTTCGGCGAGATATATTTTCCCTCGGCGTAACGATGGTAACGCCGGCCATTCTCGTAGACGTAGTCGCGGATCGTGGTGCTGAGGGATTGGGTGCTGCTCTGACTATGGGCATTGTCTCGTCAGTAGTCGGTCAAGCTGAGAATCGCCGCGAGTGGGGTGCACGTGATACTTACAGGCTGGAGCCATAGTCAGAGGTGGTGTCATAGTCGTCGTCGACTTCCTGTGTACTGGTGAGCTTCAATTCCGCTGAGAAGCTGCGGCGACATAGATGGTACGTACGATTGATGGCTGGTCGGCGCTCGCTCCGACGGGTAGGGCGGGAACGGCGGCGGCGCTTGAGGCGGGGGGTGGGGACGACATTGCTGGAGATTGATGTACTATAGTAGTGTTGAGGCACGTAGAACTGTAGGAATTAAGTAAGAACCACTGTCGCGTAGATAAAGAGCCCTTCTTCGATCTTTCCTTCAGCGACACCCGGCACTATGTATAAAGCCCCGCTTCCACTTTGTGCGGGGTCGCTGGTATATACCGCTCAGCACAAGTTATGCACACCCGCGGGAGGTTGGTATAAAGTATCCGGAATAGTTATGGCGCAATGATATTTTCGGAATGCGAATCGGTGCTTGAACTGGAGATTCTGGATGAAAAACTGCCGGTGGGGGAAAGGCTCCATGCCCAGGAAGCGGCTGCATATCCGGATCCTAAATGCCAACCACGAGTGCATGATCGCTGTGGAGCACCAATCAGCATGCAAGTACCCAATGAGTGAGACCGACCCCCACACCAGTCACCTACATACATATGCAGCCGGCTGTATCCGCGTTTGGCCTGCCCCAACAGCGTAGCGCTAACGGCTTAGCGGCGGTGGTTGCATCCGCGTATCAAGCCGAATCGAAACCACATGCTTGTTGCGGCATAGATTATGCTTATGGTGCGCGGAACGGGACGACAGAGGAAGCGGCCGGATGTGCCGAGTCGAGTTACCGGGGAGTATGTAGAAGTCTACTCAGCGATTCTCTTTCTCATCTGTTGGCCGGTAGCCGCGTCCTTCAGCCTGTTGTCGATCTCCGAATCAGCTTCCTGAGTCCACGAGAAATCTTTAGGAAACTGTCAATCTGATCTTACTTGTCTTGCTGTTCCTTGGAGTCAACCAAATAAGCGCGCGGGCGGCCTCGGTTTACGTCGCTGGGTAGACTCTTCAGCGACCGCAGTATGCGCGCTGGTATTCGGCGCAAAGGTGACGAAGGTATGCTAAAAACTAGCTGTCTCAGCCGATGAAGCTAAACGATTGGTAGACCATACCCGAGTAGGACATCGCTAAATGAGCGACGACGTGCGGCCCCGCGGAGCTGGATCGACGAAACTGGCTTGACGCCCGTGTAGAAGAGCCCTCCGACGAATATAGCATGCACGGTGCTGGCGATCGAACTTGAGGAAACGCATGCGGCCGAGGACTGAAGTGGTGAAGGTGGTTATGATTCTTGTGGTTATGAGTGGAGGGATTCGTGGGAAAGTGGGGGTGATGGAACCATGCAGCAGCAGACTACAGTAGGTAGCTTGCTGTTGAGGTAGCTTGCTGTTGGGGTAGTTACCTGTACCTCGAGCAGTCAAAGGCTGTGATTCGCAATATCCGCTCCTCCGAATATCCTAACATGCACCTGCACACTCAGTTTCCACGCTTCTATTTTATTTTTGTTTATTCATTGATTGCATGCCACCGATCTAGAAAATCTCAACACCGGAAAAGTACCGGAAAATAAGCCGAGCGAGTGCTTGTGATGCAGCACGACGGTGTACCTTTAGATCATGCCCCCGGCTGAACTCTATCACTCGCAGTACGTAATGTCCTGAGCTCGCTGTTCTTCAATTCCGGTCTTTCCACTACACGCAGTGTTGGGGTTTTACGGTTGGTAGTGGGCACCGAACTGGATAGGATATGACCGAATAACAATCCGTATCCAGAGAAATCTTGGTGAATCCGGGAGTCTGGTAGTAATCGGTTAACAAATACACTCACGATTAAGCATATTTATCCTCCGGAAACTCTGTCCCGAGATGACGGGTTTCTTCGATCTCGATCGCGGCAACAATCCTAGCTGAAGGGGTGTGCTTTTCCTGACACCGAAGTTGATAGCCGGGGATGTGAGCACAGACTGGCAGATCCATAACACCGGTGCCGGTATTCGTGCATTCGAGCATGTAGGTTAAACTCTCTGCTTTTCGGTGGGTTGAAGTGGTAGTACAACAAGATGGCACAGGCGGCAGGTACGGCGTACTTTAATGACTGTCATACGGCAATAAGGAGTCACCCTCTTATGTCTTTACCATCCATACCGTACACCCCGACCGTCATACCCCGGAGACGTGCCTTCTAGGAGATACGACAGAAACGAACACAAGTAATGCCGGAGCTCGCAGGTCTACATGTCCGCAGTAGAAGACGCCTGCACCACCGTGTCACGACCACCTAGGGTGAGGGGCCGGAGCTGGAGCAACACGTCGTAGTCAGGACTACCTACGATAGTTCCGACACCTCAGCACAGAGCGCCTCGAATAATCCTTGCGAACTCTCCACGAACCTCATAATCCTCCCTCGACAGGCACCGCCTTGTGCAACTTGCCCGCCTGAAGGACGTTCAAATCGAGCCGTCGAGACAAGCTTATAGTGCTCTGTATACCTAACGATGTGCTGGCCGGGTCAGGTTACAGGATACCGATGCATCTGAAGTGGTAACTCCCGCCGTAGCTACCGAGCTTCTTACATGTTGCAACCCATGTGCTCCAACGTAGCTTCACGTGGTCCTCGTGCAACCTCGCTAGCGACTGCATGCCCCAGACCTACAATGTCACTGAACTTCTGCCGACCCCACAAACCCACCGCAACCACTTCTTCCTCTCCTTCCTCTCCTCCCTCTCCTTCCTCTCCTTCCTCTCCTCTCTCTCTTTCCTCTGTTTCCTCTCAACAACATCATCCTCTTCATCACGCCTCGGTGCGAAATTCCTATCACTCACTTTACTCTCTGAGCCCATGGCATGCGATGAAGATCATCGATTCAGAATCAATGATCTTCATTGCATCTACCTTCTTTTCCTTTCTCTTCCTCTCCAGCTCCACCCGTCCTCTCACATCCTTCCTATTCTCTCATTGCCTTCCTGTCCCTCTCCTTTCTCTCTGTACCCTACGCCAACGTTTCCTCTTCATATGCCACGTAAGTTTTACATCTTCCCCTTTGATTCCTTCCTTTTGACGAACCATTCCTAATGATGCATAGATCATTTCCACTTTGCCACGCCGTGCTGGACCTCGTCAACCCGAATAAGGAGGTGAGCAAGTACTTGAAGACCAAGGTTTGTCCCTCACCTCCATCATCCACATTCCTCGCGCTAACGAGCGAGAAGATAACTCAAATGGGGCACCTCTTGTCAATGCCCGAGGGACACTAGCTTGTGTTGAAATAAGTTAGTTAATACCACAATGGGGTCCCCCGGTTGGTTTTTGAGTGCGATTGGCACTGTATATTGTGTATACTTGGCGTTCACTGGCGTAGTCGCCGGCTCGCCGTCATCCCTAGTAAGTGCCTTCCCATCTTTTTCCCCCTGCCCACTGGAGAGCTAGACACTGACTTCCGTTACAGACTTTGATTCGGGTTACATGGGTCCTTCGGGACCCACTACCCAGTCGGCCGTCACTAATCGTGACGCCGGAGAATGGGCCGATCAATGGGTTCATGGGGGAGATAATTCCCCCGTTGTCCACCGGGCACCGTCAACGGTGCCGGTTGCAGCGAAGCGAGGAAGGCGACAGTACTGGATGCGACAACGAAGACACAGCCATGGTCTCGGAGTATCACGTCCAGCAGGTCGCCGCCAAGCACCGTGTTGAGCTGACCGATGAGGGGAACAACACGACCACCCACAACATTGCGGCTCTCTTACTTGGCCATTGGCCAATCTACCTCGCGGGGACAATGGCTCCCCGAGGACGACATTCGTCCGCTACCAGGCTCGCTGCTGGATCTTTTGTGAAGATGCGACAGTTTGGACGTCTCAAGGCTATCCAGACCGCCCAAGAGAACGAAGAAAAAGGAAACGATGGGTTCAATATCAAGTGGAATGAACACCCGGCCACCATCATTGGTGGCTTCTGTTTATTTCTGTTGGAGATTTATCGCTGTTGTTGGGCAGGAAGAAGGAGGAGAAGGTGAAGAAGCAAAAGAAGGATGGAATGAAAGATGCGAAGAAGGATGGGCAGAAGGATGAGAAGTTAGCGAAGCAGAAGAGGGATGGGAAGAAGGATAAGAAGCGGAAAAAAGGAGGAGTAGCACAGGCAACAGGTGGTTTATATAGAAGAAACAGAAGATTCAGAGGCATACAATTTACCGACATATGTCTTCCATCCTTGAACTATATCGCTCTATCTTACTCGTCATGCCTTTGGGTTGTTACGATACGTGTTCGCTCCGCTGTGTTGACGCATATTTCGTCACTCGTTTCTGATTTTGTTCAGGGTGTCCTAATCTCACGAACTTCCGTGTACCGCGTCACTTCCGCGGGCCGGGTCATGAACGATCACCCGCTATGTCGAGACACTTCCGTTATCCGTTCTCACACGGAGGTGCCGAGCGGCGGCGTGCGGCCTCTATCCGAGGCATCCCCGAGCCTTCCTGTATATATACCTTTCTTTCTACCGTTTCTGATATTTAATACACTATCTCGCGATACCACTTTTCTTGACACAGGGGGGGGTTTTGGTCGATGGGTCAGCTAAACCTGCCAATAGTTATGCCGTTTAACCAGTTATCCAGTTACATCGGTTCCTCCGCCAGTTGGATCTTAACAGTGCAATTGGTTTGGTAATGGTGGAGTCTGCGAAGAGGAGAAGCTGCCATTATGATATCTCCCCATTTTCTCCTCGTCCAGATCTCTGGTGCCAGTTCAGCATCACCAGATGCCCCAAGTCTCTCACCTCCAAGGATCTCATTCTACTCTTCAAACTCCCACTGCAACCTCAGTTGCAATGCAATCCAATACGCTTCTTGCCAGCAGCCAGGGCCATCGTCCCTAGTAGCCTCCTCATATTGTCTTCAATCGTGGCCAGGTCTGCGGGCAACATAAATTTGCAAGTTATGGAGCACGTCCTCGGACCCCAGGACACCTGGAAGCCCTTGTACGCTGAAGTTCCTGACGCCTAAACGGCCACCGCGGTTGTAACCGACTACGAAGGCAGCATCACCTCCGAGCAGAAGGCGGAAATGTAAGAGTACAAAAAGCGATCAGCTGCCTCCTGCGCAACATCTTCTTGAAGCGCGACCTCAAGCTCTGCTACGGCACCTGTAGCTTCGTCGTAGGATGCCGGATCAATGGCGGCCGCGACAACTTCTGCAACCGCGCCGAGGTCACAGGATAGCCGGACGGCGGATTTCGTCATAGTCTAGATAGGCTGGGCGGTAATGTTGAAGAAACAAACAACAAATTCTATTCCCGTGCTCTTCAATTGTTTGTTGCGTTAGTGACTAGTGAGGGAGGGGTGGGCTGGAGGGGGAGCTGTCACGTGACTGAAACCCTATTTTTTCGCCGCCGCTCTACCTATAAGATGGCCACCCTTCCTTCTACTTTCCACTCATCTTCTTTTCATCTTTCTTCTTTTTCTCATCCTCCCATCTACTTCCCACAACAACAATCTACATCATCACCCGCTTTCAGCCCTCGGGGGCATTTTCTTTTCATCACATGGTGGTCAAGAACGCAAAGGAGAAATGACTTCCAACAGGGAGTCATCCGCAACTTTCATGTAAGCACTCACCGCACTTGACTCTCCTGTCCTTTTATTTCCCGTATTCTAATTCAATGACACGTTTCAGCCAAGTCCGCCTCTCTTGAGTGACGGAAGAAACACTGCCTGCGGGGACACGCTACCACCGACTGGGTGGAACTCAAACAACCTTCCATTGTCTCAATAATGTGGGTCAATATTCCGGACAGCAAGATGTTTTTCAATTCTAATCTGTATAGGTTTGCTGCCTGTATTTATAGGCAGCAAGTGGTCGTTACCGGCGCGACGTCTGAAGACGACTGCCGTTTCGGTTCTCCGAAGTTAAATGCCGCCGGGTTGAGACCCGATGAACGCTATGCCACACTGTGGTGCGCGCCTCGAACCAACAACACAGAGGACACCTATCGGCCACTCTGGATAAACTCAGAACACTCCTTACAACATGTTTGAGCTTGCAGCGTGGAGGAACTAGCTTTTGCTCGCCCTGCTGGACAAGTACGTGAACTGGAAGAAGGAGACGTTCCCCCAGTCCCAAGACCTCCGTCGTCCAAGTCAAGTCATCGACCACGAAGAGTTATAACCGGCTGCGGACCCGACCCCCTCGAAGCCGGTCTTGCCGCTACACCGAGCCAAGCGTCCCAAGCGAACCCAATCGGATCGCCTTGGTTTTCCTACCTATATATTCCAAGCTTCATTCCCTTCAGTAATGATGGAAATTTTAATTCTCGGAAATCGGATTTCGATGGCGGCGGCCAGGAGTCGCCGATTGAAATGTCCTGGATGGGTGTCAATGGGGAGGTTGCGACTGACGGAGTGGGAGACATTCCAGAGGATAACGGCGAGACTCGATGAGGGCTACTGCGATATAGTTCTCCGACATTTCTGTACTGATTTGCTCTGGTTCTATGGGTCATGCAGTCGGTGGAAAATTTTGGGATGTGGTATTTAAAATTTTATATCATATTTTCTATACTTAGAAGTTCTTTAAAATAAAACATGTAATTTATATTACACAAAAACCCTTTGTCTACTGCTGGTCCTTTTACAAGCTACGTCTCCTAATTTTATCGGTGGGTAGTCATATGGCGGCAGGCAGCCGGGCTTCAAATTCCGATTCGTGCATAGTAATATGCTAGAACTATAGAATCAGGTCCCAGCATGCCGATGCATCCAAAGTCGTAAAGCCCGCCGTAGCCACCGAGCTTCTCATAACCCGTATGATCAAATCAGGCGGCACGTGAACAGTGTGCAACCCCGGTAGCGACGGGATGCCCCAGACCTAGAATGTGACTACACTTTTGCCGACCCCACAAGACCCACACACGACCACTTGCTCCTCTCCTTCATCTCCTTCATCTCCTTCATCTCCTTCATCTCCTTCATCTCCTTCATCTCCTTCATCTCCTTCATCTCCTTCATCTCCTTCATCTCCTTCATCTCCTTCCTTTCCTTCCCCTCAACAACATCATCATCCACATCACGCCACCGTGCGATATTCCTATTACTCAGCTTACTCTCTACGCCCGCATGCGGTGAATCGGTTCTTTTCTGCGTTCAACATTCGGCTTCGAGCAATAGTGACGAACAACCCCGTATGATTGAATGCAGTGGACCTTCCTCTCCCTGCTCTCCCTTCTCTCCATCCTATCCTTCCTCATCTTCCCTCTGAACTATTCGGATACGTCATGTAAGTTAGATATCTTTCCTTCCCATCTTTTTTTATCTCTGCCTGCCCGAGAGCTAGATACTGACTTCCGCTACAGACCGCGAAGCAGAACGATGCGGTTCGGTTTCTTGGCCATTGACCAAATTACCTCGCGGCTCGAATGGAGGTCTCACTGAAAACAGTGGAGTTGGTTTGGTCGGAGGCACCATTCACTTCAAGTATGCACCCGCTTCCCCACCCAAACTCAAGTTTCACTGGCTAACAGTAGATGTACACTTAGTTTGTGATCTGGTCACCTCTTACCTGGGGAATTTACAAAGACTCAATTCCCCTTATTCGTCGCTTTCTCTCGCTCGTCCGCACCGCAGCCATATATTTGGCCTGCCCTGCAATTAATATGGCGATGGACTCCTTCATCTGTCCTGGCGAATACAGAAGCCTCAATGCAACTCGCGGTCATCTGCGAGTTGCTTTGATGCTCAATCGCACCTGGACCCTTGGCGAACTGATGGAGACGGTCACATTCGGAATATCTTATTCGGAGCTCGCTCGAGAGGATGCGGAGTATCAAAAAGCCGACCAAACCACTGGACTATTGCGGGCGCACCATCAGTGGTGCAAAAAATGCGAATTGGGTGCGCAATGCAAATCGAAAGCCTGCTGAGGCTTCAGAGCGATGAGCTATGGAAAGCGGTAACATGTTTCTTTTTCAATGACTCTAGCCTCGACGAGAAAAGGGAGGGGAAAAGAAGAGAGCGCGAGGGAAAAGACGAACAGATGACAATACCTTGCGTGCTGCTTGTTCCTTGGTTTCGGGGTGGCTTCTGTTTATTTCTATTAGAGATTTACTGTTTCTGATCTTATTCAGGCGGGGGAGGGCGGAGGGGGGAGGGGGGAGAGTTGGGTTGTCGACAGTTAAGCTGCTGAACCTGCTAATAGTTTTTGCAATTTATCCAGTTATCCAATTCAAACCGGTTCCTTCGTTAGTTGTTTCTCAATAGTGTAGTTAGTTTGGTAGATTCTGCGTAAGTATATCTAGTTGGTTGGAATGTTGCTCTTCGAAAGAAAGTACAGCGGTTTATGCTGCGTGACTGAGCCCTTACCCCGACTGCTGAGCGGTACCTATCCAGTCACCGTATTCTCGAAAGTTCTGGTATACCCGGCCTAGAACCATCCATCCCCTAGGAGCTAGATCCCCTGCGTCTACGCTTCATTTACTTCATCGCTTCTGCCCATGGAATTTGTTGCTTGGCGGGGAGGTGAGGTGGATGCATACGTTGTCACTCGGAAGGTACGGGTACGGGATGTGTCAAGAAAAGTGGCATTCTGAGGTAGTGTACAGTGTATCGTAGCCGGAATAAATGCATATATAGAGGTAGGCGAGGGTTCCTCGGATAGAGTCCGCTCGCCACTTCCCGTGAGGACGGATAACGGAAGTCTCTCGACATAGAGAGTGATCTCGCATGACGCGGCACACGGAAGTTCGTGATATTATGACAGGATGGGCCAGTTCGTCTTTCTCTACGGGGAACGCGGGGCCGAGGAAAAGTTCATCTTGAATACCTGTCATCAGGGTTTCATTCACATTTCAGACCTATGAAAGGACGCGAGCTCGCATACGGCGGCCAACAAGTGCATCTGCAGTGCCCATACTCGTATGCTCGACTCGCCGGGGAACTATGGAATGCTAGGCGCAGGTGATGGAATGTCTCCATCGGAAGGTTGGGGGTGGTGAGCTGGGAGATCCGGGGGAGGTTAAAACTAGGCTTTGTTACTGTTGATCCGTCTGTTTAGGCGGCGGAGGCCGGAGATGCTGTATTCACTGCGAAATTTTCTACCTATGTATTTCACTTCACAACCCTCTGTTCTTTCCCGGACGAGATCGTAGAATAAAACACGTACCATCCTGGGACGGAGGGATACTACTGAGGTTCCCTTTTGTAGCCTGCCTCAGAGAGCAGAAACAATCGCGAGCCTGAGCATGTATCCCATTTGAAGAGCTCGATCACTGAGTAGGTAATGTTCATGAAATTCCCTTTTGGTTCCAGTAATACCGTCGTCATCGTCTTCGATTTCCTGCATATATATTTATCAGCTTGTTCTTCGATTCGTTTACTGAGAGTACGTCTCAATTCAACTTTCGATCCAAAGTTCGATGAATTAATCGTACGATTACGGATATTCGTTCGGTTATCAACATCCGAGAAGTAATTGTACGATCATAGATAGCCGTTCGGTTCTCTACATGCGAGAGGCTATCACACGATCACAGATAGTTGTTCGGTGCTCAACAAGCGACAGATTCTGTTCGATTACCGGCACGTTCACCCTGTAGCCGATTAAATTCATATTCTCTCCCTCTCCGCACGTCAATCACCTTAGCAGTAACTTCCCGCCAATGCCATCTATTAAACTCGCACAGCGCAGAAGGTACGGTCAAATTTTGGAGTCCGGAGAAACTCTGAAAATCACGGCCTCCGCCAATGCCTCACGCTGCGCTTTACGATCTCGCCCGGGGATTATACGCAATCTCCTTTGGTAGAATACTCTATACCACCTGGCAGGATAAGTACTACTCTAGGCGCGACTCTCCCGTGGTACAGACCCCTTGTGCACACAGCCGTTCACCCAAAATCACTCCTGGTGTTTGCGTTTTCGCTACCAACAATCCCTCACGAGATAAACAGGAACGGGGTGATATTGCCATGATCTCGATAGACGGTATGTAATTACTGATTAAACAACAAACAAAATCACCAGACAAACAGTAGCTGGGAGGACCAGTTCTTGAGTGGGTCCTCCGGCTCATCTGGGGCTCGTGGCAATGCTGGTAAGTTGCCATCATCTCTGTGGCGGAAGTACAGAGACGCAACAAGCAATAGCAATCTCGAGTCAAGAATAAGCCAGCCGTTGTGCTCCGCTTGTCAGAGGGAGTTCAATATGCGTTTCAAAGTAGGTAAGTGTGTAGGTTTTGGTGCTCAGTGGCTGGTCACCGATGCTATTAGTGGCCACTGGGAAAAACGGGATGCCGAGCTTTTGAATTATCTTCTTGCTGCCGGCTTTTCTATCTGATTAGGGTACCTGGCTGAAGTAAAAGTAGCCCTTACTCTCATAACTAGGTCCCGACGCTTACGTTGAGCAACTGTGAACACACGCAAAACCTCTACCTTCCTCACTTACTTCACCTCCTTCCTCACCCCCTCCACCCCCTTCCCCGTCTCTTCCGCATCGTCCTTCACCACATCCTCCATATCCCGCCCATCACTCATTGTTCCTTACACAACCTTCCCGCACCGACGACACAATGAACATCCACCAGAAGTTCGTCCTATTTTACATCTTGGCTGCCCTGGCCTTGCTGGGTATTGCTGGAGCCAGAAACTCAACCAACGATTTTCGCAACGAGTGCGTCTCTGCGCATAACAAGTACCGCGAGATTCATGGCGCTGGTGCCCTCGAGTGGAACGATCAGCTGGCAGCAAAAGCTGATGAGCTTGCTAGGGAATGCCCAGACATGGTGGTCCCTACTGGCTACGAGAAAGCTGCGCACAGCGCGAGCGTTTCGATCGGCTACGACAACGTTACCGCGGCCATCAACTCGATATACGCCGCGAGGAAACACTACAACTTTGCCACCGGTCATTGGAATGTTAGTCCCCTTCCCTCCCTGCTTTACCTACCATTTTCCCCTTCGTCTTTATGCTTACTGAATAACTTATTTAGAGGAAGATCGGTCATTTCACTCTTGTCGTCTGGAGGGGCTCAAGGTATCTCGGTTGCGCTGTCAAGCTGTGCCCTCAGGGCCTCTTGTACGCGTTTGAATATGACACTGGTACATAACCCCACTTCCCCCGATGGTTGAAGACTTCAACTGACCAACCCACCTAGGTAACGTCGATGGCCAGTTCGTCTCGAACGTTCGTCCTGACCAACTACCATACAACCGCAATTTCCTCGGTGACGGAGGCGGTCTCCAGCAGGAGTTGAGCATGCCAATCCCAAATCGCAGCGCAGCCAACTTGAAGATCTCGTGGATCAATATCGCCACGACGATCCTCACGTTGGTCATCGTCACCATCTTCGGATCGGTTGGAACCATCACAACGCTGGCCTGGGCTGCCTGGAACGGCTACCTCAATCATCCAGACCTCTTCGGTGAGTTGTAGGTGTCGAAAGATGGAACTTCCTGGATCATGAGCTTTTTAAGTTCATCTGCAAGTTCATCTGGTGCTTTGGATACTTTTCTTTCGTTCTGTTCTTTCGCTGGCTTGGGGGTGCCTGTTGTTTTCTTCTGGCGGCGTGCACACCGGCTTTGACACTCCGAGGTTGAATAGAATGATAACTTCTCCATTTTGATTCTTCATCCTTTCCAATGTGACCGTTCTCGGGATACGATACCTATGTAGCCTTTGGAGTACGTATATTGGTGTGCGTTTATTCTCGGGAACAGGGAGCCCAAGTGAGAGCTATCTACATGTTTCTAAAGTAGCAAGCGACTCAGGACAGCAGTGATGCACATGTTTTCTCGAACCAAATTTTGCCCATTGCACCAGTGACCACAGGCGATCACACGGTGCGACCAAAAGGGCAGCTGAACCAACAGCGATCGATCGTCCGGGTGCGTCTGACAGTAAAGTAAAGTCTGCTTACAGCCGTTGGAGAGTGCTGTAACATGTTGCAAAGGTGACAGCACTTCATAGTCTACATTAGAAACGTCGGTACCTATTTCCACCCAAATATCTGGGTCAGCAATCACCGAGGAGTAAATAAATAATTTGAAATCTCTTCCTGTTCCTAAACTATATGCTAGGTATTACCCCGAATCGACACACCTGCACCCGCACTTCCTGCCAAATCGAACCTGCGAACACATGCCTTTCTCCCTCAGGAGTTAAAAGACGCTACCAAAAAAGAGCTGGTATGTAGATTCCCAGCAAAGAGCTTAACAGTCCATGATGATGGAGATCCACCAAAGCAGGGGGAGGCTGCTTCTACTGAGCCTAGGTTCTTCCTGCCGCATTGACGCTGATCCGGCCGGGATCACGCGAAATCCCTAGCTTACCGCCCGCCGAACCGACGAAATAGACTCGCTTCGAGAACCCATGCTTAAGTAGCATCCTTGCATGGGGTGACGCCCACCATCGCGTAAAGAACTTTCCATGTCCCTCGCTAGAGTTTGTGTCTTTGGTATGGCGGAGGCAGCTTTCTTTTGGACGGCGAATACTGAGACTTCTCAAATACGTGTTTGGGGACATAAAAAACTTCGCGCTCGTTCATTTCCTAATGTACAGTGTTTTACAGCCAGATACCACGTTTATTTGAAGTCTGGCATCCGCCCCAGTCCGCCAATGTCCTCCTTCGTCGCATCCCTGCTCTTCCGGACCTCCACATGATTCTTAATCATCTTCAGGATCTCACTATCTCTCCATCGCCTCGGCGGCGGCCTGTACGGCTCCCTATTCCTCCCAATCGTTTGGGCCCACTCACCCGGCGCCTGCCCGCCAAACTCTGTAACACCGCCTTCCTTCTTCTGCTCCTTCGCGCCCGCCTCCCCACTCCTCTCTTCTGCAACAGTAGGCTTCGCATCCTGTGGTCCTGCGCCCGTCATACCCGTATCCGCGCCGCCTCCCGGGGGCGAGCTTCCGCCTTCCGCATACTCCACACTCGTGGGTGGGGCCTGCTGAGTAGTCCAATAGTATATATCCCAATCATTCTCGTCCAAGAAGCGATCATACTGATCCAACATCTCCCTGTCCATCTTTTCAAGATTCTCATGCGCAAATGTGCTCAGCAGAAGGTCCGTCTCGAGAATCCCGCGCTTGCGCGACTGGTAGAGGAGGCGCGCACGCATAGTCTTCAGGTCCTCGCCGACGCGTCGGAGCGGCTCGACGCGGAATTGACCTGAGAGGATCTCGCCGACGTCGAGCTCTTGCTCGGTGTCGCCGAAGGAGCCGCCGAGTCCGGGATGTGTAGCTGCTGAGCTGATGAGCTCGGGAGGCGCATTGTGTACGCCTACGGAGGAGGATGCGGGCGTGGATGGAGAAAGTCCCGGGTTAAGAGGTTTCTTCAGTTGGGATTCGCGGTAGGCGTTGGTGTTTGGTGGATACTTCTCGGTGGCGAAGCTTGCGGGGTTGTTGTCCGGAGCGCCCGCCGGAGATGAGGGTTTGGATTTGGAGGCATACGTGCGGAGGGGGGCGAGAAGGCGCGGCCGGAGAAGGCGGGGGAGTGGACGGAGCATCGTGGTTCTGTCAATGGTGAGCGTGTCAGTGGGGAGAGGGAGCAGGAAGGGAAATAGGAACAAGATGCCGTCATGTTCTCGGCTCGGCTAATACGGCCTTGGGCTCCGAGTAGTTGCCGAGAATGAGTAAGCCGTGTCCTTGATCACGTAATGATGGATTCGCCCGTTGAACTCTCAACGGATAAACAGGCATCCCGGTCCTCTTCTCAGTGATAACGGCAACCCGAATCCACGCTCGGGTTTCGCAAGCTCGCGGCCCTCAAGAGATCCCGCAATCTCACTGCACGTATCAGGATGAGCACAATTATAACAGGATTTGATCCACCCACTCATGGCCGGTCCGAAGCTTGCGTCCGTTCCAGCAAGGTTCGTTGCCGCGTCGGGACTCGGACGCTTCCTGGAGGTTGTGTGGATTTAGACGTCTGTGAAGATTGTAGTCGAGATAGCTCGTACCTTACTTCCGCACATCAAGGTGAATAAACTCCGCTTAATGCGCAGACCCTGCCAGAATATGTACGTTCGTGTCTTCGTAGGCTTCGTGGAGGAGGGAGGCGATAAGAACTTCGAGTATCTGAAACGACCTGAAGACTGTTATTCGCGATTAGATACCTGATACTATCCTGAGAGTCAGAGCCCTGTCATACCTCAAATCATCCATAAGAACCCAAAACCAAGCCGACTGGTAAGCCATCGATGAACCTCTTGTAGCTCGCTATTCGCAGATTCAGAATCTTTTTATTGAGGAGCAGTGACGGTCGTGGTATGGCGGAGCGATGGTGAAATTTTCGGTGGAGAAGAGAAACTTTCGGTGGAGTGAAAACGACGAGCTTTCGGTCGAGTGAAGACGACGAGCTGTCGGTGGAGACGACGAGCTATCGGTGAAGACGACGAGCTTTGGGTGAAGAGGACGAGCTGTCGGTGGTGAGGAGCAAGTGAAGGATGATTCCTGTCGGCGGGAGAAACCGAATGTGGTTAGCAGTGGTCATCAACTTTGGTGTGATTCAACGTTGGCGAGCATGGCGGAGTTTTTTCCTTCTTCTTCTTTCTTGATAATCATCTATAGAATAGATGGCCAATCCCCATCTCCTCTCTCTCCTCTCTCTCATCTTTGTCCGCTTCCTTTCTCGTCAGGCCTGGAGAGTCATTGGCAAAGAGCCCTCGCGAAAGTGGCGGTTTCGTACGTCTAGTATCACCATCAGTTCCACCGCCCGCACAATCTCGGAAAGTCGATCATACCAACATTCGTCCCTCCAGTTCTCCCCATCACTTCACTTCGAGCTCAGAATTCCGAAACAGACCACCGGCCTACCCAATATCTCTTTCATTCCGGATGACGTAGCAATACGTAAATCGGCAATTCGACGCTCATATCAGCGGAGGACGCCCCAAGCAGCTGCAACTCCCAGCCTCATGTTACTTGTCGAACGGTTATGGCTCCTCATGCCGCGATGATCGATCGCCTTAATCGTGCAGAAAATAGTCTCTGCAACACGGAATTTGTCTTCCTACTGGCCGTTAGCTGGTTTGCGTCAACACATCGTTTTGGCCGATTAGGATGAGGAATGTGGAAAACAGGCGATTAAGTAGGAGGGTTGCTTACCTCCTGTTACATAGCGTTTCGTGATTGATTTGCACTAGTGATTCGAGACATGCGATGCTGCGATTCCATGTGGACCGTGGTGTCTAGGGAGCTCCCGTGTTGGATATTGTTGCCTGAGCAGTTGTCAGCCGTTGATAAGGTAAAGGCAACAGATTATGCTGCGAGAGCAAACCCATTAGCCCGGCTCTTCCATTTTCTGCCTCTCAATCCATCCACTTTATCCAAATGTCTCAAATCTCAACCGTCCGTACCACCGCGAAGAGTGGACATATGATCACCGCACACTGACTTCTAAATGGCATCTTGAAGCATATCTTCTCGTGGGCATCCAGCACGACATTACTCGACGTATCCATCGTCTATACCTAGCATGACCGGCCTCTCACGAGTCACCTATGGCATCCGTACCTAGGTCTCGAGGTAGTCGTGAGCCGTCTCTAATCTGGCTGAACAGCCGATTATCAGACCCTGTATCAAGTATGACTGCCACTGCACTGGAGCAGGGCGCTCTCTCCTCCACATGCGGTAATCGGTCAAGTTGTCCACCATCGAAGTTTGCAGAAAAGGGAGCGGTTATCCCGGTAGTGGCGCCTCCAATACAGCGGATTTTAATCGACAGCAGTCGCCGCGATACAGATGCCTCTCCGTTCGCACCCAAAAACTCAATCATCCGATAGAGAGCTGGATGAGGAAGCTCCGTACAAAAACAGATGACTTCAGATCCGCGAGGGGTAGACGATCGAACGAGTATTAGTTTTGGTACGAGTCATAGATAGTGAATGTGCTATGGGTGCCGTCCTAGGCACCGAGATCTTTGCGCTCCTGAAAACGAAAGTTAGCAGGGAATGATTCCGGGTATCAGCGATACGTATGGACGTGAAATTCACTTGAACCTTCAAGGCGAACATGTGTGAGTTGCCCACTGCGTGAGAAACAGCTGCTCAATGAGCACGGCAAGCAAGGACGAGGGTGCTGAGATCCGGTGACTGTGTAGCCCACTCCTACTACGCGGGGAAGAGTCAGGAAGCAGCCGATATGAACCGGTTCTTTACGCGACGGAAGAATCGTATAGGAGTCATTGACATTGCCTCATTGCTGCGGTGCCGGTGGAGAGTCTCGATGTTTATGTAGGTACCTGAAGGTAAGAGACTTCGAACGAATCTACCAGAAAGGGGGAAACTGCATAGTTTCCATTAACAGCTCTGTGGCCTAAAATGAAGAGTCCGAAAGAATAATTGATACAGAGCATAGAATATGAGAAGCGAGCAGACTGCCATAGGCTTGAAATATTCTTGAAGGAGAAAAAAAACCTACAAAGTAGACGAAGAAGATTCTGATGATTCCAGCCGCTCCACCTGCCACGTCAGTCAGTACAAGGCAACATGAACCAACCAGATTCTTGACTACCTATCCGGAAACTGTAGAATGCGAGCCAAGTTGTCCTCCACTCTCTCCTTTCACGTCGGTTTTCTTCGAGCTCACCTAAGAGCTCATCTTCTTGGTCTTGGAGTCTTCGATGGTCGTCGGATATTCATGAAGCTCGTGGATGGCCTTGCGATTCTACTAGGGAGGACGGATAAACTTCGGGAACTCGAAGTCCGGCATCGGAGCCGGCATCGGAGCCGGCGGAGGTGGAGGTGGAGGTGGAGGTGAAGGCGGAGGTGGAGGCGGAGGTTGAGGCGGACTCGGGTCGGGACCTACAAAGATCCAGGGCAACACTATCGCAGTGCGGATGTGTCCATGGACCCTTGAGGTAAGAACCTGACAGGGGAAATAAGTCTTGTTTGAAGAGGTGAAGATGGGCGGCATCTTTTGGGTTGGCGTGCGATTTTATGTTGTAATGGTGGTGTTGGTGTGACTGGTGACAGGGTGGTTTTGGGAGGCGGGGACAATCAATTTCGCGCCGTGTTTCGGATGTGCTTGCAGAGTTGATCTGGATGCGAGAAATTATCTTTCAATTTCGAGTGAGAGACAACATAATCTTTACCACTCGAAGGTTTCCGTCACGTCAAAAGCGGCGAATATTCTTGAGTGCTAGGCCCTTTGCACAAAGCACTTATGTTTGATTCTTCTCCTGCTCCCTTTATTCCCCTTGCAAGCTGAGTTTTTACAGATTAGAATATCAGCCAGCCCACCATCTAGATGGTTGGTAGTATCGTGTTTTCTAGCAAACCGTCTTGGGAAAGCAACCGCGTCGTTTTACGGTCGGTCCAGTTGGTGGGGCCACCAGCTCAAGCTTCTTCGGAAAGCAATCGCGTCGTTTGACGGTCGGTCTAGTTAGTGGGGCCACCAGCTCAACCTTCTTGGCGCGAACCTTCGCCTTTCTTCCTTCAAATTCCTCCCTTTCCCTCTCTCTCCCATCCTCCAACAAATTCCCTCTCCCTTCCTTCTCCCCTCCACCCAAATCCAATCTTTTAACATGCTCTTGTAGCATCGTCATTTCTCTCACTTACAGTGAGTAAGAGTGGCGGCTGTGAGTGACTCACAACCACCATGCCTTTCTACAGAAACCTTTGGTTAGACGGTGACTAGGTATGGATAAATACCCCACTCAGCGCTGGAAATTCCCCCTCTACGACTCACTTTTCGTATACGGTGCTGACAATGAGGTTTGATACAAGCGATTGCTGTCACCAGCCGGTCTGATCGAACGAACTGGGAGGGCCGGCCGACGCACATTTTCGCCCCTGCAGGTCAGCCCGCAAGGCTGCACCGGCTTCAGCTCCTGTCTCTCCAGCCGCTCATTCTGACGACGAGGCAAGTCCCCTTCCGATCCATCCATCCAGCCAGCTCCTAACATCCTGTCCCAGGTTGAGGTCAAGGCCAACTTTCGGGGAACAATGTGTGATTAAGGAGGATATCAAGACGATAATGATGGCCGGATGGGTCACTGGTAAGCCCTCTCTATTATTTGCGTGACACCGCGAGGCTTCCACATCGCTCTTCAACGCCATGGAGAACGATCAACCGGCGGAAGTTGCCAATCTTCAGTTAAACGGCCTTCGTATGATGGCAAACGCTAAGTTCTCTTAGGTTCGGCGAGCCTCCTCCCCAGCACCTTCAAATACTCGGCGACTACCGGTATTTCCCTCGCGGGAGCCGGTACAGGAAGCGGACTGGCTTCACAAAGCCCGGCACCTTTGGGTGCTCGGCTCCGCGCTGTCTTCACCTGGCAGCGGACATTGACCCCGGTCCCCTTCCACCTTGCGAGCACCTTCGGGTGCTCGGCAACTACCGGTATTTCCCTCGCGGGAGCCGGTACAGAACACGGAACGGGGTGTGGTTGGTTGAGACGTTGAACGAGCGACCTCGGCTGGTTCGAGACCGTTCGATTCCTCGTCAAGACCAACCACACTCCACAGCGCGCGGCGAAGAAGCCAACGAAGTGGCTGGTAGCAGAATTCAAGAAGACAACCAGGAGGAGGAGGAAGTCATGGTTGCAAACCGCTGCCCGGTCCCCGGCAGTTCCAGAAGCGGATTGTCCTACACCAAGCATACGACTTTGCAGAGGCATATTCTCACTCACCATGCCGATGTCAAGGATCCAGAGATCAAGAAGGCCTGTCGTATGCTGTGGGGCGTCCGCGTTACTGGAACGCCGCGTGGACCGGAGATCGAGAAGCGGTTTGGCCAATGGCCTGAACAGGCGCCGCCTCCGAAGAGTAACGCTGGGCAAGGTAACTAGTACTAGTGTACTTTCCTCCTACTCTTCTAGGAAATGTAGCAATTGCTGCCTTCCTCTGCGGCCATGCACGGCCGCCCGGAGTGTATCTCCCTCCCCCTCCTCACCCATTTGCGAATGCAGCAGATGCTGCCTCGCTCTCCTATGCGGGCAGCTGTGCACGGCCGCACGTGTGGAGCTCCACAGGAATTGGGAAAGCAGCAAGGCTGCTTCTCATGTACTGTGCGGCCGTGCACAGCCGCACAGAATGCTAGGCCTTCGGGCTGCAGAGGAACGGGATGCGGTTGGTTGAGACGTTGATCGAGCCGCCTTGGCTGGTCCGAGACGGTGCGACTCCTCGTCAATACCAGCCGCATCTCATCCGCACGGAAGCGTCAAATCCTGATCAACAGGTACCTCTGGAACGCACAGAAGGGAATGTATCTCGACTATGATACTATCAACCAGAAGCAGATGAACTGTGAGTCTGCGACTGTCTTTGGTATCGATTTGCATGCATAATGCGTTCGGAGGACCCACGAGCAGGTGGATAGAGGGAGGCCGGGGGTGGGTCTGCAAATAAATTTGCAGTTCAACAAGTTATTCAATTCAAACCTGTTTCTTAGTCATTTACTTCTTAACAGTGCAGTCGGACGTTTGGTGGATTTTGCGTTTCTAGTTGGTTGTAATGTTACTCTTCGAAATACATGGTTCATAATTTCAGTGTCAATTCTAAACAGTGCAACTTATTCGGTCGAGTGCTAGTAGCCTTAACATTCTCGAGTACATTAAAAGCATAATCGTGCCGTCCCAGGTGAGCTTGGTACTCCCTTTCAACTACTGTACTTTGTAGTGATGGCCTTGGGTGACTCTGTATGGACGTCTTCGGAGGCAGTTGGTACCGAGTCCTGTGGAAATATAGATAGATTGCAAAGCTTAATCCCGCTGAAGTTAAAGATCCCATTTTTTCTCGCTTACATGGCCACAAAGAACCAGTGTGAAGTTAGTGTATGATGCATGATGTCACGGTCCATCCATCGCGCCGCGATCTCTGCCCGATCTTCAAGCAAAAAATAGAGTAAATAGTAGAGTGTCACTCCCGTTGTCAAGTAGTCCACTCTACTGGTACTCGCGTGCGTTCCGGAATGCTAAAAGTCATACAATAGTAATAGGATAATCCATGGACTGCAAAGTTGCGGACAATAAAAATCCCCAGTGATTTGTGAGACCGCTCGCCCCGCAAACTCGGCTCTACAATCACGACCGGTATATACTCTGGATCAAGGGCACGTGCAGCTGATGGTCCTCACGTGTTCAACCCTAACCTTAACGCCACCGTTGCTCCGCCACACAATTGCTTTGGCAATTGGCACAACTCAAGACCGATCCTTCACCACGCCAGCCTGCAGGAAAAGTAGACAAACGTCCTTCATTTCCCCCACCATTCGATGGGGTGAGGACAAAAAGAACTCTCTGTCAGGGAATTGAACCCTGGTCTCCCGCGAACTATCATGGAATGACAGGCGGAAATACTAACCACTATACTAACAGAGACTCACGTGATTGGTGACCAAGCTCAATGGCAAATATCATACATCCATTCGTAATTAGTTTCAATTAGTCGCCATTTACATGCGACTCCCGACTGTTGAGCTCCTGCGAACTGTCGCGCTCATACCTTAAGGCACCAACGCGTGCGACAAGAAGGTATAAAATAGGCATGCAGATTTTTTAGTTTACCTACATTGTATGCAGCTCCATACTCCTATTAACCAGGGTTATCCTCCCGCGCACTGGCTCAGTAGTCATCTCAGCAGCGTCTCCCAAACAAAAGCAAGAGACCAGTCCCTCGCTCCCATGATCCATCTCCAAGTTACCAAAACGTGCTGCAGCTCCAATACCCCCCGTATTCCTGCCCTCCCAATGCCCCCAGCCAGCTCGCAACCAGCTCGCAAACTCAACCTCAACCGCCATCACCCGCCATCGACATGGCCGTATCCGTCCACAGCAGTTTAAACTTTCAACCGCGTCGGATCGCTAGGAGCTACCTCCCGACGGGGGGACCTCCCTGCGGCCGCAGTACCTTCAGGGCGGATAGAAGGTACTCCCACGTCCTGACTTCGGCGCAGGTGACGTTGTCCACTTCCTGTTTGCTCTAGTCAGCTCGGTCACGAATAAGCGCGCGGGGGAGGGGCTTACCGGCGTCTGTGCGCATAGCGACATCAGGGACATTCTTGCTTCGATTATCGCTAAGTCGTAGGTGTAGCGAGCCCACGAACTAGCGAGGCGGCTCTCCTCGAGGGATTTGTACGCGAGCTTGACGGCCACGATGCCGAACGCACAGCCGACTATGCCCAGGCCGATCGGGAGGACGTGGCTGACGAAGAACCGGTGCGTGCGGTCGAGGGCTAATGTCTAAGGCTGCCTGTGAGTACGATCCGAATAGGAGAAAGCGCAAGCTATGACGGTATGACCAACACGTGCTTCGCCTGCAGTCATGATCCCGCGATCGATATGGTATGTAGATCAGAGTTGGTTTGAACGTTGAACTTGGAACTTTCGGTAACGAATGTAGGACGTCGGTGGATGCCGCAACGATGCATCTTGTCGGAGTGGAATCATCGGCTTTATATTATAAACTTCATCGCGATAAAACTTCAGCGAGAGGACCGTTCCTCGGGGCGCAGCACATTGCTCGTCACCACACGAGCTGGTGATTCGTACTCGCTGAACCAATGAAGGACTGGGACAAGCGAGGTGGTTGTACCACAACCGTATGCAACTGTGCCTATGCAAGAGTGATGTCTCGACTCTCCGCAGTGACCCATATTATTCTTCACAGCTAAGATGTAGAGTACATACAGGCAATCGGTGTAAGCATAGATGGGATACTTTCTAGAAAGCCGTAAGGTGAGCAAGCGAAAGTAAAATGGAAACTATGGAGATACGTCACCACCAGCAGGATATACCGCCAAAGCTTTATCGATGATACGCGACCGGACGATGGAAGCCTAGGGATGTGGTCACAGGGCTCGGATTCCGGACGAGACCAGGTGGGCGGCTGAGCATTTTGTCCTACCAACGAAGCTCGGCTTGATCACTCCACCCCCCCACCCACGTTCTCTCATGCTCAACCTTCGTTTGCGATTCGGTGTCTTCAGAAGTAAACCCAAGCAGAAGTGTGAATCACCGTCCATCACATCAACCGATACGTTATCGAGTCTTACAGCCACCACAAACCACAGGCTTCACAGGTTGTTGCTCACCCATTGGCCATAATCTAGGTCGCCGCAAGGCAGAACGCGCACTGTGCACGCACACCCCTCGCACCTCCACCTCGTTCCGTCTCGCCCCTCGAGTTCGATCCACCTCGAGAGTCGAGAAGGGAGCCATCCCGTAGGTCGTATCACGGAATCTCCTACGACGGCTCAGACCAAATTCCCCCACACTTCCACCAAAAAAGCAAACTCCGTCACTGTTGATAGGGCTGCCCACGTAACGCACGGTAAGTTCCATACACAGCGGTAGATGCCATTACCCCTGCGTCGTGCGCCCCGTGCTGATACACACGATGGAATTGTGCGAGGTGGAGAGAACAGGATTCAGCCCCACGGTTCCTATCGGACAGTTATGCACACTAAACTATATGGAGTAACACGAGTGGGCGTTTGTGATGTACTGCCAGCAGTCGGCTTGGTTGACAGGTGACAGGTCGTTCTTTCGCTGCCCCTTCCCCTTCACCCCCAGTCCCCGACTCCATTTGGCCTCCTACACCTACACACATGCATGTATTGGGGCGGAGCCGGAGCGGGCTCCCACAGCTGTCAGCGATCAGATCCCACGAGATGCGCAGGTACGGGGGAGGGACGGAACGAGGAAACTCTGGAGTCGACTCATAACGGTGTTGTACCTATCCGACCGATCTTCGTGTTCGGACTGTATTGGATTGGATCGCATGTCTTTCTCCCCCTCGTCATTTACATACCAACCGGTCGAGCGAGTCACAGAAATTCACTCGCTGTTTTATCGCCGTTGCTGCGGTAACGCACAGTATCACTCGTCGTGTGAGGGCGAGAAAGAGGATTCAGACGAACGAGGACCGCGGGCGGAGGAAAACACGGGCGGCAGGGATAAAAAACTGGACTTCTTAGTGGAACTCACAGGAGGTTGGACCGGGCGAGAACTGGACTACCTAGTACCTTCATTCTCTCATTCTCTCTTTCCTTCTGCATTGCTGTCTGTCTTTCTGTCTTTCTTTCTATCTGTCGGGTTCAGTGGAGAGGGTTCTACGGTGGTCGCGCCGGAGGAGGGTTGCGCCTGGAGGGTGGTGCGGGGAGGATTGAGCGGGGAGGGCTGGGCGGAAATCAATAGGGAACCGGTATCGAGCTCGCGACCGGCCAGCGGTCCGAGACAGCCGGGCGGAATACGACACGTAATCTGTCATGCTCTACTAAGGTCGAATGCAATGATGATTAAACAGAAAATCGTCGTGTGTTTCTTGTTCGTTTCCTGTTCGTTTCCTCTTTACTTGGCACCGCGGAGTCCTCATATGTATCTACATATCGTAACCGTCAGCTTAGTCTGGCTTTCTGCATGCAAGACGATGCAATTCGTGCTTTCCTTCGATCTTATGATTTGTTAATGGGGATGAGGAGCTGTCTGCAAAACCGGACTTCGAGATCTAGACATAAGAGCTCTTACAGGCGGGCGGTGCGGTCCGACTCAACGCGGCTTACTCGGAAGCACAGACGTCGGATTCTCAGAAGGAAGGTCCGAAGGGAAGAAACTCAGGGGAGCGAGTCGCTACAAAGGCATCGCAGAGAAGGATAGTACATTGCAACTTTTCGAAGTGCGTATTGAGTCATTTGCGATGTCGCATTAGCATCACCGTGCCTGACAGAGAAGAAATCTGGCGTTTGACTCCGTGGGTAGGGCGTCTAGGCAGTCATGTAGAACCAGGAATACCTGAGACGAGACAGAATTAATGGCGCAAAGAAGTTGAAGGACATGTTCGAGTACAAATTTGCTTTCTATTCCGGCACAGCGAATGATTCTCTTCAAGGCAACAGTTCGGCTCTCCCGATAGTTGAAGGGACGCTATTCATATCATATTTACTACGTGGCGGTAGGCACCCATCAGGCAACAGCTAATTCCACCACCTAAATAGCTATGCAGATTACTTATCTAGATCTGAGGAAAGTTTATCCTCATACATAGGAGGCCCGACACTTCTAGGCCCAACTAGAATTTGGATTGCTGCCTGGATGTCTGATTCACCCCCCTGGAGCTTAGAGGTGATTGGCACGTTCCAACAAGCTGGATGGGATGCCTTATGTTTCCCATACCGGAGACAGCGACAGTGGAGGAAACCTGGTGGGTGGGAATAAAGGATCCGAATGGTGCAAATGAGATCGCAACCGGAAAGTAAATGCATTACTGTGACCAAAAAAAAATAGGCAGCCATGCTCGTGTGTAACGGCTCGCGAAAGAAGTCTAGCGACAAACTAGCGCCATATATGCACAACCGGTTAAAATCTCCGGCTGCCTGCCAAAGCGGTGCAAGCATCTCTCCATGATTCGCCAGGCACCTCCAGGCATCCTCGCAAGAAACGCACCTCGGCCCCCCGTGCCAGCACAAAGCATATGTGATTGCCTGGCTGTATGGTAGCCTGTAGGCAGTTAGCCGTCGTCGTCTAATACAAGGTAAGCCTACGCGCAGCGCAAAATCAAGTCCCCGACTCCCCGGGCATGCATATGCGCCTTGCGCTAAGTAGTTATCTTCAGCCACCATCCCAGGCAACTCAGCGACGACGAAGACCGAGAGCGAGCGGAGAGCGAACGAGCGGTGGATACATAGTGGAGTCGGACAAAAGAGCGCAGCTGCGCCGTTAGTACACCATACTAGCTATTGAAGTCGCCCGCCCGCGAACCAGCGCCTCACCATCCACAGCGGGAGACGGAGGAAAGGGGTAGGCTACGGTAGACGGGAGATGGCCGGAAGATCTGATGTTGCTGCTAGAGTGCAGCTCGAGCGAAGTATTGGCGCTACTCGGGAGTCATAACATAAGTAGCTCATCACACTGCACGCGTGCCAGTATACACGAGACGAGAGAAAATCATTAAATTAGAGCAGTATTGTCGAAGTTTCTTCCGAGAATGGATGGCAGTCAGGCAGAGGGCCGTGAAAAACCTTCACGTGCGAAAATGTGAAGTTACTGCAGTCTGCAGTTTGCAAGAAGGCCGCGGAGGTCGGATAAGGTCGAGACCCTGGCTGCCTGGCATTGTGGATTACTTCTGCGAGACCAGCGGGTAAGCAAAATGAACCTGGTCGCCAACAGCACTTGGCCATGCATTGGCAAGATCGTGGTAGGAGTTATAATGCGTCGGGGTGGAGGCTCGGAGAGTAACCTTCAATGGTGGCGACAGCACTTTTTCAATGCTACTACAGGCACCGTCTTCCCTAGTTGACCGCCATTTAGCTCCACTTTGAGACAGTATCCGCGAAATATTACCCGCCGTCACCATTTCGACTGAGTGATCGACTGTGACCTGGATCTTGCGCGCATTCCTCGATTTTGTTGTCTCTGATATAGCAGTAAGCACTTAATTGACTTATTTCGCTGTAGCGTGTTCCATTGAGTTCATCTCTTCCGTTCTTTGTTGCTGCCTATTTCTTCCCCGCTTAGTGTTGACGAAAAATAGCCGAACATTATTGCGTTTCACCCCAACCTATGCATACTGCTAGATACGATGAACCCTACCCTTCTCTTTACTACTCTATGCTGTGCACATCTCGTTTGCTGCAGCGCCCGAGTCCCGACTTATGTACTAGACTATGGCGACACTCCGCAGTGCCCAATTCGTGGTGTTGACCGACGCTTCCCTATTCGGATCAGTCCCTTCCGCACTTCCGCAGTGCACATTAGCACACCCGCACATCCGCACATCTGCACATACTCACATACGTACTTCCGCGTTCTTCGCCAGCCACACCTGGAAAACGTCGTGCAACAGAGCTTCAAGAACGGATGTCAATCGTCTCCGGACCGGTGGACGGAAGAGAGAGCGATTCCGGGGCTGCTCCATTGCTCTGCTCTGCTCTACCAGATGCATCACCATTGATCACCGACCATCTCCTCCTATGTATTCACTAGCTATAGTATGTCCCGGCCCCGCAATGTATGTATGATACGCATATTTCATCCCTGGCCCATGCTATTCGACTCTGAGACAAGTAGCAGCTGACGTAGCAAGCTCAACATGCGCTACTACATATCTACCCAGTACTACTACGGCTATTACTACTACCGCTACTGCTACTACTACTATGATTACTACTCCTACTACTCGATAAACGCCGGGATCGAACCTTGCTCAAGATGGATCTAGAATTCTCAATGGGCATATATAGCTATGGCATCGTACATTGCATGGGCCTTTCGTCGGCAGTTCTTAGCTTTTAGCATGAAACTACGCTATAGGTGGGTTACAGGATATCGGGCTGGTTTATCGATCTACTCTATGTACACGCGTGCCGGCGGAGCACTGGTCGTCAAAGTGGAGACGATTTTGTACTTGTCCGCATCCGGTAGGCTATAGCTCTCAAACGTATCGATCATTTTTCCCTCGGAGAGATCCGGTATGATCTACGGACAGGAAAGGGAAAGGGAAGGTGGTATGCATACCACAGGATCCGGAGCCAAGCGCAGCACGTTGCGATAGGGCATTGAGCGTACTTGTTGTCGCGGTATAAGAACGAGGTGACTCGCCGACGTTATCTCGAGCTCCCATTATCGACCGCTGCAACGATGTCTACACTTTCAACGCTCGCGAATGCGGCCCCCGTGCACATCTTTGGCGTCTCCGGCGTTCTTGGCGCCGCCTACCACTTCTCGACTCTCCATCTGGAACCCGACTTTGTCCTCCTGGAACTCTTCGGCCTCTACGCCACCGTCTTCGCCGGCTTGACTTACCTCTTCTACCTACCCACCAGTTCACTACTCGATGGACTACAGAAATCCGGCGTGGCCGCGGCAGGGTTCAATACTGCGCTCGCAGCGAGTATCCTCATCTACAGGCTGTTCTTCCACAGGTTGCGGGGGTTCAAGGGACCCGTTGCGGCGAGAGCCACCAAGTTCTATTTCTTGATGAACATCTGGAAGAAGTGTCAAGGCCACTTGGAGACGCAGCAGCTGCACGAGAAGTACGGAGATTTCGTACGGATTGGTAGGTTGAATCGACTCCGGTGATGATCGCAAGGCTCGGGGATCTAACGGCTCACGCTATATACAGGCCCTCGTGAGCTCTCCATCGCCGCTCCCGGCGCAACCCACGCGATATACAGCTCGTCCTCGCCGTGCATTCGCGCTGTTTTCTACCGCCACCAAGCACGCGAAGACCACTGCTCGGTCCTTCTGAGTCGGAGTCGAGCTCATCACGCTATGCGGCGGCGCGCCTGGGACCGCGCATTCAACGGGACCATGCTCTCGTCGTATGAGCCCAAGGGCAAGGTACTCACCGACAAACTCTTGGAACAACTACATACGCATGCTGGGGAGGCGATCGATATCACCGATTGGGCGAGATTCTTTGCCATGGACTTTATGGGATGGGTGGGCTTGGGGAAGAGTTACGGGATGATCGACACGCTGAAGATGCACGACAGCGTGAAGAACTTGATGTCGGCCATGTTCATTCTCGGCGTGGTCGGACAGGTGCCGTGGTTGATTACGTTGATGTTGCAGATTCCTGGTGCGGGAGCCACGCTCAGAGACTTCCAGGCATGGTGCAGAACACAGGTGGATGAGAAGATCCGGGTACGCGCGTCTTGACACTCTCCGTGCCGATTCCCTGTTGTGCGCTGCTGATGCAATGCGGATTACAGACCTTCAACCCCTCCGCCAAATCGACCGATATTGCCACCACCCTCCTCCAAGACGACCGATGCGGACTCGGCAAGCTCGCCGACGAGGGACGCAACGACGACGGCCGTCTCATGATCATCGCCGGCAGCGATACTACCGCCTCGGCCCTCGCCGGCTTCTTCTACTACCTCGCCGCGAACCCCCGCGTCCAGCGCAAACTGCAGCACATCCTCTCGGAGGCATTCCCGGCAGGCGACAGCGCGTACACCACAGCCGCCGCCGGGGAGATCCCCTACGTGGACGCGGTAATCAACGAGACCTTGCGGCTGCAACCCCCGGTGACACTAAGCCTTACGCGCACCACACCGAAGGCGGGAATGACCATCAACGGAGTCTACATCCCCGGCGATGTCACCGTCAGCGTACCCACGTACGCCGTCCACAGAGACGGGCGTTACTTCGAGCGCCCAGAAGAATTCATCCCCGAGCGCTGGACCGACCAGCCGGAGCTTGTGAAGGATCCCAAGGCGTTTATCCCCTTCTCGATTGGTATGTAACATGCCTCCCCTCCTCCCGGCACCTCCACCTAACGATAATAGGTCCCTACGGCTGCGCTGGCAAACCGATGGCCGTGATGGAGATGAGGATGGTCCTGTGCCGAGTGGTAATGAACTTCGACACGGCGTTCGCAGACGGCGAAGACACGCTCAACTACTGCAATAACCAGAAGGATTACTACACGATGCAGTTGCAGCCATTGAAGATGGTTTTCACACCTCGGTCATGAGGTACATAAGAGGATGTTCGGTTGTTTTTCATAGTCGGTCGAAATCGATGGATACTAGCACTCGTGTGAAGGCGGATATCTAGCGAGCCGTAGCTGGGCGGGGGTGCTTGCCGGCAGCCTGGCATGCACACGAACCGTGGGTAGTCTTTCAATTATGCTCACTTTTATGTAACCGTCTGCGCAATAACGTCTTGACGAGTCAGGTTTTACGCTCAATCTGTTGCTTGTTTTAGTGAACGGTGCACCTACTCTGGAATACATGCCGGTAATAACCCGCCGACTCTTGAGAGCCCTAGCCATCACGACCAACGAAACGACAAATGACCTGCAAACCAAACACGCCGACAACGTTCGCTGCGTCGAGATTTTTATATGCTATAAAACTTAAACATGCAAAATTAACACACAAGTCTCTGTTAGTATAGTGGTTAGTATTTCCGCCTGTCATCATCACATGATAGTCCGCGGGAGACCAGGGTTCAATTCCCTGACAGAGAGTATCTCTTTTGCCTCCATCAGTCATGACGATCTCGACGCGATTAAAGACATTCTGGGCAGAAGGTAGGTAGCAGACAAGACAAGGAGGGGCAAAGACCGTTTTGAAATCCGGGACCTCTTCGTAGACAAGCGATATAGCAAGGCCATCCTAAAGTCCCTCTCCACCACTGATGTGGGCAGACAGATGCCAGAGGCCGACGAGGAAAATGCAGCAAGCGAGGCATCCGAGTGGGAGGCTCAGGGAGCGGGAAGAGAGAGCGGAACTGAGGCGACTCGAGGAGGAGGAGGAGGAGGGTGCCGAGGCCGAGGAGGAGGAGGGTGCCGAGGCCGAGGAGGAGGAGGAGGACGCTGAAGCTGAGGAGCCAAGCGATGTAGAATAGCGGACCAGAGACTCGCGGTAGCGGTGCGAAGACTCGAGGGCGTAGGGGCGTAGGAGCGCGGGGGCGCGGAGGCGCGGAGGCGCGGAGGCGCGGGCGGGGGCGGGTGTGAGGAGCGATTACGGGGGGGCGCGGGTGCGGGGCGAACGGTGAAGACGGACGTGGCGAGAGGGAACGATTGTTGCCCCTTCCTAGCTCTGTCTCTGCTTGGTGAGTTCACATACTGTCGGGAAAGGCCAGGGCGGAGGGCAGGGAAAGCCACATCGGGCCGTCTGATGAAAGTTGGGTTGGACAGTGGCGTGGAAACGGGGGGACGCACAGGTAGATGATATTGCCATGATCTAGATAAGTCGCATGCAATCAATGAATGAATGATAATAAAAAAAAGGAAAAAAGGCAAATTTACTAGCAGAAGCCTGAATTAACAGAGCAAATGAGCCGTATTCCTTTTACCCTAGGGTGCTGTTGCCTGGTTCTCTGGCGTGTGCGGGAATGAGGGGGTGCAGGGATAGGGGCTCAGCACCGGCCGCACTAAGCCGCACCAAGTAGCCCCCGCTTTCTTACAAAAGGCTCCTCTTTCTCCCCTCTCCACTCTCTCCCCTCTCTCTCTCCTCAACACAGACATCAACATTAACATCAATATCAACGCCCGACAAACCCCTCGGTAGGTGTCCACCTTCAACGAACCCGTCGTCGCCATCAACCTCACTCGGCCATGCACTTTCAAGAAGGATACCCGAACCAGAAGAGTCTGCCACAACCTCATTCTGCAAGGGAACCAAATCCAGAATCCTGCGAATCCTCACGGATTTCGCCCGCTCGCCCTTCACAGGGCTTGAAGCACTTGGCAAGCAAGACTCTGGCAATTGTTTGCCAAGAGCAGCTCGAGGTTGGACCCTGGGCTGGTCCCTCGCAGAGGACGAGGTATGATGTGTGTCGCCCGCATCTTCTTGTACTGTTTACTGACTAGATTCTAGGAGAACACCGACGGGGACCTGGCACTCGAGAAGAAACTGAGATCCTCAATTGCCACGCGTGCAATGTTTTGCACGATACGTGGAGGGTGGCCAAGTGCACTCGGTGTGCCAAGGCCTACCAGTGTTCCAGAAATCTCTGGCGGGGTTGCGGTTTCGACCCGTTCGAGGACGTAAGTTGCCACTTAGTATCTCTGCCGCGGCTTATGTAGCTAACCAACAATCAGGTGCTTGCGGTGCCGCAGTGGATCTGCCCAGTTTGTCTGGGAATTTTCAACTGCGGCGGGCATGCAGGGGGAAGGGGGATACGAAGCCATACCAGCAGGTTTGCACGTATCTCTAAATCCACGAGGGTATTTTGAGACCCTCGGAGCTACGAGCTCCTGGTTTCCTTTGAGAAAGGAAACGTGATCCCTCCGGACAACGTCGTTGTCTAGAGGGAGGGGAACGCCAAGTGCAAGGGAGCCGCGGAGACTGGAGAGGCTAGAGAGGCCAAAGAGGCTAGAGAGGCCAGAGAGGCTAGACAGGCTAGAGAGACTAGAGAGACTAGAGAGACTAGAGAGACTGAAGAGACTGAAGAGACCGAAGAGACTGGGGAGATTGAGGAGACTGAGGAAACTCCAGTAGATCCTGCGCTGGGTGGGAATCCCTTTCCGGCCGTCAGTTCACCAGGAAGATTACTAGGCAGGTCACCGACTACCACCGAACACGACGAGGGACATACATCTAACACATTGGGTTCTATATAAGCAGCGGAATGAGGAAACGTCGCGGAGGCAATGGCAAGCGCCATACCATCAAGAAAGGTAAAATGGGGATGTGAAGGAAGGCTTAGTGATAATCTTCATTTGCGGGGCCCGAAGTCGGCGTTTCTTGAAAATAATTCCTTGAGTTCTGCGTTTGTTCTTTTATATCAGTCCCCAAGTTGGCGGGGTGGTGGTGGTGCCGCCCATTCGTCTGCCTTCTCCTTCCCAACGACGCCTGTATAAGTTTATGTGCAGAACACCATCTAACCTCAATGGTAATCTTGGGCTCTCTTCGGCGGAGGGTGGCAATGTGTTTCCGTGCCTGGATGGCGTATTTCTGGCCGGGGCCAAGGACATCGTGTGTCATCCTCTTAACAGCCGCTTGCTCGTCCCCTTAGATGATGACTCTACTGGGGGTGTGACGCCTATTACCGGCAGCTTCCAGTGCTCAGTCGATAGCTGCGCATTCGGCATCATAGGCCTCCTGCTAGAGTCCATATGGACCTTGTGTCCTTTGTCGTTTCCATAGGGTGCCATAGCACCAGACGAATCAGACGATAACCAGGCGTAATGGTCTGAATCTTGAATGAATCCCCAGCACATCCGAATCGTAACTGTCATAAAATCACAAACTTCCGTATACCGCGTCATGCGAGATCACTCTCTGTCGTAATACTTCCGTTATCCGTTCTTACGGGAGGCGGCGAGCAGTCTCTATTCGGGGCACACCCGCCTCCCTCTACACATGCCTATATTGCTGCTGTGCCTGACAGACTGTAAGTACACTACTTCAAAAAAACCACTTTTCTTGACAGTAACCTCGCACCAAACTCCGAGTGATGTATCGTGTATGTACGGAGAGTTTGTTGTTTCATCTTATTCGCAATTGTCTTCATTAGGTTATAGGCGGTGTGCATTTGCTGGCTCGGTGTAGTACTGTAGCAATCCTGACTGAGACTTGTGGCTCGGAAGCTCGGTTTCGGAGGCCCCGCGCATAGGATCTCTCACCTCTCAAACAGCAACAGTTTAATATGAATTTAGTAGTCTAGTGTGTGCACACGGCCAAGGTACACAGACGACGAGCGCCCAAGATTAAAGAGCAAAAGGCAAATAGCGACGAACTCTGTGGGGGCCAGACACGGCATGCATCGCAACATTTCGTCCCCTCCTTCATGCCTGCATTTCCACCTCTAGCGCCGTCGTTCGCTGCTTCCAGCCGTCCCCCCACGCGGCTGGGTGTGCGCGCGGCTGGGGGGCGGTGTGCAACGCCTATTCCCTACGGAGGGTCTCGTAGATCCTCACGGGCCCCCGGCCGTGACCGGTGTCGCAGCCGGTGCCGGAGCAGTCAAAGTCGGGTAGGCGGGTAGCGCCGTCGACAAAGCTCTGTTGGATTTAAAACGCGGTACCAAGGGGTGGGGTAAGGGAGGGACTCACGAGGCAGCGACACAAGCCCAGTTCATCGGGCTCGCCGATGGCAAAGTTAAAGCCGGCCCTGTAGCAAGCGACGGCGCAGTTTTCGCCTCTCTCTCTCTCCACCAGCACGGGCTCCTACATAATTGTTATTCATATTTGCGGGATGCACGCGGGGGAGGGGGTAGGTGCGTACCTCTTCGAGCCGGTAGCAGCCAATGTAGCGGGTGTCGAATCCTCCGCAGCTACCCCCACACTGCGGAGCGGAGGTGGTCATGACGTTGCGCTTGCCGTTGTTCGGGGGGCGGGCCGGCCGCGGGATGTTGGTGTCGATGACATCGAGGGGAGCACCGCGCTTGAGCTTAGCAGCCTCGGCGGGGGGATGAGCGGGCTTGGGGACGTTGATGTCGATGGCGTCGAGGGGGCCATAGGGGTCGGCGGAAACCGCAGTGACACAGACGGCGGCGAGGAGGGAGAGGGTTTTAAGCATCTGCATAGTGGCGATGGTGGGGAAAAGAGAATGGTGGGGAAAAGAGTGTGTTGGTTAGACCGCAAGGGGCTGATGCTGGATCTCTCCGACGGCGGAACCAGACGGGTTTTTGTACTCGTCTGGTCGGTTCGCGTCTACTGTCTACTCGATAAACGCTCGCGGTATGTCCCTTTCCTTTGTCACTCAAACCTAGTCCCTGATCACCCGCGCGGCCGCGCCCTGGGCCCTTCGAGTCCACCGGACACACTCTCTTCCAAAATTGGGTTCAGTGAGACGGTACCAGACCAGCAGCGAGCTTCACTTCGATCCCCCTCACATGAATCCCTTGGGGAAATGTATATTTGTCTCTCCTAACGGCTAGATAACTTCATGCTTTCGTCGCTTTGACGGTCATGTTGTCGATGCTTTCGCCCCTGGGAACCATGCTTTCCGTGGTAGGCTGACCGACACAAACTCTCCCGTACTAACTCGTCGTACGCGGCGGCCGGTAGAATAGTTTCATTCTGTGCGATTGCGATCAGCTGGAACCATCTCGTACGGTTACGACGAGTGACGAGTGACTTTTACCCAGTTTGAAGGCGCATCGAGTCGGAGATGTCGATTTCGGAGTGTTTTTAGGCGGCCGCCAACGAGGCATCCGAACCTACAGTTGGAGCTGAGCGTCCTCGGTCCTGTACATACGTGGAACCGACGCGATGCAGTGTGATTATGATGGATTGGCGTTCAAAACGATTGATTGATTGATTGATTTCAGTCTCGGTACAGAAAGAAGAGCACAAGAGATACGAGAGTCTGCTCCTCCGCTGCTCGTCTGCCCCTACTATGCCAAGAAAAAGTTAAACGTTCGACTCCCAATCTAGCCCTTTACAGAGCCCGCGGGGCCAATCGTAGAATGCCACACCAGTGACCACGATCGATCAACCGCCAAAAGTACAAAGCGCCTACCGTCCATCCTCGATATTCCCCAAGAAAAAAGAACCGGCACACATATCTGTTTCCAGATGTGTGCTGGAGAGAAGCTCTGACGCGGATTTGAACCGCGGATCTCATCATTACTAGTGATGCGCCTTACCGCTTGGCCACCAGAGCTGATCATGTCACTCGCTCGGTTTCTGCATCCGTGTAGGATTTTCAAATTCCGCAGCGAGTCGGTCGTTGATGTCTGCCACCACCATAAGAGGAGCGATGTGTAGGATAGATGTGGGATCAGATAAAATCAAAGGGAGGCGAATGGGGTGGCCCAGAACGGTAGAGAGTAGTCTCTGTGGCAGCAGATGAGAGCCATAAGATGGCTCTTCGAAGTTGAATAGAACCTCAACTTCTCCATCATTCTTCATTTCACCGTTCCCTTTGCCGGGCGACGTCAGTCTGGAAAGGCTGTGTGCCAACACGGTAAGGTTTACTCTCGGTTGGACGAATGAACTGCGGAACTTGACTGATTTTCTTCGGCAGTATGCACTTCGATATCTCACCAAAAAGTTCTTTTCGCTACCTGCTATTGCTGCAGCATCGATTCAATAGCTTCACGACTTTCGGCCTAAGCAAGCTCCAAAAAATAGCACATGCGACGTCCTGTGTAGTAGGGCCGAACACGACAAAAAACAGGAAATTCTCACCGAATACATCACGACCGCCGCACTGCGAGAACACACCTGTCTGGCAAAAATGCAAAGCTTTAGAGCAGTCAGGAGAGCCAAAGGCAAAAGGAGTGCCCTGGACCGGAATTGAACCGGCGATCTCGTCATTACGAGTGACGCGCCTTACCGCTTGGCCACCAGGGCATATGTGTTGACTTCGGTCCATTACATATGTAGTTCTTTTTGCCGAGATTTGCCTAAATTCTCCAGGCTGGAAGTGGTTAGCGCATTGGTATGAGCACGCACAGGATGTCACTCGTGGCTTCACCGCGAGGAGGCGATTTGAGCGCGACGGGGGGGGTACATCGTTGCGGCACAGGGAGGGCGGTCATTGTTGGTCGTGGGTGGACCAGCGACGTGACGGAATCTTTTCAAGTAATGGCGTTTTTGTAGGCAGCTCTTTTGCTAACACCCCTCCAGGCCAGAAGCGGGATCGAGAGGAGAGCACACACAGAAGAAAGAGGAGATAGAGGTTGATAGTCTATTATTTAGAGGATTATCGAAAAAGTGGAAGAGGAAGATGGTGATGATGAACCCCAATGCCCACCAACGGTGATCCCCACCAAGGTTGTTACGTTGATGCCCACTACTAACCACATTCGTTTTCTCCCGCAGACAGGAGTCCCCCTTCGCTTCCTCCATTCACTGACAACTCCTCCTCTCACCGACAGCTTCTCCACCGCCTCCGCCACATCGTGATCCTGCAGGAAGCGGACCCCCCACCTCCGAACTGAGCTTCGAGAGACAGACAGAGTGAACACCAGAAGGATCGAGGAGTCAGCGGGTCCGGTCAGCAGGACAACTACATGACACATCTGTTTCGTAGCGGCATGTCACTTCATTCACACCCAGACGACGTATTCGTGGCCGCACCAGCCACGCCACTCTCCCCCTTCAAGATCTTACCAGCGGCTCGCTGTATCGCCACTATCTCCTATCTCGACACACCGGACAAACCGTACGAGAGTTGGCGAGCACAAGGGACCGATACCGGTAGTTAGGAGGGAGGCGCTGGAACATAATCACAGACCGACGGATGAGCGGCCACCAAGATCGTCCGCCAGTCTTGCTGCACTTCTCTGTTACCTATTCCTTGTTTTCTTTCCTTGGCCCTGGGGCGTGCTCTGCTCATTATCTGCCTTGCCTGGAAGGAGGGTATGAATCGGGAGTTATTGCCCAGGCAGCAGGCAGGATATCATATGTCTCGCCACAGCCTACAGCCTGCGAACGGGTAGTCGGGAAACCAAATGAATAACACAGCACGGCGGGGCACCCGGTAAGTGTGAATATCCCGCAATGGCAGTGGTCACAATCCATCCTCCGGAGAAGCAGCACAAGTTGGAGACTTCTGGAAAGACGTGCCGTGGAGGGTGACGTCTTTGAGGGGAAACGGACGACACGGCCAGAGGTTTGAAGTGGCTTTCGACGAGCAGCGAGTACTATACTGATAGTTTGTGCAGCCAGAGGCATCGCAAGTGTACCTAGTGCACCCTCCTCCTCCTCCTCCTCCTCCTCCTCCTCCTCCTCCTCCTCCTCCTCTACCTCCGCACAGAGAACCACGCAAACCACCACCGACCGAGTGCATACCTGTGACCTCCGCCGAAACGAGCCATGCTGCTACCAGTCTCACCAGCCCCACCAGCACTGTCACCATGCATCCGCGCAAACCCGGAAACTCGCAAATCCTTTCTGCGCGAACAGCACACGCACTATACCGGTAGTACTGCTGCGACCGGCTAGGGCCCATATACCGGTAACCGGTAGCCCCCGCTTCGACGGCGGTGTATCTGCCGGCAGCACTCGTCGACGACCGCGCACCTACCGCCGCTACCGCCCCGCCGCCGCTGCCGGTGAGCCATCCACTCCTGTATGCTCGTGCCCACAAGGTGCTCGAGGTGCACGAGGTCCGCACAGACTCCTCGATCGCCAGGCGGGACGCAGATCTGCTCCAGGTATGTACATACCTACATAGACGCATAGAGTAGAGCATGGGGCCTGGAGGCTGGGGACTGATCAGCACAGCAGCCCGTCCGTTTCCGTCCGTTTCGAGAAGCGGCAGTGTTTAGTTTCTCCAGCCACAGCGGTGGCAATACCGGTAGACCTCTCGCCGCCCACGGTCCACCTCCCCGACACCCTGACCCTCCCTCCCCGTCCGCAGATCAAACCGCAACAAAAGGCGGGGTAAAAAGCTCAACGTGCAATGTGGCGGGTGAGCGGGACCCCCGTGCGGACCGTTGCCCGATATATACCAGGATATCCCGACCCACCCCAGCACCGGTCCGTCCGTCCATGTCCGCGCGTTCCGCGCCCTCTCCCTGCGTCGATCGGCAATACCATTACCTACCCTACGCTACCCCAGCGTGCCCACTGCCCCCTCCCCGTTGTCTCCGGCTGTGAAGGAGAGCCCCCTTGGGCCATCCCGGCTCCACACGTTGTTCGCCGGCAGACATGCCGCTGCGACCTGTCGGCACAGGGGAATCCCAGCAACACGCCATCCCACTGGTCTATGTACCGACAGACAGACAGACAATCCCCACCGCGCATCCCCGCCCCTCCCCCCGGTGATCAGCAACTCAAGACCACAAACAACGCATCGGACATACGCTTAATATGCTCATATGCTTGAAGCCCGGCTGAGGAAGATTTGGCATCACGCGCACCACACGAGCCACAGCTCGTCTGCCGAGTCCTGGTCGAGTGATATCGCGTGAGATCGTCTGAGGCTGCACTGGCCGGGGCCTCTTGGTCTTTTCGTGCGGCGGCTGTGGCGGTGGCAGTTGGTTGGTTGGGCGACAGGTATGTACGTTCGCCCGTATGACGGGGACGAATACGCGGTCTTTCTTGGAAAAATCATGAACGGGAAGGTGGACGGACACACAGCGATCGTTATTCGGTCAAACTCCTGGTTGTGGCTGCTGAGACGATGGCTACGGCGATATCTCGGAGCCTGTTTCTCCATACCTAGGTCCTAGTCAAACTGTCAAACCCCATAGATGCTACCATGCTGAGAGTCTGAGACTCTGGCTACGGCTAACGACCGTAGAAGATCTCGGAGAGTATTTTTCCATCTGCCTACCAGCTACAACTAGAACTTGTTCCAGGCCGTCATATCGACCTAATTTCACGGGGCGCGGGGGGAAGAAGGGGGTCCACGTACTCCATTGCGCGTTAGCTTCGTTTCCCTTTCGCTGTGTATTGTTTTTGTTTCTGTTTCTGGGCGGGGATATCCCCGCAAACTACGTACCTGTTCCTTGCGGTCGATCCCCCACACGTTTCCCGCCCCGCCCCCGCCCACCCCCATCCTGAAACAACGCCAAGAAGAACGTCGAAAGGAAAAAGGCACACGTGCTCGGGAGTTCGGACTAGTTACTTAGTCATATACTGGATCGTTGCGTGCATAGTTATTCGGACAGCCACCCAGCCTGTCCGAATACGACGAATATCCAGGCAATCATCTAGGTACTATTAGTAACTAGAGTCTAGGATACATCCGGCGATCTTGGCGTCAACTCCTCTTTGTAGCCTTACCGCTTGAGCTCTTCCTGTAGCCCGTGACGCGGCGGCGGCGGCCGATATCTATCGTTTACATATATACGGCAAATATTCGCTTGTTGGCTTCGGATCCGGACTCGACATAACTATCAGTCCACACGTACATACGGGACGGAATTAAAAGAAAACCTGCGGGTCGGAGCACGTGGCCGGCGGCAAGACGGCGGTAGAGTTGGATCCCCCCAGTCATCCCCAGTTATGTGGAACTTAGTTATTTCCGGTTAGGTATCTGGGGTTCGAACTTCGGTGTGGAGAAATGGAGAAGTGGAGAAGTGGAGAAGTGGAGAAGTGGAGAAGTGGAGAAGTGGAGAAGTGGAGGTTCCGGGATTGGAGGTTCCATGCATGTTCCTTGACTAGGTACACCGTGGAGCTTGCAGGTCGTTGTAATGCAGAGTATGTGTGTACGGTATGATGACCGGTGGTCATTGGTGCGCAAGCAAAGCCAGAGCAACCAGAGCCTCACCCCGTGCTGATCCGCTGCGTACATATGTACTCTACATAGCAGCGTAGGCGCTACCCATATTATTATCGCCAGGATATGCTTTCTCGCAGACTCGCAGGCTCGCAGCGATGGGAGCGATGGGAGCGATGGGATGAATGGAGCGTTAAGGCGAGACGCGGTTCGTCTCAGTCTCAGCATTTGCCCCAGCCATGGAGCCCTCGCATCCTCGTTTCGCGTTTCATGCGACGGCTGAGCTGAGCTCAGCTCAGCTCAGCGACTAGAGTAGTTAGAGCATTATTTTTTTTGGCTGTGCCCGCCAACTACATACGCGAGTTGCGAGTTTGCGAATCCGGCGAGGAAGTTGGAACTTGGAACGAGACGGCAGCAATCTCGAGATTCGGTGAGTCGATGCAGAGCGGGCGGGCGAGTGCGCGAGTGCGCGGGAAGGGTCGCACTGAGCGCGTAGGGCTGGCGACATCTACATTCATAGGCATGTTCACATTCCTCCTGCGCTGCTGCATAGCTGAGCGCTAGAATGCAGCGGCGAACGAGCGAGAGGTTGAGAGGGCGAGAGGGCGAGAGCACTTCAAACTTCAAACTTCAGCCGTTCGGTCATGCGTATGGAGCCTCCAGGCTCCTAATCCTATTGATGCGGCGATGCATCTAGCAAGGTGGAAGCCTAGAAGACGGGTCGCGACTGGCGACCCGAGTGGGCTAATTGAGAAATATGCTTCTTTCGTTTCGCGCCCGGCGAGGCGAGCAGCGAGCAGTGAGCTTCCACATATATGTCGGCGACAGGTGTGTGCATTGTGTTTGTGGCCGAGATTGAGGAATGTGGACGTGAATGTGAATGTTGGTTGGGCAAGGCTTGCGAGTCGCGATTGTGGAATGTGAATGTTTGGCGAGGCTCGCAATTGACGGAGGTTGCCGTGACTACACTTCTGGTACTGCTACAATAGGTACATGTTAAGAATAGGTAGTTGACATATCATTCACAGCCTGGCAGGAGCGGCGGAGCCTTGCTTTGGCGACACAAGGCTCGCAGAGTCGCAGCCTTATCCAACCCAATCCAATTCCGTTGACGTGTTCGCGCCCCGACTGGACTGGACAGCACGGGATACTCTAGAAAGATGGGATTTCGACAACGCCATCACCACACCCAGCAGCACCTGGCAGCCTCTGCACTCCACCTCTCGCTTCCCCCCACCCAGTGCCTCACCCACCCTCCAACCGACAAGGCTCCCGCGGGATTACGTCCAATAATAAAAGCGTGCCACTTCCAGCACCAACACCAGTTCCAAGTTCCAACGGCGACTCTAGGTAGCGAGGCGGCTGCCATACTGTAGTGTAGTGTAGTGTAAGCTACTACCCCGATCCGGCGCTCGAGAAGAGTCGAGATCGCGGTGGCATCACTCATCAGTCCATTTTTATTCCCGCCAGTTGGAGCTATGAACTTGGTACTTTGGGGGTGGACCGTGGGGGGACGTAGAGTCGCAGTCTCGCAGACATCCCACCATAGTCCATGCCACGTTCAAGCTCCCGTTCCCGCTGGCAGCTGGCAGCTGGCTTAACGAGCCATGGACCGTGGACCGTGGACCATGGAGTCGCGGACCGTGGGTCGGAGTTTGAACAGCGCGGCGGCGAATGTGCACCATGGTCCATACGTACGTAGGAAAAGGAGTACAATACATACTCCTCTTATCTGACTGGCCACCTGCCTGCCTATGTAAGTACTTCGTTGCCGTACCGTACCGTACCGTACTGTACCGTACGATATTCAGATATGCACATTGCCCACCGGTGACTGGCCGCCTAGCGAGCGAGCCGGGAGTGCGGTACCGGGTCCGGTACCGGGTCCGACACGATGTGCAGACGAACTGGTGCCAGCATGCGAGTTCATCTATCTATTAGGTACTGCACAAGGCAAGTCCACGCTGCGAATACTATCCATGATATGTAGAGTATGTTCGATTCTTCGATTCTTCGATTTCAAGGATTGCCGTGTTCTCTCTCGCTAAAGTAACACCACACACCAAAGTTCAAACGGCGAAACGGCGAAACAAAACGAGACGAACTGAAACGAAACGGAAACGATCGGTGAGTAGAGTACCGGTATGTATCTGAGTATGTATTCCACACGTCGCCCAAAGGCCATGATGGCCAATCACCGCATGCTCCCCTTCACCCAACCCACCCACCCACCCCCAACCCAGCCCGAACCCAGCCCAGTGTATATCCGACCCCATCCTGAAAGGTAAAGAAAAGAAAAGAAAAGAAATCGAAAATCGAGAAAACTGCAAAATGCAACACCACCGCCATGAATTTTTTTGCTCCTCCATCTCCTTCTCCTCCTGCCCCTTCTGCTCCTGCTCCATCCTGCTCCATCCTGCTCCATCCTGCTCCATCCTGCTCCATCCTGCTCCATCCTGCTCCATCCTGCTCCATCCTGCTCCATCCTGCTCCATCCTGCTCCATCCTGCTCCATCCTGCTCCATCCTGCTCCATCCTGCTCCTCCCGCCCATGTTGCTCCTCCCGCCCATCCTGCTCCTGCTCCTACTCCTCCTTCTCCAGCACCTGATCGTGATCGTACCACAGCCCAATATAAACAAAAAAAGTAAAAAAGTAAAAGAAACAAGAAAAAAATGGAAAAAGAAGAAAAAGCGAAGACGCGAAAAAGCAAGAACGAAAACAAAAAACAAATGCCACAAACACCAGCGACCGCAACCAAAGCCAAAAACAGCCAAAAACCAAAGCCAAAAACAGCCAAAATAAACAAATCTCAAATCCCACAGAAATCGGGCACGAGACCCAAAAACAAAAACCAGAAACCAAAAAGGTTAAGCAAACCAAAATCAAAACCAAAAAGGTTAAGCAAAAATGAAAAACATCCTTTTCCGGGTTCCCCGCTCTCATTCCCCACCACCCACCGCGCAGCGCCCACCAATAGTGTTGTTGCTGCTGCCAGTGTCGGTGTTGGTCTTTCCGTTGCTGTTGCTGTTGCATTCAGTCCGACCCCGTGGGGTCAATAAACACGGTCCCCTTCTCCTCGACGCCGTCTGCGTCCTGTCCGGGGTTTGCAGTGCGGTAGTCGACAGCCAGGAGGCACTTATACACTCCCGCTGCTGCAACAGCGCCCACACACGGTGCGATCCCTATCACCAGTCAATACCAACTTCTGCCGCTTCGGCAGATAGTACTCACAGTATACCCAATGCCCGCCACTAAAATCCGCATCCACCACGGCGGGGCCGAAGGAGCGTGCGGGGTTCATACTCGCGCCGGTCAGACTAGCGGAGACTAGATGCCCGACCCCGAGCGCCGCGCCGATCACCAGCGGCGCCAGGTGCGTCGCCCGGTGCTTCTCCACCGCGATCATGAACACTGCCAGCGCCAGCTCCGCCGTCAGGAACAGCTCGATGAAGAAGCCCTGCGCGGGGGTGACGCCCGCGCCGAGCGTCGTGCGCACCGCCAGGCGGTAGTCGGGTACGAGCGCCTTGGCTACGCCGGCGGCGGCGATGCCCGCGAGGAGCTGCGAGGCGGCGAGGAGTAAGCCTTTGGCCGGTGTCATGAGCCGGAGCGCGACGAAGGCGAGGGTGAGCGCCGGATTGAAGAGACCACCGGACACCCGGTAGAATAGCCACACGTTGGCGGTGAGCGAGAGCGCGAAGGCGAGAGAGATGTAGAGAAGCAGTGCGACGGACTCGGAGGAGCTGGAGGTGGCCGCGGAGTTCTTCGCCGCTTGCGTCGCGATGTACGCCGTGCTGAAGAAGAGGAATGTTCCGAGGAATTCACCGGCGGCGGCGATTGCGTCTGGAGAGGAGCGGGAGGGTTAGTGGCTGCGTTATGCAGGTAGTGGACGGGGTGGTATAATACAATTCCTCGCCGTGCTACCGCCGGTCCGTGTGCGTCCAGAGAGACCGTTCTCGTCGGCAACGGGTATCGTCGAAGTGCTTGCGGATTCTTTACCGGCCATCTTCGAGGTTTCGAGTTGTTGATGTGGTGGTGGCAGAGGAAGAGGTTGAGTCGGGTTCGAAGATGGTAGCAGCTGTGGCTGCTGCGCTAGCGAACTACGGGACGGAGGTGACACAGACGCAGCTCGGAATAGCGTCTCGTAGTATGCAACCGACTCGAAACAGCAACAACTGCGGCGGGTAAAGAGGAGGATGGAAGAATGCGGCGAAGAAGAATGCGACGAAGAAGAAGGTGGAGAAGAAGGGTTAAACTTCTGGGGGGGAGAAGGGGGAAAAGGAAGAAGAAGAAGCAAGAAGTTGAGGCCGCTGCAGCTGCTGCGACAAACGAACGGACATGTGGTTGGGGGTGGGAACGACAGCGTCTTATGTATGTGGCATGCCAGTGAGTTCGCAGTTCGTGTTGTACGGGGAGGGGAGACTACGAGTGAGCACGGTACGATACGGTGCGGTACGGGTCCTCGCCCTCGCCATGGCTGGAGCCGGAGCCAGAGCCGGAGCCAGAGCCAGAGCCAGAGCCAGAGCCAGAGCCAGAGCTGGCGGCTGGCGGTAGTGGCTCGCCGTCATGCATGTTGGATTCGACCGTGGCGGTCCCGGCGAAGAGGGCAGCGTGCGACGTACAGTGCGCAGGTGATAGGTGCGTACAAAATCATTTGGGTATGCACATATGATACATCACAGTATGTACATACAGCAGGCGCACGCAGTCTGGGACCGACGACGGCGGGCTGCATCAATCATGCCAGAGCTAGACTGAAGCCATGTCCTTCCACGCGATTGTCGTCGTCCACGAGGCCTTCGCGGGACCCACGACTCCACGAGCGAAGAGGGGGGGTTTGGCTAAATTGGCCGTCTCGGATTGGCTGCGCCCGACCATGTACTCTACATACTCCATGTACCTACCTCCATAGCATCGTGGTCATCGTACACCCGCACTCTACTCTGCGGTACTCTACTCTAGTAGGAACCTACTAATCCCCACCCCTTTTCAGCTCAACTTCAAACGGATTCCACCCCAACTGCCCCCAAATGCCAAATGCTGATGGGAATAATTTTTGCTTCTTCGCCCCCCCCCCCCCCCCCCCCCCCCCCCGTCCCCTCTACCCCGTCCCCTTTGTGGAAATGAAATTCCACGAGCTCTCCCCCGGGATAAAAAAAAGAAAGGAAATAAGAAAGATAAAAGAAGAACGAGGAGAAAAAAAAGAAGAAAAAAGAAGAATTCAGTAGTAAAAAAGTCCGTCACGCCACCACCACCACCGGCAGATCTCCTTCCTTCCTTCCTCGTGAGAAGTATGTAGCAGGCAGAATGTTCTACCCCATACGGCCCCAGTAACCAAGGTCAAAGTAAGATACATACCGTACCCATCTACGAGCACAACCACCTCCCTCATCCCCCGCCCGCCCCCAGCTGGAAGTCAGCGCCCTCCACTTCCGAAAGTTTCCTTTTCCCTCGCGTTCCAATCCCTTTTCCCTCGCGTTCCAATCCCTTTTCCCTTTTCCCTGCATGCTACCTACATAGGACAGGCTAGAGGGGTTCAATCTCCACCTCCACCTCCACCTCCACCTCCAGCCGGCCGGCCAGCTTCGAGCCTGGAAATCTACGTCTGCATCTACTTTGCAGCTGAGCCTGTAGGCTGTGTATGTACATACATTTCGGTACACAACGCGCAACGACCCGTGATTGTGTATCTAATATGTACCGTAGGCATACCGAGCTCAGCTGCTCAGGCGAGGCGAAGGCGAAGGCTTCGCCCGAAGAGGTGGAAGACGACGACGTAGAATACGTGCCGAGCTGAGTATAGTAGAGGAGTCAGCGATTGTTTACTCTCCACTCCAGCTGCACTGCTCGCACTTCTCGCACCACTCCGCCCTCCGCCCTCCCTCCTCTGCCCGATTGCTGGGGGGCCGGGGGTGCGGCTCTTGCGCAAGAAAAGGCATTCCACACACTACAGTGCGTTCGTAGAATCGTGGGCATGCGGGCGGAGAGCAGCCGCCCGCCCATCCGGCCGCATTACTTCGCCCGGCGCCGGGAGCCCGTGCTTGTGCTGCCGTGCATGCATGTAGTTGCCACTTGCCAGTGCAGTGCAGTGCGGCCGGGCTTCCTCACGATATCTACAGACTACAGCAACCCACCACCACACCACCCCGTCCATGCAGCTCCAGTCCGTGCAGCTCAGTCCGTGCAGCTCCAGTCCGTGCAGCGCAAGCCTCAAGCCTCAAGTCTGTGCACCTCGAGTCCGTGACCACTGACCACTCACCCTAGCATCGTGTCTAGCATCGTGTGGTAGCATCGCATCGTGTGAAGCAAGTAATCAAGTAAGTTATCGCCTGTTGAACAGGGGCCGCGGGGGCCGGGGGGCAATGCGGTCAACCGTTCACCGTCCACCAGACCAGCGCTCCCACCGCCGCGAGATAAGGACAGCCTGTAGTCCTAGATAGGATCCGCGAGACAGAGGCCCCGTGCCCGTACCACGCGAGGGCGGGATGGCGATGGCGACGGCGATTGCGATGGCAGGCGGGTTGAACATTGAACAGTAAACATCGAAGTGGTACGTACCATATCACTCGCCAGCCCGACAGTTGTGGTTTACGGTTTGCGGTGTACCCATTTGCCGCGCTCACAACCTTGAATCGACCAACCTTGAATCGACCAACCTTGAATCGACCAATCGACCAATCGCCGGGGGGAGATCGACATGCTGCCGCAGTGAACGTTGGATCCATCATCCCTCATCCATGGAATTGCCGCGGGAGGCGAACGGGTTACCGGTCACGGCAAGGCGTGTGTGTGTGTGTGTGTGTGTGTTTATGGTGGATCGGCGGACGTGCAGCAGCATCATGCAGTGCGGTGCAGAGTACTGTAGTTTATTCGAGAATTCAGATGGAGTGCCATTACCTACACAGGTAACTACACAGGTACCTACAGAGGTACCTACAGAGGTACATACATACATACATAAAGTAGGTAGAGTACCGTAGGGTAGGGAAGGGTATGTAGGGAACGTACGGTAGTCGGTAGACAACGAAGGCTTCGCTCGCAACCCCGCTGTAGGGATGTGCTCCACAATGCACATCATATGTGCGGTATGTACGGAATCTTCAAGGTTAATTATTAGGTTACCTATTGCGAAACCTACAGCCATCACCCCCATCACCCCCGCCCACCGCCCACCGCCCACCCCCAGCGGAGAAATACAAAGAAAGACTCGCGGGCTGCGGGGGTGGTATGGTATCATATGATATGTATGAAGTATATGTGCTGCCGTACCGTAGTCTGTACAGTGTAGATCGGTTTGGCGGCCGGACCTGCACATGGAACCGCAACTTCACCTGCAACTGCAACTGTAACTGCAACTGTGGCGCCAGATGGGCGATCCGGAGAAAAGAGAGATGATGCGGTCAATGGATGCATGTATGTATGTACGTGTCCGTGCTTCTTCTCCACCCACGCACGCCTTGCCTGAAGTTGCGATGACGACGATGGGCATTGCCATTGCGCTGGCGCATGCGGGACGGATGGTAGGGAGTGCAGTTCATTCGAGTGGAGTGGGGTGGAGAGATGCCTCATGATACATACTGACATACGGACTGACAATGATCGCCGCAGACCTGTCCGTGCCGAGAGAGGCGTGCGTGCGTGCGGTATTTCGAAATTCGCCGCCGGCATGAAACTTGTACGCTGTTGATTGTTTGCGCATAACAAACCTGCTATGCCGGCCCCTCCATCTCCAGATACATCCACGACCCAGTCCTTGGGACACATATACACATATGATATATCAGCTGCAAACTTTAGATGGGGGAGGGGGGTTGGGGGGAGGGCATCCGGATTCCGGAATGAGTGCACTCAATCCACCCACCAGTGACTGTTCCATCCCTCGATTCTCGCCTCCCGAATCTCAAACTCAGCGTACGAGCTGTAGTTGTGGTTGTGGTTGAGGTTGAATCATACGCCAGCATTCCGCGAATCCGTCCGTGCATGTCCGATCCGCCGAGCACTCAGCTCGTACATAGTAACATAAGACCTAGGAGGTACGTAAGCTTTCAGCCGAATGCTCGCTCGCGCTCCTCGAGGAGAGTTTGCGCAACATCAACGGACGACGGAATGGACTGACGGAGCCCCACTCACTCACCGCCATCGGCTACCTACCGATAGCCGGCCGAGGATAGTTGTTTTTTTTTGGAGGGGCGGGGGTAGTGGAGGGATCCACAGCCAGATGCCGGGCGATTGTTTTTTCCACTGCCATTGCCGTTGCCACCGGCGCGACCTGTATGTACTCAGGTATAATGCACATAGATTGAAGGAAACGGACAACGCACCAGTGCACCACCCCTCTTCCCCCTCACGATCGACAAGTTTCAAGGCATTCAACCCTTCCACGTAGATGGTTGACGGTGGGTCTCGTACGACAGTGCGATTTCGCCAGCCCCCGAGCTCGTGCCCATGGCCGCCAATGTTTGTTATCTAGGTACTTAGTTATCTGGTTACTCCAGGACGGAACTTGGAAGTGGGAGTCTTTCTGTACTCTACATAAGTAGAGTGACGAGTCGCACGTGGAACTGACTGACCGTGGCCGCAATTTCAGTTATCTACTTGGTATGCATAACTTGGTCACTCCAGGACGGAACTTGGAAGTTGTAGTGTGCCTGTCTGTACTCAGTAACTCTACATAAATAGAGTCGCACGTGGACAGTGGGATTGACTTACCGTAGCAGACTCTCGGAGACACAGAGACACAGAGCTGAGAGCACAGCTGCGGTGCTAGTTGAGTACGTGGGACGGCGGGAGGGACGAGTGCAACTGTGCGAGCGCCCGCCGTGACAGGTGTCAGGTCTCAGCCAGCCACCAGGCTTCAACAGCGTGCGTAGTGGCGTCAGCGGCCGGGACGCGGCGTCGACGATCTCGAGAGTCGGCGTCGAGCGTCGGCGTTGCTGAGGATTTTCCGCCACCCACGGGCGGCTGGCCACACTTGACATCGCCGAAAGTCGCTTATGGAAGCTGATTGACGATCAGTCGGAGGATTCGGATTGACTGGCGCTCGCGAAGCATTGGAATTGGACTTAATGCAGAGATCTGCCACAAACCGTCGCCTAGTAGCGATGTCTCAGACTCTGAGTATGACACTTTTCCCGATCGAGCCAGCCGCGCCGTGCTGGCGCGACGACACCTGACTGCGCGTAAGTTTAGAAATGTCTCTTGTAGTCGCGCCGCGAAGGCCAGGGCTTTAGAGTAACTAGTACCACGGCCAGCGCTGCCACTGTTGGGCTAATCTTGCGTGCGGACGTCGGACGGAGAGACGGGGGTGGCTGGTAACTATGCATGCAATGGTACTCGGTTAGTTACTACTAATATTTGGACGGCGGTGCCACAGGTTTGAGGTGATAGCACGGACCTACTCTACTCGGCGCATGCATCACCACCACAGTCCATCAACCAGATCCGGGTGTCTCAGCGGAGTCCGCACAGATCAGATCAGATCAGGATCCCGAGCCAAACTTGAATCGCGGCTTGAGGGAGAGGGAGAGCGCAGGTGCCATATGCACGCGCGGGATCGGCCGGTGACTGCTTTCATGATTCGATTTCCGTTTCCGTTTCCGTCGCGCTGTCTATCGAGATTAGAGACTCCTCCGCCGTCCCTTTTCCTTCTCCCTTCTCCTACGACGGTCAGCTTTCAAAGGACGATAGAGTTAGGACTGGGTAAATATCGGAACAACCTGCAGATGTCAGCGCCGATCGCTCTGGGCGCCGAGACGCGTTCCGTGTTCGTGCGACGGGGTCGGGAGGGGAACATATCGCAATGACATTTTCTGCCGCCGACGAGCTGTATTCGAGCAAGAAACAGGCTTGGTGCTGTCGTGCAGCACTCTGCTCGGCGGTTCGGGGAACCGGGAGTGCGAGGACATGGGTTGGCACTCGGTTGCGAAAGGTGAAGGGGGTAATTCGAAGGCGAGTGACGACCACTATCTCCAGCTCCAATGTGAGATTTCAATCTTTCCACGCCTTCCAGAATAGGTGCTCGGGTTACAGCTGAAGAGTCGCTGCTGTGGACCTGCGGCGGCGGTGCGGGAAGAGGCATCGGCAATGTAGTGGGCTCCCGAGACGCGGCGCGAAGACGTCATGCATCGTGAGTCGTGACATGCTGTGAGACGCGGCGAGAAGACGTCATGCATCGTGAAATTCTGTGGACGGAGGGCCGGCGGTGGAGTGACGTAGTTAATGCAGGCGTAAGTTGGCGCGAGCGTGGAATTGCCTATATGCGTAGAGTGCGTGCAAACTTCGAAGAACGATAATCGTTCACGGTGGTACACTGACTGGCTTTCTCTTTTCATCGTTAACGACAGAGCTGAGAGCTGAGAGCTGATTTTCGATGATACGGCACTAGGTATTAGGCAGTACTACGCACCGCTTCCCGTGCCGTCCACGGTAGCACCGATGACTCGGTGAGAGGGAGGGAGTAAATACCTGATACATCAATGTATTCCGCACCCAGCCTTCCAGAAACCTTTCCCGCCCGCCCCAGCAAAGGGCACCCACCCCCAACAACCACCACCGCTCGGTCCATCGCCCGCCCCGGCTTGGTGTGATCGCGCACACTGCAACACGAAAAGATACACGGAACCGAGTGACCGCGCGACGACGAGATGCCTCCTTGTTCCATACAGCACGTGATAGCTTCTCGCACGCGAGACGGGACTGTCATGTGTAGCACGTGCCCGGCACGGTCGTGATTGCGGTCACATGTTCTCGTTCGTTCATGGCCGCTCACGCGGCACATCGACACGGTCTGCGATTCTGAGTATTCCGAAATTCGATTCTGAGTATTCCGAAATTCGATTAGCGGTCACTGAAGGGAGGGAAATGGAACAGCGGAGGGCGGAGATACGCTAATTTCGAGGGCCCTTTGCCAATGCCTCTCTAGGCCTGACGAGTCGGGCAAGAAAGAAAGATCAATCATGACAGAGAAGACATGGGATATGGGGGGGCCGGGGGGTTTGCTGGCTGTTCGATAGATGATAATCAAGAAAGAAGAAGACGGCGAAGAAGAAGCAGACGAAGAAGACAACCCCGCCATGCCCGCCAAAGTTGATGCCCACTACTAACCACATTCGATTTCTCCCGCCGACAGGTGTCCTCCTTCATTTCCTCCTCCAGCCGACAGCTCGTCCATTACTTCCTGCTCTCGCCGATAGCTCCTCCTCCTCTTGCCGACAGATCCTCCATCACTCTGCCACACGGTCGTCCTCGTCGCCATCGTCCTCCTGGTCGTCCTCCTCGCCCGAGTTATGTGTGGAGGAACCTAGGAGAGCGTGGTCCGGTTATATGTACTTGGCTCTTTCTTTTCTTTTCTTCGCGGGAGCACGGACACGGCTAACAGAAGGAGGGAGAAGAGCAGAAGAATGAAGATCTGGATCGAGAGAGGAGGAAGGCTGACGGACCAGGAGAATGGCTACAAATGTGAGCTTGGTATGCGCTTTCTATGTGATTCCTGCCCTGCTGGAGGAGGGGACGGATTAGATCCGAGCATTTGACTGACTGGCACCGCTGAGTAGAAACACCGAGTACGGCCGAAGGGGACTGGATAGGGAAAACCGCATATTCTGGGTACACCACCAGCTCTTTCTCTCCCGCCGGCCATTTTCCTGTTTGGTATCGCGGTCGTCTTCGCCATCGTCTGTATGGCCGCCAACTACTCCAAGAATAAGCAGGCTGTTTGCGATGGGACACTTGAGGTACACGGCTGAAGTCTCCTCGGCGGTGCGGAGAACAGTATGATGTTGTACTAATCAGGAACGATTGCATAAAGGATACGAAACCGAAACTGAAAGAAAACACAATAGAAAATAGCGGCCGGGCGCCGAGCACGAGGATATTCGTTTCTGAAAAACGGATCCATTCTTGCGAGCAGCTAGATTGATTTCACGAGATTTACTCGATTTTGCAGAAGGGTCACGCAGATGTTGGCATCACCATGGTACGATACGTCGATGGGAATGGAAAACCCAGTATTCATAATCATCCAACAACAGAAAAAGCAACAGACATACACTTCCAGCACTCCAGGTTTCAAACCTTCGCGGCAACCTCCTTGTCGTCCACCGGGATCGATGTGTGCTCCAGATGCGCTGCGTATCCCTTTTCCACCTTCGCGTTGACGCGGTCTTGCATGTCCTGGCCCTCGAACACTGGGGAATGCGTCAGTAATTTGAATCAAGTGGTGCACGGGAGGTGGATGCTTACTGAACGCCAACTCTTCGAGCGAACGGTTCGAAGTCTCGGGGTAGATGATGTACACGACGATGAGCTCCACGATCAGCCACACACAGTACCAGATGTAGTACTTCCAGCCGATGGTGTCCAGGCCGATGGGGTTGACGAAGGTGTTGATGAACGTGGCCAGACGACCCCAGAACTGCTGCATGGTGATACCCTTGGGCCGGATGGTGAAGGGGAAGATCTCGACCAGATAGGTGTAGGTCAGCGCGTTGAAGGCCAGATTGTAGAAGGGATTGTAGGCGAAGATGGCGGTGAGGGTGGCGATTCCGGCGCCCTTGGTTCCGTTTTTCGCGTACTGCGAGGACGCGACGGTGAGCGCGATGTACACGCAGAACATGCCCGAGATGGAGGTCAGGAAGGTGCTGCGGCGGCGGAACTTCCGGACGATGAGGGCCGAGAAGAGACCGGTGCAGAGCGACCAACACGTCATGCCCAGGTTGATGATGTTCTGCTCGCGACGGTCGGTGATGCCGACCTGGTCGAGGATCTTCTTGAGGTAGAACGACAGTGGGTTGTTGCCGGACCACTGCGCGAATACACCGATGCAGAGCGCCAGCACCGCACGCTTGCGGTTGGCCGCCGACGTGAAGAATTGCATCCAGCCCATCTTCTTGTTCTCGAGCTCGGTCTCGATGGTCGCGCGGATCTGAGCCATCTCGGCTGCCACCAGCTCACTGTCTTCGTCGCCCTCGGCGTGGTACTTGATCAGAATCGCGCGAGCCTCTTCGTACCTGTCCTTGGAGACCAAGAAACGAGGTGATTCGGGGATGGCCCTGATATCCGCATCAGCACTCGTTTTCTCACGAAAAAGGACATTGAGGGGGATCTCACCACAAGGCCGCAAGCTGCGTCAAACTCGGTACGAATTGAAGATAACTGGGAATTCGCCACGACCAATTGTTGGGCATGTCATAAGTTCCCAGATTGATTCCGGCGGCGATGATGGCGCCAATGAACCAGGAGCAGTTGAAAAGCGACGTCATGATGGGCCGCTCCCGAGGATGCGAAAGTTCTCCAATGAGCGATGAGGCAGCTACGATGGCGAACGGGATTCCGTAGCCAAGAATCAGACGCGCGATAACGAACATGGCAACTGTGGTTTGTCATATTAGTACGAGTCCCTTCTTTCCCTTTCCCCTCCCGAGTGCCACTTACAGTTCTGACTGGCACCCTGCAGGACGGCGCCAATAATCATGATGACCGAGCCGACGTAGATAGCCATCTTCCTCCCGTACTTCTCGTTCACCAGCGGGACAACGGGCAGGGCAGCCAGACATCCGAGCGAGTACGACGCGGTCAGGATACCGAGCTGGGCCTTCCTCGGGTTTCCAAAATACTCCTCCCAGTAGACGATGGTCTGGATACCGTTCATCATCGACGAGTCGAATCCGGACGTGTACTCGACGCCTAACAGCCCCGGAATCATCAAAAAGTAGAGGGAGCGGAGGTTCGGCTTCTGGAACCAGCGGCGCTCATCTGCGTCGGCGAGCGTGGTGACGAGCGGGTCGACGGCGGCCTCGACCGGGGTCGGAATGGCGATCGGTATCACTTTGGAAGCCATGGTGGGGTACCGTTTGCACGTTTGGCGATCTGTTCTGGCGTGCGTGCGTACGAGCGTATGTGCTGGGACCAGAGAAGGGAAGAAAAATGTGGGGTTCGCTGGGGATAGTTTATATAGCAAATCCTTAGATACCCATAACCCTGTAGGGTAGTATGTGCATAGTAAGGCTCCCCCCTCCCCTCCCCGCCTCCCCCTCCCCGGTGGGCCCATGGTCCATACCCCGAGATTGATCGCCCCGCATGCGACAGACTGACTGACAGACTGACAGACTGACAGACAACAAGTCCACCACGCCCACCGAGCCGCGTTGCAAATGTACCCCACGCCCGTCCAGCCATACATGCACCGCGTGCACCGCGGCCAGTCCAAGACTCCAAGAGGGACTCGAAACCCCCCCAACGCAGCCTTGCCTAGATAGAGTTTATCCGGGGCGTGCATGAGAGGCGAGCGTCCCGGTTCCCCACGGGGATCGGCTCTGGTGGACAAGTGCTTATTGTCAACGGCCGAGCCCTTCGCACCCACCCCTGGCCTGCAGAGAACTCCGGCGGGGCCGGACCGCATTCCCGACACCACGGACAACAACGTACCTATGTGCATACCGCCTCGTCAATCGATCCGCCGCGCGCGCCAGGTAGTAGCTTCTCCCCACACGCCCGGTCCCTCCCCAGGGAAATCTCAGCGGGTTCGTGGAAATTGGGAATTTTTCCTGGCTCCGATGCAATGAACTTCTCGGCTCCGAGATTGGGTACATACCGTACTTCGCAGCCGCATAGATGAAATTCGGATCCTCCAGGGACGGGGTCAGTCACATGGCGCGACCCGACGGATCCATCCTGCGGAGGAGCCTCATTGTCGAGAAAGCCGCCGCCGTCGTCGGTGGTTCTTCAAGAAGGCAGAAAAAGAAAAGAAAAAAAGATGCTCACCGGCGGCTTTCAAGGTAGTTTCCCTAGCCAAGCCAATCCCACCGTCGCGGGCCGTGGACCGTGGGCGCCGTCGAAGAGTGTCTCGTACATCATCACGGGTGAAAAGGATTATATTCCCCCTCCGTCGATCGCAGCCGTATACAGACAATCGAATGCTAACTGAGTACTAGTACATAACCAAATAACCAGGGCAGAAAGTCAGAACTCTTTTTCCGGTTGGTTAGTTCGGAGTTCCTCGCACGCACCCACCCCGCGACTGGCCAACGGACGTTCTCGTTGGACGGCCGTCACCGACACACACGCGCCACGTTGTTTTGACGTCTGCTGCGGTACCGCGATTCCGCCGGATTAGAGTGCGCGTGGAGCGCTGCTCCTCAGTGGCGTCAGTGAGACATGTACATATGCAGGGTGTTCCGCCGATCCGGTCAACACGCGGGGAAGCGGCAGCTTTGCCGGCGAAGCTTGCTAGTGTGGACACTTGGTAGTGGGAGGGCTGGTCCGGTATTCGGGAATGCCAAGATGGCAGACGGACCGAGAATGCTTCCACTCGACTATAAATGGAATCCTGGGGATAGATATTAGATTGGTGCCCCGAACGTGGCAAGTGGGAGGTTCTTTGTTTTTGGGGGCGGGCTCATCGTTGGAGCTTGAGTTGGTTCCATGATCATTGATCATCATTGATCATACCTTCCGCAATCCGGTACTCTGGTATCTTGGGAAACGCTGTCGACCAATACATCGTGATGAACAATCTACTCAGGTCCCCCGAAGCTTCTGATCCAGACATTCCTAAGACGATATGGCAACGAAGCCAAATCAATACTGGTACAGATGTGATCTGAAACCGCGGTCCGTGGAACAGATTCTTGCCATCGACGTAGGCTTCAAAGTTCAGAGGCCCACCAAGGAGGCCTGGCCGCCTGGTATTAAGGCCCCCACCGGAAGCCCTTTATGTTCGATCACCAAGTACTGACAGACAGAACGTCATTTGCTGTTTAGGCATCCCGTTTAGTATTGTTGCGCACATAGCCGTACCATAAAGAAGCTCTGTACCGATACCCCAAGTACTTGTCCCTCTCCAAGACGCCCCTAAGCGCCTGGCTTCACCGAGAAATAGCGAAGCGAGCGTCCTATGTACATACTTGTGGTGCACCGCTACCTGCCTATGTACCTATGCGGCGTTCGGAGCAGACAGAGGTGGTTGGAATTCTCGGCTCCAAGCGAAGTTCCAACTTCCATACCCTGCAGACTGTCTCGTATGTGGGGTAGGTACATCCCGTAAAATATGTGGGGGGAGAGGGGGGGCAGTCAGGACCCGCATAGCGTGGAACTGCGAATTTCCCGGGCCCCCGGACAACCTTGCACACCTGTATATTTCCCCAGATGTTGATCACAAAGTGCCTCAAATGCGGAGTTTTGGTCCAGGCGCGCCAGGATACCGACCACTGCGCTCATGATTCATGGCATCGCACTGCACCGGTCTACCGATCGTACTACCTAGTTAGTACGGTAGTCTAGTACTGCGCCGCTGGTCGTGATCATATGTACCGGTATTCCGTATCGACGTATCGCAGTGGACCTGTGGTCGCGGCCCCCATCTCGAGATAACTACTCTTCCAAGTTCCCCCGAGCACGAAGGAGGGCTTGGGGGATGAGAATTGCGGGGGCTGGGGTGGGCGCGGGAATCTCAGCAGCTGGCTACCTACCTAGTTACCCACTTTAGAGTTGTTGTCGTTGTGGGATACGGAAGTTGGAACGATTCGAATCTCCGCCATTCGTGTCCAGCCACCGGCCCACCAGGATAACGTTAAACGCGTCGCGTCGACTCGGCATGTAGGGCATCTTTTGCGAGAGAGAGAGAGAGAGAGCGGGTACGAAAGCCCCGACTCGAGCCCCCGAGCTCGAGCCGTCATGTGGCAGATTGGAATTTCGCCGTTGACAGGACAGTCCTGGACGTCTGCTTCACATAGATTGCTGTACATTTCGGATGTATGAACCACTCTACTATAGATTAGAGTAGGTATACTATACAATGGCCGCTAACCAACGGTCGCGCTGCGACGTCCGGACGTCCCGCCGAGGGCCCACAGACTCTCCGGTGAGTCGGTGACGGTGATGGTGATTGTGACGGTGCGGCGCTGCACTGCGGTGTTGTACTGGTTGGTCAAGCTCGGTCGTATATTCTCGTAGATGCACTGCCATAGACACAGACAGATAGACAGGTGACCACCGGTGAATCTGTCGCATTCGTTCCAACTTCCGCCCACTCCATTATACGAGCGGGCGGCCCCCGCTTCTGGCAGCTCTTCCCCGCCCCCGAGTGGCGAGTTAGAGGGTGGGGGCGGGCATTGCAGTGCAGTGCAGCGCATACATAGGCAAAAACTTCGTCGGAGCGGTTCCAAGCTTCTAGCCCCGACATACCGTGGGTACTTGATCAGTTTATTAGTAGCCCGCTCGAAAGTATGCATGTATGATGATGACCTCCCAGTGCAGTGGCACACATCGCAGCGCGAGTAACTGAGCTCCCAATCGACGATCTTGTTGTGTTGTATTGAAAGAACGGTTCCCCCAACATACAAAGAACTTAACTCATTCAGCCTTCTCTGTATTTTGCGTTTTCCCGGTATATACAAGGCAAAGCGGGGGCCCACAGGCGGGCTACTATCGGAGGTGTCCAGCCGAACCGGTGCAACCGAGCAGCCGAGCGCCTTGCATGCGAACCAAAAACTAAACGGCAGCACATCGCGTGTGCACATAGAGTACACGAAGAAAAGCGTCGCCTCCCAAGTGCCAACGTATGTATGTAGGAAAGGTATAATCAGACGATATATCGCGTGTTGCCGGCGAAGAAAAAAACTTCTTTCTTTTTTCATATCACCGTGGGCACGCGTGGCACAGTACCTATGATACCCAAAAACACCCACGGAGAAAGAAAGAAAAAAGCTTACTTTATGTAGAGAGAAGGTATCGACGTATCGCGTTTGGTAATCGAATGCGTTTGGTGGTCGAATGCGTTTGGTAGTCGAACGCGTTTGGTATTGGTATTCGAATGCGTTTGGTAGTCGAACGCGTTTGGTATTGGTATTCGAATGCGTTTGGTAGTCGAATGCATTTGATAATCACACAGAGGCTAGGAGAGGTGTTCAGGGTGTTTTTTTCACACGTTCTTTCTGTTTGGCAAAAAAAGTTGGAGCCTCTCCAGGGAGAGCAAAAAGTTAGATGCCCTGGACCGGAATTGAACCGGCGATCTCGTCATTACGAGTGACGCGCCTTACCGCTTGGCCACCAGGGCGGATGACGACAATTTTTTATTCTAACACATGAGACTTTTAGAATGTGTAACCTGCTTGCATCATGGGTTCTCACATAGAGTTCTCAAATAGAGTTCTCGCACAAGTTCACAACTCTAGCCTAGATACCATAGCTGTGCTGGACCTCACGAAAAGCACGGATGTTGGCAGTGCCGTATTCTAGGTGGCGGTGATAGGGAGGAGGGGCGGGTGAATTTGCCGGTGCGGACTCTGTCATGGCCGAGCACGACCGAATACTGAATGAACGTAAAATAAAAAAAAAGAAGCTTGACCGAAGCCGCCTCATTCTATCACTCTTGACAGCGCACGTACACAGGTGTAAGGGTAAGTGGTGCACCTCTTTAGGCACCATTTCGCGGTGGAGGTGGTGCATCACTTTCCCTCACACCCTAGTACACTGCATCCCCAGCAAGGTATTCACTCGCGATCAGCGACCGTAAATAAGGAATACAGGTGCCCGGGGATGCATATGATGCACTTAGATCGTTCGGCCTCGGGAGTCGGGAGTCGGCTTGCCGCTAGCCAGTTCGCTAGGCGATAATCCGAAGGATCTCCGGATCGGACCGGGGTTCGGCCGTTGGCGCTTCTGGGCCCCGCAAGCTGTTGGCGTTGATTCAGATGAGACAAAAATAAAGTCGCGCACGTTATTTTGGAAGTCCAACAGAATGCGAATTAAGCTTTGGTCAACTGGGCACATGGATGCATGATGGATGGCCTGGGCTTCGGCGGGAGAGGAGCGCAGTTGCAGCGGTGGGCCGGTGGCGCCGGCGACGCGCGGGCATCGGGTCTCACTCGTGCGGGTCTCGACTCTTGAGCGTGCGGATGCTGAAGCGGGAATAGTCGCCTGGTAGTAACTAGAGTACATGTGTCCATATTCGAGACAGGCCCTTAGTCGTGCTCGAGTCGGTTGTGTCGCTGGGTGAAAAAAAAGTCGACATAAACCTCAACAATTATGCAGTGCAACCGCATCATCAGTCAGCACCGGTGACACTGTGTTACTTCTCTATGTTACACGAAGTTAGATCGCGTTGGATTGGGTCGCATCGTGTCAGGTGTTGAATCGTTGATTTTTAAAACCGGGTGCACCCTTTTCGTTACTGTGCGGCTGTCGTCAAATACATTATACAGGTTCTTGTGTTGTTGACAAGACATTTTATTGTAGACTATATGAGTAAGATTCATGAAGAAAACATCTACTGCTCTGGTGGCCAAGCGGTAAGGCGCATCACTAGTAATGATGAGATCCGCGGTTCAAATCCGCGTCAGAGCTAATGTTTTGCTTCCACGCTAGTGACGAGCGGCGATCCAGATTTTGGTACATGGCCGGAAGCGACAGCGCCGTGGGTTCGTTAGGCAGCATCGCGTTTTCTCGCTGTGGAGGTGGCAGCCATTTGGCATTCCAGTCTGAAAATGGGGAGCCTGCTGTGTTCAGTTGTGAAAGGTAACTACTTTTGTGACATCGCTTTTATTCGTGACTTTTCCGAATGACAGTGGGGAAGTCCTAGCACTGAGGGAGCAGGGGCAGAGGGCCCAGGGCCGGCTTTGGTAAGAGTGGGTTGTAGTCAGGGGCGAGGAACGCGGAACACAAGTCACGGAAGAAAGGATTAGGTGAGAAAGTAAGAGCGAGTCAAGACGGGAGCACCTTTTCAAAAACTGTCCCGAATGGAAAAGTCAGCAAAAGACATTATGGGCAGAAGTCAGGAAGCAGACAAGGAGGAGCAAAGACCACTTAAAAATCCGGGACCTCTTTGCAGACGACCGGTGCAGCCAAGCCATCCTTGACTTTCTTTCCTCCACAGCTGTGGGCAGGCGGATCCCAGAGGCCGATGAGGAAGATGCAGCAAGTGAGGTGTCGGAATGGGAGCTGAGGGAGCGGGAAGAGAGAGAGGAGCTGAGGCGACTCGAGGAAGCGGAGGAGGAGGGTGCGGAATTTGAGGATCTGGGCGATGTAGAATAGTGGACCGGAGACGCGCGGCGGCGGTGGGAAGACTGAAGGGCGCGAGTGCGAGTGCGAGTGCGGGTGCGAGGGCGATATATTTTCGGTAAAGGCCAGGGCGGAGGGCAAGGAAAGCCACATCGGGCCGCTCAGTGAAAGCTGGGTTGGACAGTGGCGTGGAAACGGGGGAGTGGGGGGTGAACGGGGTGACATTGCCATGATCTAGATAGGTCGCATGCGATTACTGATTAAACAAAAAAAAAGAGCGAGTCAAGAGACCCAGTATTAAAAGAAGCACACTCGAAGAAAGCAAAGAGGAACTGGACTGAAGAAAGCAAGCAGCAAAGAAACCAAGTGATGAACAACGACGCCTAAGAAAAGTGATGATGAATAGGTGAATGACACACGTGGTGATGGAGGATGAGAGAGAGACAGACAGACCCGCCGGAATAAATATAACAGACCGGCCAACTTTTTTTTTGTTTAATCAGTAATTGCATGCGACCTATCTAGATCATGGCAATATCGCCCCGTTCACGCCCCCGTTTCCACGCCACTGTCCAAACAGATCGGCCAACTTTGGCCGCCACCGCATCGTCATACAACCGTCAAGAAGAACACAAGCGACCAAAACAAAACAGAATCGACGAGCAAGACAGAAACAAGCCCCCCCCCGGCAGTCCCAGGTACGACAGCCGGTCCCAACGTCTCAACAAAAAAATCCGCCCAAGGTCCGCAGCCAAGGGTCAAAAAATGGTGCAAAGACGTCAGTTCCAGCTGCGTCCCACAGCACGTAACAAGCCTATAAACAAGCCGCTAACGTTGATCGGAGGTTAGTGGTGATTATGTAACATTCTGCAGCGGCATAGCGAGGGAGACACAAGAGGTCACTCGCAAGTGGCTATCCCAGCTGTGGACGGAATTGTCACTGTCACACTCCTGAGAAAGTAGGAGCAAGAATGGCGGCAGCGGAAAGAGTGTCGAGGGCGGAAGAAGCGAGAGCTAGGGAAGCTGTCCTAGCGGAGCTCACAGGAGGTTGGACGGGGCGAGAACTGGACTAGCTAGTCCCTTCATTCTCCTACTTTCTTGCTGTCTGTCTTCTCTGTCTGTCTTTCTATCTGTCGGGTTGTGCGGAGGTTGCGCTGGGAGGATTGAGCGGAGAAGTTTGTGGTGGGAGGAGGGCTGCACCGGGAGGGTCGCGACGGGAGGGGGGTTGCGACGGGAGGGTTGAGCAGCGATATATTTTTGTTGAATTTAGTATTAAAAAAGGGGGTCTTTTTTTTGTTTAATCATTGATTGTATGCGACCTGTCTAGATCATGGCAATGTCTACCCGCACGCCCCTCCGTTTCCCCGCCACTGTCAAACCCAACTTTCGTCGGGCGGCCCGATGTGGCTTTCCCTACCATCCTGTAGTTGAAAAGGTGTTCCAAGCTTGCGCATGCTTATGCGTCTATGTAGCATGTACTCAAGTGAATTTGAAGGCGAGCACACGACTGAACGGCAAACTTGAACTGTTTTGAACTGATAAACGAACTACATAAGCAGAATCCGCCAAACAAACTGCTCTGTTTCGAATTCGACCGATTTAGGAACCCGATTGAACTCGCAACCGTTGGCAGGTCTGGGTTGGACGTATAACATGATTTTGGGTGTTGTCAACGGTTTTTTGTTTTGTTTAATCATCCATCATGCATGAGCATTCGACCTTATCAGATCGTGGCTGTATATACGTTCTTTTCCACCCCACTGCACTGTTTCCGACCGCTGGCCGCGAGCTCGATGTAGGTTCCCTATTGCCCTCCGCCTGGCCCATCCGCACATAAAAGGAAAGACGGAAAGAAAGAAGAATAATCAGATGACAAAATGGAAAGGAAAAGCATCAGTCTTTCTGAGGTCGCGGTGTCTGGTGCCGGCGGTGCGAGGTTTGGGGGTGTGGGGAGGAAAAGATGTTCCCCTGCCTACCGTCTCTCTTCTGCTGCTCTTGCTCTCTCCGCTGCTCTTGCTCTCGCTCGTTTTCTCTCCTCTCCTGCTATGGGGTAGGTGGGATCCGCTACTGCAGTTCCCAAGTCAGAGGTCTGGCTCGGAAATTCTTGTTGCTCTACCCCGAGGGGGGGGGGACCTGCCGGCCCACGTCTGTGGTGACGAGGAAGCGGAGGACAGCCTTGCTGCAATCTTGGTTAGCGAACAGATTACAGGTCTCTGATCTTGAACCTATCCTTCCCTCGGCCGGTCTTCTTTGGCACCTCCGTCCACACGCTCTTCTGTTGCTCCCACCACTGCGTGCAGTTCTTGAATAGGTGTTCTCGGGTCTGGGTCTTGTCTCGTCGCAACCGTGTTTTCCTTCTTCATCCCAGCGGGCTCCTTTAAAATGAATGCTTTATCCTGACCGTCGGCGAGAAAATTCCCTCATCTGGCTATAAATCGCTCTATCCGTGTGCGGCACCCCGCCCAAATCGTGCACATGCGTGAAAGAAATACTCACAGCGCATAATGCGCAGCCCGCAACGCTTGGATTATCGCGAGTGCTACTGTGACGCCTGTCGTGTTTGATGTTATGACCAAGTTAAGCTCCCGCAATCGGTTTAAGTCGTCATCATTCCAAGCCGTTCACGCTTGTCTGGAGCCTTCGCAAAATCAAGTCTCGTTCTCCTCTCCACCTGCCCACCTATAAAACCCTCCCCTCCCCGCCCCCCCACCTCACCCTCCCCCACTCTCAATCCTCCATCTTCCTTAAAGTTCACGCACACCGCCACAAAGAAACACCTCCACTGCGACAAGCCTTAGAACATCCCGCAAGATCCAAAAGACGTTAACACTTCTCTGGAGCCTCTGTAAGATTAAGTCTTGTTCTCCTCCCCATCCCACTCATCCCACCCTCCCCACCTCACCCTTACACTTCATCCTCCATCGTCCTCAAAGCCTCACCCACACCGCCACAAAGAAACACCCTTCACTGCGGCAAGCTTGGAGCGACACCCCGCAACATCTGTCATCCACAACCACCGATACTAACACCACCACCACTACCACCACCACCACAGAAACAAAATGGCAGGCGCAGCGCCCGCTCCGAACAAGTCCCCAGTCCCTGAAGTCTCTGATATCCCGGAGACTAAAGCCGCCGAGAGTGCTAGGCTTTCCGAGGAACCTACCGCCGTTCCACAGGCCAACCAGGACGAGCCAGGTAAGTGCAGTCTTCCAGCTGCGGCGGCGCATGGGCGAGTGCTAATGTATGCCGCGGCGACCGAAGAGCAGGGCAACGGGCCGACATCTGTCGCTGAAGACGGCGAACAGGGAGAGGCCATGGACACGTCCAAGGACGTAGTCGAAGCCGATGACACCCCGCAGCAAGGAGACGCAGCCGAAACGTCGGAAGATGAGGACGACGACGAACCCCAGGTCGCACCCCTGAGGGAACACTACACGCACGAGAAATTGTGCATGATACGTTTCTTCAGGGACGATCTAGGCAAGGACTGGCGCTCAGTCGCGCGGAAGTATAACGAGCATTGGTACCCCGATCACCCCAAGGGTGTCTGTAAGGACGCCCTGTACTCAAGGTACAAAAAGGAAGTACCTAAAGAGCGTCGTGGCAATGCCGGAATCTTAGGGGTTGATGACGAATGGGTGTGGGTGGGCGAACAATACAAGGCCGTCCCGCAAGCTGGCCCCCCAAAGGACGAGTCAGGTAAGTGCAGTCTTCTAGCTGCGGTGGTGCATGGGCGAGTGCTAATGTATACCGCAACGACCGCAGCGACGGAAGTAGAGAACCAGGAAGCGACATCTGTCGCTGAAGACGGCGAACAGGGAGACGTCATGGACACGTCCAAGGACGATGTCGAAGCTGATGACACCCAGGAACAAGGAGACGCCACCGACACCTCGGAAGACGAGGACGCAGACGAATCCCAGGTCGCCGCCCTGAGGGAAACTTACACGCACGAGAAATTGTGCATGATACGTTTCCTTAGGGACGACCTGGGGAACGACTGGCCCTCAGTTGCGAGGATGTATAACGAGTATTGGTACCCCGATCACCCCAAGGGTGTCTGCAAGGACGCCCTGTACTCAAGGTACAAAAAGGAAGTACCTGAAGAGCAGCGTGGCAATGCCGGCATCTGCTTGACCGACGACGACTGGGTGTGGGTCAGGGAATTCTACTGGCAAGGACGTTGGCGTGAGTCTTCTCCATGAGCGATGGCCCGGAAGAAGGTCGTCGAGATGTTCTCCTCAAGGTCCGTCAGGCGGGTGTTCAGAGATCGGTTTCGTTCAGCTTGGGTATTCCTCATCTGTTTTAGTTCGGGGCGGGGGAGCTCCAGGACTTTCGGTACGATTAGTGTGTTCGGTGTTTGTCTTTCGGTCTGGTTGGTTTTCATGCGGTTGCTTTCCTCGAAATCGGTGGCGTTTAGTTTGGGTTTTCTTCATCTGTTTTAGTTCGGAGCGGGGGAGCTCCAGCACTTTCAGCGCGATTAGATTGTGTTCGATGTTTTTCTTACGGTAGGGCGTCGAAGTTAGGAAGTTTGGTGGTGGGCCGTATTGCATAGAGATTCTGCAGGGTGTGGACTCGGATCTGTCGTTTCTGCGCTAATTTTTCATGATCTTCAATTTCGAATCATATTACTTCCACAACTAGGCGAATACTCTGAATACCGTGATCATGTACAGTAAATCAGTGGCGCATGTTTCCACCACAGGCTAATGCATCTGTAATGCGGAATCTCGTGTCTCAATCATGGAATCTCACTGTCAGCGTTGACGCCGGCGTCGTCTGAAGTTCACGTGAGAAATGTCCCGTGACGTGAGTTAGCGAGTGATTTTAAGTGATGTGATGATTTCTTCGACGCCATTTGCCAGCTTAATCGATACTGGAGCGTTCAGTGAACGATTAAGACAAGGCAACTCAGGAGTCAGGAGGTCTGCAAAGCCGCACCGGCGATCCTAAAATCTTAACTCCTTGAACCATCAACACAGCAAAACGCTGATCCTAGAATCAGACCTGTAGCCCAGAAACCGCAAACTCCCAACTGATGGTAGCATTTGTAGGTATGTATTCAATAGAGGAGATGGTAATAGCTACTGACGAGCCAGAGGCTTAGGTAGGAGCCAAAGAATAAGGAACTACATAGGTGTCTGGCATGGCACGAGACACGTATTCGTGCACCCACTCCAAGAGCTCGCGAGAGCGCTCATCCGCCGTAGGCGGTGGCCGATTACCACCACCCTGTGACCTTGCACTCCGTCCCGACTCACGAGCCACCCAATGACAGAGTAACGGACTACGGCAGTGGGCATGTCGGCAAGTCGGCACGTCCCGCTCAGACTACCGTCCAGACCGAGCCGCACCGGAAGTTACGGTAGTTACCCCACTACTCGCTTCTTTATATAGTAGTATATTCCGAGGCTTCGACACACCCGATCGTCGCTCTTGGTGGTAACTTTTCAGACACACCAAAAACTCAATCGTATCAGAGTGTAATGAGTGATGGTCATCTGTGACGGCCCGCTTGTAGTCAGAGAACATGTGTTCTGGTCTACATGACATGGCTGGAATTGACAGCAAGTCCTCAGAAAATTTGACGTCGGCAATCGAAAGGGAGTAGTACCAAGCTTGCCTGACACGCTTATGCTTTTATGTATTCGAGAATTTTAAGGCTACTAGAACTCGACCGAATAAGTTGCACTATTTAGAACTGACACTGAGATTATGAACCATGTTTTTCGAAGAGTAACATTACAACCAACTAGAAACACAGAATCCACAAACTTCCAACTCCACTGCTAAGAACTAAATGACTAGCAACCCGCATGAACTGCAAATCTATTTGCAGACCCACACTCGATCGCTCTCTATCCACCTACTCGGCCGTCCTCCGAATGCATTATGCATGCAAAGCAATACCAGAGACAGTCGCGAACTCATAGTTCATCTGCTTCCGGTTGATAGTATCATAGTCGAAATACATTCCCTTCTGTGCGTTCCAGAGGTGCCTGTTGATCAGGATTTGACGCTTCCGTGCGGATGCGGAAGCGTCCAGCTGTGCTGTGGGGGAACGGGAGAGGGGTGGCTCGGGCCTGAGAACCGTGCCGCCTGGAAGTAGCGCGGGTCGAGCGCGGGGATGTATGGATATGCGTTGCGAAGTAAGGATGCGGGATCCTGCGGGGGGCCGGTCGGGGTTCGCCGGTCAAATCTGTTGATTTGACTGCGCTGTGACTCAGCGTGGACTAGCCACTCATTCGTCTCCGCCTGTGTAGGCGAGTCGTCCATCCGACTATGGGTGCTCGCACAGTAGATGAGAAGCAGATTTTCTGCATTCCCAAGTAGTGTAGTAACTAGTTCGAGAGGACGCACATAGTTCGACCAATCGCAGCTGGATGAGCGGATTGTAGTCGAATTTGGTCCCCTGTTCTGTGATATCCTTGAGACTACGCGACTCTGCAGACTCACGCTTCTGCGGCCTAGTCGTGGAAGTAGAGTCAAACTCCATATTCGGCCGAAGAACAGAACAACATGGCCACGGGCCAAACAGCTTTTCAATCTCCGGTCCACGCGGCGTTCCAGCAACGTGTATGCTCCACTGCATACGACAATTCTTCTTGACCTCGGGGTCCTTGGGATCGGCATGGTGAGTAAAAATATGCCTCTGCAAAGTCGTATGCTTGGTGTAAGACATGCCGTTTCTGAAACAGCCGAGGACCGGGCAGCGGTTTGCAACCGCGACTCGAACCGCAAGGCCCCTCGGCGCGTGATGGGAAATCTTTCCCGACACCAACGATCCGCTGTTCGACAGCTTCTCGATCGGCGGAAACAGCACCGCTGGTGCTTCGCCGAAAATGCCCCGCCGCACCGCTGGCGGCTGGTGAAGCATCTGGAGTGACCATGGCGGAAATATTCCGCCTTTGGCTTCATTCATGGGCTCGAACACCAGGCCCATGGTAATCGACCAAGTCCTTCAATAGGTCAAAGAACCTATCTAGAATCGGGGTCTGTAGCGGAAGTTGGTGTCTAGCTCTCGAGCGGGCAGCACTACAGGGGTAAAAAAGGATGGGAACGCACCAGAACCCCAACGAAAAGTCTCCATAGACCTCTCATCCCACCATTGCAGTGGTTCGTGGTTCAACTCGACGACGCGAATCATAGCTTATAATCTATGCATCTTTAGAAATGGTTCCTCAAGACTCAATAGGAAGGAATGAAGAGGGAAGAGATCAAACTTACGTGGCATATCCGAATAGTTGGGGAGCCGCTAAGGAATAATGGCTGTGGATGTGGGTGGGATGAAGAAATTGGTATGGAGTAGGAAGGGAGGAAAGCGAAAAGTTGAAAGGAGGGATGAAGTGACGGAAGGAACGGAAGGAACGGAAAATGTTGCGGATAGACACTTCTCGTGTGCGAGTAGAAAGTAGGGTGAGTAATAAGGCGTGATGAGTTGGATGATGTTGTTGAGAGGAAGGAGGGAAGGGAGAGGAAGGAGATGATGGAAAAGAAGGAGAGGGAGGACAGGAGGGAGTGGTTGCTGTGGTTTTATTGGGTGGGCAGAATCACATTCTAGGTCTAGGGTACGCAGTCGCTAGCGGGGTTGCACAGGCTCACGCGCCGCTTGATTGAATAACACGGGCTGGGCTGTCAGGAGCTCGCTGGCTACGACAGGCTTCACCACTTTCAATGTATCGGTATGCTGTAACCTGAATCTGAGGTTCTATGCGTACCAGTCATATTTCTACGAATTGAAACTCCGCTGCCTGCCCGCTGCGAACATGGAAAGACGTCCAACGAACACTGCCACTGATTACTGTCGAACTGTCAAAAATACCTGCCCCCCACCAGCACAACATCAAATGTCGATCGACTACTGGTGATTGAGGGATCCTGATCGATTACCAGCTGGCCGACTACCGGCTGACTAACTACCGGGAACCCCGCTGCCACTTAGTTGAAAGGCAGTACCAAACTTTATGCTTATATCATCTATTTATCTACTGTGGTGAATTTTAAGGCCAGCACCCGACCGAACGTGAGCCGTTTAGAACTGGCAAACGAACCAGTTTGTGGAGCGCAACATTCGAACCGACTAGATACCCAGAATCCACCGAACTATAACTGGTTAAACTGCAAAACTATTTGCAGGTTCAGCTGAGCCTATCAAGCTTTAGTCGCCCGGAAACGTCGGCACGAATAAGGCTTCGCGGTTGACGGTCAAGACCATGTCTCGACGGCCGCGACGGAGTGTCGATGAGCATATGGTTACGCGGCGGTGCACTTTAGGAGGTACCTCAGTCTCGTGTATGAAGAGAGGCCTCGCCGCTGACGATAGGATTCTTATTGCATCGAATCAATTATCTCTGTTGTTCTATACTTATATTTCAACAGACCCCATCGACCCAAAACGTCCCTGAAAATGATCCAAAGCGAGTGATAACACATGCGTGAACATAGCCGAGCGAACAGGTATCGCAACAACCGAAAGGCATGATGTGTAAAATAGAGCTACATAGTTCAATGATGGAAGATAGATGTCGGTAAGTTGTATGCCTCTGATTATTCTGTTTCTTCTACATAAACCACCCATGTTGCCTGTTCTACTCCTCCTTTTTCCGCTTCTCATCCTTCTTCCCATCCTTCTTCACAACCATCATTCCATCCATCTTCTACTTCTTCGCCTTCTCCTCCTTCTTCCTGCCCAACAACAGCGATAAATCTCCAACAGAAATAAACAGAAGCCACCAATGATGGTGGCCGGGTGTTCATTCCACTTGATATTGAACCCATCGTTTCCTTTTTCTTCGTTCTCTTGGGCGGTCTGGATAGCCTTGAGACGTCCAAACTGTCGCATCTTCACAAAAGATCCAGCAGCGAGCCTGGTAGCGGACGAATGTCGTCCTCGGGGAGCCATTGTCCCCGCGAGGTAGATTGGCCAATGGCCAAGTAAGAGAGCCGCAATGTTGTGGGTGGTCGTGTTGTTCCCCTCATCGGTCAGCTCAACACGGTGCTTGGCGGCGACCTGCTGGACGTGATACTCCGAGACCATGGCTGTGTCTTCGTTGTCGCATCCAGTACTGTCGCCTTCCTCGCTTCGCTGCAACCGGCACCGTTGACGGTGCCCGGTGGACAACGGGGGAATTATCTCCCCCATGAACCCATTGATCGGCCCATTCTCCGGCGTCACGATTAGTGACGGCCGACTGGGTAGTGGGTCCCGAAGGACCCATGTAACCCGAATCAAAGTCTGTAACGGAAGTCAGTGTCTAGCTCTCCAGTGGGCAGGGGGAAAAAGATGGGAAGGCACTTACTAGGGATGACGGCGAGCCGGCGACTACGCCAGTGAACGCCAAGTATACACAATATACAGTGCCAATCGCACTCAAAAACCAACCGGGGGACCCCATTGTGGTATTAACTAACTTATTTCAACACAAGCTAGTGTCCCTCGGGCATTGACAAGAGGTGCCCCATTTGAGTTATCTTCTCGCTCGTTAGCGCGAGGAATGTGGATGATGGAGGTGAGGGACAAACCTTGGTCTTCAAGTACTTGCTCACCTCCTTATTCGGGTTGACGAGGTCCAGCACGGCGTGGCAAAGTGGAAATGATCTATGCATCATTAGGAATGGTTCGTCAAAAGGAAGGAATCAAAGGGGAAGATGTAAAACTTACGTGGCATATGAAGAGGAAGGAAATGAGAGAATAGGAAGGAAGTGAGAGGACGGGTGAAGCTGGAGGGGAAGAGAAAGGAAAGGAAGGTAGATGCAATGAAGATCATTGATTCTGAATCGATGATCTTCATCGCATGCCATGGGCTTAGAAAGTAAAGTGAGTAATAGGAATTTCGCACCGAGGCGTGATGAAGAGGATGATGTTAGAAGGAAATAGAGGAAAGAGAGAGAGGAGAGGAAGGAGAGGGAGGAGAGGAAGGAGAGGAAGAAGTGGTTGCGGTGGGTTTGTGGGGTGGGCAAGATCATATTCTAGGTCTAGGGCACGCAGTCGCTAGCGGGGTTGCACAGGCTCACGCGCCGCTTGATTGAATAACACGGGCTGGGCTGTCAGGAGCTCGCTGGCTACGACAGGCTTCACCACTTTCAATGTATCGGTATGCTGTAACCTGAATCTGAGGTTCTATGCGTACCAGTCATATTTCTACGAATTGAAACTCCGCTGCCTGCCCGCTGCGAACATGGAAAGACGTCCAACGAACACTGCCACTGATTACTGTCGAACTGTCAAAAATACCTGCCCCCCACCAGCACAACATCAAATGTCGATCGACTACTGGTGATTGAGGGATCCTGATCGATTACCAGCTGGCCGACTACCGGCTGACCGACTATTGGCTGACTGACCACTGGCTGTCCGACTACTGGCTGGCCGACTACTGGTTGACCGACTACTGGCTGGCCGACTACTGGTTGACCGACTACTGGCTGGCCGACTACTGGTTGACCGACTACCGGTGATGGAGGAAGTCTGTTTCTGGGCTATTGCGGTGCAAGTTTTACTGGCTTGCGGGTCTGGATGTCAATAGATCGTGACTGGTGAGGGAGAGGAAAAAGAAGTAGTGGGCGAGGTAGTGGTGGTAGTAGTGCATGCTGCATCCTCCTCCTCCCGTAATGACTGGCTGGTTTACTGGAAATGTTGCATGCTATTAGGCACCTGTTAATCGTTTCAATCACACACAGTCACTTCACCGTCACCGAGTTCGTCTGTCGATCAGTCGGCATAGTATTAATTATTAATTAATCATAGTAACTACGACGAATGAAATAGCATAATTTCCATTACCCGCGTTTCCATCCGCTCCTCATGCCTCTACCCACAATCACCGGCCAGTCCCAGCACTATGGCTGAACACCACCGCCTCTTGATCCCCCTCTTCAGGCAAGCGGCTTCCGGCCCCTCACAATCTTCCCCCCAATCTTCTTTCCCGCAGGCTCCATAACGGGCTCCTCATCTACAGGGACCTCATCCACAGGGACCTCCTCCATACCCCCAGTGATGGCCCCAGGCCCGACCAGGATAGTGACACTCTCGCGGACGGGAGTGACAGTGACAGCCCGTCTCTCAGGTTGATTCATAGCACGGCCCCCCTTGCCCACGAATCCGTAGTAATACTCGGTGGCGGTCGCCGCGTGCTGGAACTTATCGCCTGGGGGCGCGAGGTCGGTGAACTCCGCGTCTAACTTCATCGGCGCCGAGCCGGAGTCTGCGTACCAGTCCTCGTTGGTGTCGGCACGCTTCATGAGAGCGGGCGCCTTACCTGCTACCGACGGTTCAATGTTAGCCCTCTGCCTCTCTATAGACTTCAAGTTGTAACCAGTTTTCGCACCCTCGTCCTCCTTCTCCGTCATCTCCCGCACAATCGTGTCGATTGCGGCTTCCTCCCTGCCGTCTGGGAAGACGTTCACCCAGTCCGCTCTCAATTTGCTGCCGTCGGCGCCCTCGAAAGGGTACGGCGCGCGAGGGATCACGGAGAGCTTACCCTTGGGGCCGGTGGTGAAGGCTTGCAGGGCTGCGGCGCGCGTCTCCGCGTCGGCGACGGGGCTGGGAGCCATGGTGAGCGGCGTGATGGGGAGCTCGGTAATCGCGGTGATCGCGGCGGGAACGGGAACCTTGATGGTGAGCCATCCGCTTTCGTCGGCCGAGATCAAGGCCGGGATTTGCCCAGCGATATCGAGGGCGGCGCGAATTGAGTCATCGAGCTCAGTGGTAGCGGCGGAGGTGTCCTCGAGGATCCTGCGCGCGAAGGGCTCAGAAGTGTGAGGCATGACGGGGGTGGGAGCAGCATGGGTCTGGCCGAGGCCGAGGCCGAGGAGGACAAGAGGAAGGGCGTAGATGAATTGCATTTTGGTCGTGGGTGAAGAAAAAAATCCATTCTCGGGTGAGATTGGGGCTGCATTTATATGAATTGGCTGCTGGTCGAGGAGGGACGGCTGGAAAACTGAGTTGGAGGGAGGATTGCTCTGGATGCCCCTCCCGTCCATCGACCATATGTGATAAACGTTGGACATCTCACTTTCGTCGCCCAACGAGCAATCCAAAGCCTGCTAAATCTAGACTATTCCGTGTCTTGCGATAGTGCATACCTTATCCAGATAGCCGTACCTGCATTACGCCAGTCATCGAACCTTAATCGCTGGGATGGCCCGGATAGGTTGCCTGGCCAAAACCATAATGAAGGGCATGTGCCTATCGCACCATTAGAACGAGTTACCTATGCTGACTGACATAAGCCTCTATCTTGTAGTGGTCGGCATTGGCTGCTCTCAACTACGAGTAGTCCGGTTCAAAAATATATGCTCTATTTCGGTGTGGTTCATGTATCGTCACGCTCCTGCTGTTGATCACGCCTGTGGCGGTGGAGGCTTATTCGAGTGACTAAGCTCCAACACCACAGCTTGAAGAGGCTGAAACGATACAAGTTCGTGATGTGAATACTACAAAAAAGAATAGCTCGCAAATGCAGTAAAGCAAATAGGTAGAAGTTCAGAGAGCGATTCTTTTCAAACATCAATCCCACTTAACCAGCTGCCATCAAGATTCACGACTGCATCAGACATCTCGCAACCCGAAGAACTACTCCACACCACTCTCCTCAAGCAGCACATCGCGCACCTCCATCAAAACCTTCCCCAACAAATTCTCACCCCACCTCGCGCGATCTACAGTCGGAGCTTGCAGCTCAGAAAACCCAATACCCCAGACTCTATCATATCTACTCGCCTCGACCAGCTCTCTCCTGCCAGTCGCGAGCAGTTTCGCGCGACACTCGGGATTACCCCGGAAGCGGAGGAGATTCCCCTCGAGGACGATCTGATACTTCTCGGCATCCCACAGTGCCTGGTCGAAGCCGCGGACCTTCCGGCCGAGCGCGCGCATCCGCCGAGGATCGGACTCGCCAAGGATCGTCCGCACGACCGCGTCAGAGTCGCCCGTGGGAGAGAATAGAAGCGCCTTGCGGTACATCATGTATTGCTCCGCGTTCGAGAACTCGTGCCGTCCGTCGGAGAACGCGCTGGATGTCCATTGGCTCAGGAACCCGCCGAGACGGGAGTCTGGTTTCCAGAAGTACAGCGCCTCTGACGAGGAGGATTCCTGGGCTGAGTGTTCGGCAGTGGTTCCAGACATGATGTGAATGACTTTGGCACACGAATAACGATGTAACTACGATAATCGTTGTTGTCTCGTCGTTTGCTACGATTTTAGTCGTCTCTGTAGTCGTCGCCGCAGCTGAGGAATAGAGAGAGACAACGAAACAGAAAGAAGAATGAGAGGAAATGTCCGCTTTATATACACGACCGCTCAATCTACGGAGTCCGCTGGTGACTCTTCCGTTATGACTGCTGTCAACAGAGTGCATTCTGCATCGCCCGCCTTCAAACTCGCAAACATCGCGGAGATGACTGACTTCGGTACTCTACTCAGGCAGCCTCGAGTGAATCACACCCCCTATCCCCTGCAATCCATAGTGCATCCGCTATCTCGGCCTTGCTATTAGTCGACGAAGCGACTGAGCCACATGTTGCAGGGGCGGATGTTAGCGGATGAGCCATAGCAACCATAACCTATTCTACTCTATGCACAAGTAGGTGGGGGTAGATATGATTCACTTCACGATAGTCGAATAGAGTATGGCACCCCCGTATGTACCCGTTCTTGTATCCATCACAGACTCACAGTATGTACTGCTAAACGAGTGCGCCCTTGCGATACGCCTGGTGTCAATGTGTCATACAGTCTACAGCGGCAGAAGATGAATTGACAACCCGGTGAAGGTGTCGAATGCAAGGAAGGACACACGCCTCTGAGTCTCGAGAGCCGTTGAGTATGGGCTCCAGTAGTTACTTCGAGATTGGAGTACGGTAGATAGACACGGTATCTATCATGAACATCAGACGTTTCTCTAGGTACTCTACTCCAGCCGAAACCTCTCCAGCCCAGCCGGGGCCCGGGGGTGTACTACATATATTGCAGTACCTACCATGCGCACTGCTCTCATGTTGCGCCGCTGAGTCGCTGATATGAGGCTCTGGATGGGTGTGATGGTTTTCAGGGTCTCTAGAGTACCTGGAGTACAGTCAGCAGCGGGGCTGCGCGGGGGCGGGGGAGCGGGACCGCCGAAGAGGTTATGTACTCTACTCACACGGCCGGGGGCCCCAAAATTTCCGGCCGTGTGATTAGAGCACACAGGAGTGAGATCAGACGAACGGAGTACTGTGGCGAGTGCATAGTGGAAAAGAAGTTTTACAGTGAGCACCGCCACTCCACTCCGCCTACCTAATCTACATATCGTCGCAGACTCGCAGCACAATCTCCACTGCGTCGCCGACTCACCGTCCCCGCAACAACAAGCAACAACAACAAGCCAGCCTTCCCCCAGCTTGGCGGTGGGCGGATTCTCTCTAGCGCTCCACTGCTGAGTGCTGACTCACCCTCGCTCCCCCAACTCGCACTCCGGTGGGCTGACTTTCGTCCTGCCGATCCCAGGACCAGCGCGGATCCAGATGACGACTCACATTATTTCCAGACTTTGCGCGGCGAACTTAGCTACAACTTACTGTTCGAGTCTCGAGGGGAGCGAATCAGCAAAGTGTACTCCGCGTCATGTCAATTCGCGGCGGAGAAACAAGTAAAGGCAGGTCTCCGTCGTCTCCATTGAGCAGTCGGGGGTCGGATTGAGTTTGAGTTTGATACTAACTATTACAAGGTTCGGTAGGGCTGAGGCTATATACGGTACGAGGATTCGAGGCCCAGGGAGGGAGTATGTATGGTACGGAATCGCGGGTATAGTAGAGAGTTTGCGCTTTGCGTCTAGACGCAAAAACCAGGCTGTGACCCTGTTTTCCTGGCGCTCTGGATCTGGAAATTTGCGTTTTGTCCAGACGCAGATCAAGGGTATTTGCGTCTAGACAAAACGCAAATCCAGCCTTCCACCAAATACCACCAACAACCACCATGAACCGTCGCCGCGTCCCATGTTCACCGTCAACGAGAATTAGAATGCCGTCATGCTCAGATTGTGCATAGGATATTGCCTGGAACCCAGAAAAAAAGAGTCGGATGCCACCCAAAGACCGAAAGGATGAGGTTGGATAGGTACGCTTCCAGATGAAAATTGGAAAGCCAAAAAGACGTGAAATCAATGAACTCGCGATACGACTGGATTTACTACAAGAAGTACATGCAGAAAATCGAATTGAAGAACCCCGACGAGACGTGTTGCTGCTTTGATTGGCACACCGTTGATCTGTCGATCTTTTGAGCAACTGCGCAAACTCTCTAGTTGCTCGAGAAAACTGGCCCTTCTAAGTTCTCGCGAGCTCTACCTATGCCAGGCTGGAGTCTGGACGAACCTACCAGAAACCTATCTACCGTACCTACTGCACCTCCCAGACGGAGCGGCAGTCTAGATAGCCTCCCTCGACTCGTCACCTCTACGCAATCACTCGTCACTCTTCATTTCCTCCGGAACTTTCCTCCGCTCCAAGCGCAACCGGAAGTCGCATCCGCACACTGATTTTTGCATTTTCCACGAGAAACATAAATAGCGGGTGCCCCTCCTTCGACCTTTGCGCAGAAAGTTTCGAATCGAGTGATATTTCGTGGTGCATGATGCCGTTTACCGCGGTTGACGGATGGGTGACGGGTGGGTGGCGGGTGGGTGGGAGGTGCGGTTGCCGATAAACGGATTGAGTGGGAGCCCACCCTCCCCGCCGCAGTCGTGAACTGTGAACTGTGAACTGTGGTGAAGTCAGTGGATTGAGTCGCGAACTTTAGAGTAGAGATTCATATGGTGCCGACCAGAAGGATATCGGTGCGCAACGAAGCTCAAGCTCAAGCTTCAAGTTCACCATAGTTAGCCTTCACCGCTCGTCGTCTCCGTGCTCGATTACGCACTCACTCCTCGCACTCACTCCTCGCACTCCTCTCACACCACTCTCCCACGCCTAAACCCTCACACCACACACCCGCCGCGGTGATCCCTTCGGCGTTCGAATCAGAGCACTCTGTTCTGGGTGATCGTGAGGTCATGATCGCCGCTCCTTCGACCGAACAAGTTTCGAGCGGAACTATTTTCCGCACCGTTCTGCGCGGAAAAAGTATAAAGCCCACTGCTTGCCTGACCGCCGCCGATGGAAAAAGCGAAAGTCGCGGGATTGCTGGCGAGTGATGGAGCATGATGGGTGTGAGGCGGGGTGAGGCGGACTAGAGGGCCGGTGGGAGTGGGTACGTCATTAGGTTTGGAGGGGGGCATAGAGTTCTGTAGGTAGAGTTCGGTGGATTGAGGGGTAGCTAGGAGTATGGTACCTAGGAGAAGGAGTCGTGACAGAAACTATCAGTTCGTGGCGAGAGTAGGTGGGTAGGTCGCCAGTACGAGGTCGCCAGTGGATCGCAGTTCCGACAGCAGGGAAGGGTCTACCTAGATTGAATACCGGTAGGAGATTTCGCACTGATGTGGTTGAGCAGGGCCTCGCTAGGTTTCGAGGTATCGAGGGGTCATTCCTGCTATGTGCTCTACTCTGCTCTACTCGGGTAGAAGACGATTGCGTCCGCCGCCCCGAATGCTTATTGCTCAATCGTACCGGTATCGACGCGAAGGGGCCGTCAATACCTGCCTAAGGTAGGAGTGCGATGCGCCGCGCCAGGAGAGTTTCAACGCGATCGATTACGTAGAGTACTGTACGTGTGTGTGTCTGCCGCGGTCGGCAGTACCAGTACCGTACTCACTCCTTCCGAGTCAAGGCGACCTGCGTATGTAGCCCTACGTAGCCCTGCCGTACCTAGTACCGGTATACATTGGCATGCGGACTTCTTCGTCTCCAATCTATGTATATAGACTCGAGAGTTTTCCGGCGGAATGGCTCTAGCTCTACCTAGCCCTGCGAGTCCGCGATGACCGGGAGCACGTATGTAGGGTACTGGGGTAGCGTCGGGAGTTAGAGTATCTACGGTACTGGTATTGGTATTGGTACATGGAACTGTCCAGACTTCGGCACCAAGATCGAACGGCATTGACGAGCTGGGTCGTCCGTACGTGTGCAATGAGTTCACCCCTCGACTCGCAGAGTTTACGGTAGTGGTGGTGGAGAGTGTGCTTGCGCAACCAAACTCTCTCTCTCTCCGCCTGTCACCTCCTTCCCTCCACCCAATCCCCTCCGGAACGGCCCGGGCGACGGCGGCATAAAGCCCGCGTCTCCCTCGTCCGCGGTCTCCCCTCCCCCCTCCCAATAATTCCCTCTCTACCCGCCCCCACACGCGCGCCCGCCCAGTCCAGTCAAACATAATACCCACCATGCAGTGCAACCCATATTTCATGCTGCTCGCGCTCATATATGCTTCTACGGCGATTGCAGTCGCAGTACCACGACCAGCAGCGGGGCCAGCAGCGGGGCCAGCACAGCGCCGCCCGGCCCCCAACAAAGCCGCCGCGGCCTTCGACGTCGACAGCATCCAGAACAAGGTGCGCTCGGGCGCGATCGCGATCGCCAACTCCCAGCGACCCGTCGATGAGCGGAATCAGCGCGTGCAGTACCGCAATGGCGATTTGGTCGATACTACGGTAGTGGAGGCGCCTGAGTACTGGGAGGAGGAGGAGGATTATAGGTATTAGGTGGGTGATGGAGGGGAAGGGGAAGGGGAAGGGGGAGGGTGGAGGCAGTGGGAGGAGGGGGAGGCAGTGGGAGGAGATCCGGATGTAACTGACTGGTAGATACTCACCACTCATACTCGGTGTGCATGTGTTTGGAAAATTTTCACTCTGTTTGACACACCTACAATAATTTATACACACCTGTACTGAAGTCTGTGTTCATCCGTCCTTCCACCTTCCGCCCATCCGACCATGCGAAACAAAAAAAGAAGAGAGCACAACACGTTTCGTCGCGATAGTACTCTACCCACCTACCGCACTCACCGGTCTTCTCCTCCCACTTGTCGCACTCCCAACGGACACCGTCCTCCGACCCGGTTTCGCCTGTTTATAGCACCTCTACTGCAGCGTAGCGTGGATTCTGCGCAGATCGCCAGAGCTGCTTCGCGATCTCGCATGCTGCCGTTCGTTCGTTCGTTTCGTGGTCGGGCTGCACCACTTTTCAAGACCTCATCAGGGTCCGTCCGATGTGATGGCTTATGGCGCAGCTCGCGTGGGCGGTGGAACTAACTGGAGCTAACTACGGTACGTACCGGGGAAGTGGAAGCCGGCGTGAAGATTTTCCGGGATCTGCGCTGTCGTTGGCGTCGCAGCGTCGCTTAGCGATGTGACGGTGCTCTGCGTTGCTTTGGCGATTCGATGCTGTGCAGTAACCAGTTCGCTGAAGATTTCTGAGACTCTGAGCTGTGGGCGAGGATGAGAGAAAGCACTCAATACTCTAGAATCTAGATACTCCACTCTATATGGACAATTCACTCCAGCTTCTCTCTCTCTTTCTCTCTCGCGTTTCCACGATTTACACACTCTATTTCTGCCTCTACATTACCTCAGCCGATTCCTCCCGCACCCGCACCCGCCCGAACGCGTCTGACGTGACGCCCCGCCCGCACGTCCGGGATCAAGTGAGGTGGCCAGACTTGTCACTTCATCTGATCTGATCACACCACGCAAAGAAAAGACGCAGCACCACCACCAGCACCACCACCAGCACCACAGCGACATCGCGACGTCACCTCGCCCCATCACAATCATCAGCATCACCGGCATCATAGATATGGCCACTACTTCCTCTCCTCCCCTCCCCCCCAGCTCGGGTCATGGGATTGTTACTGCTACTCTTGTTGCAGGAGGTGAAAAATGAATCTTTCGATTTCTCTGCTCTGAAAAACCGCGAAAAATACTGGCACTGAACTGCACTGCACTGGATTAAACCGAGACTCTACACACGGCTTCTGTCACCTGTGTGCGGGAACCTGCATCGTGGGAAAAAAGAAAGAAAGACAGCTCTATTCTCCGTCGAAGCTCTCGCCCGTGTCGTCGCTCCTCCTCCCCGAGCCAGCCAGCCATGGCTCTCACCACCGGCCCCGGCACCACCACCGGCCTCGTCCCTTTCCGACGTCCCTACTACGCGCCATGGGGCATGCCGCTGGGCCTCGAGCGTCCGCGCCTGAGCATTGACAGGCGGAGTGCAGTGAGTAACCTACCCGCTCCGAAGTTTACACTTCATGCAGTGCCCGTCACATCCATTCACATCCTATGCCGACTTGACTTGCCTTGGCTGTCCCGAAGTTGACAGGTATACCCGCAGCAGCCGCTATCGCCAGCCGAATTGTTGCGCCACCTCTTTGCTATCGAAGCACCGCCGCGAAGGCTTGCCATTTGCGCTTCTCCTCCGATCACCGGACGAGGTGGGGAGGGAGATGTTGGGGAGAAGGAGGAGGAGGTGAAGGCCGTTTGCACTGTTGAGCCTACGGATGGCGCGACATCGCCCACGAGGTTCGCCCTCAGCCCACCACTATCGCTATCGTTACCGCTACAACTACCGATGTCGCGATATCGATCGCCGCAACGGCGGGCACGGACAGGTGCACGGCCCACTTCGATCTCGGCACTTCCTACTCCACCACCAGTACCTCCGGTTATGGCCAAAGCATGCAGCGGGGTAGCGGTATCGTCGTCGGCGTCGGTGACAGTTATAATCCGCCTACCCCTCGACCGCAAAACGGCTGTCCTACCATCACCACCACTACCATCACTATCACCAGCTGCGAAACAATCTTCCTGCTCCTCTATGGATACTCCCTCCGCCACCAACGCTGTCGTCCTCGCCTGGGCCGCAAAGGGCTGGCACGTGCCGTCGGGCTCGGTTGCGTGGGACGTGGAGCCAGAGCTGTTGCTCGACAAGATCTGGGGGATATACACCTGCCACCGGCAGCTTCGAGCTCACTCTACAGTCTCGGAGCCGGCGCACTCGACGAAGACGAAGCAGCTCCCGGCTGTCCCTTCCTCGCCTGCAAACGAGACCACTAAGCCAGAAGACCCCACGATAACGACCATAACCGCGACCTTCTCACAGCTAACTCTATCACCATGCCAGCACGGACACCTAAAGCGGCCTTTGTCACCAACGCAGGCTACACTTCCGTTCCCGCAGCCGCCGCTGCACCGCCGTCGGATCACCACCGCCCCCTCCTCGCCCACCAAGCCCACCAAGCCTACTACGGAGCTGATCCTGTTTACCGCCGCATCCTACCCCTGCTTCCCCCACTCCAGCGCCTGCCCGCCGCTTGCAACAAAAACTACGCTGCTACTCCCGCCCGCACCCGCCCCCGCCGAGAATTTGCGGAGTCAGCGGCACTTCTGCGGTGACCACGACGACGACAACGAGGAGGGCGTGGAGATGGAGGAAGTCGAGTTCGCGGGGGTGGATGAGGATATGGAGGGTGAGGATGGGGATGCAGGCTGCGGCAGCGACGACTACGAGAAGTTTCCCGAGTGCTGGCGGAAGGGCATGCGCCGCTGCTGTAGCAGATACGGCTATGAGAACTGTCTCGAGGCGGTGCAGGAGATTGTACTTGAAGAGGAGGCGCAAGACGATCATAGTGATCACGACGAGTACACAACCCTCCACCACCCCCCACACCCCACGACCCCGCACTACATGACAGCTAACTAAAAGCAGCAGCGGGGCATCATTCCTCGCCGCGGCCAGCAGCTCCAGCACGTCCACCTCCCCGTCCAATCAACCACGCACCCCTCCCTCCTCCCCCCCCCGCGACCCGACACACACGCACTACCGCACAGTCTCGACCAGCAGCACATCGGCGTTCTCGCCGATCTCGTCGAAAGCCTCGCAACTACTGCTGGAAGCCCATCCCGCAGCGCTCCCGCGAGAGCGAAGAAGACATCGCTCGCCGCTCGCGTTTGTCGAGAAGATTTGGGGGTTTAAGAGAAGGCACTCGGCGGCGGAGGGGGGGAAGGCGGGGAGGGAGGGGCGTGGGTTGAAGATATTTAAGAGGGGGAGGGATTGATGGGATGGGAGGGGAAGGGATGGGAGGGGAGGGGATGGGATGGGATGGGATAGGATGAGATGAGATACGATGGGATTGGATGGTAAGGGACAGGACAGGACGTGACTGGATGGCAATGGAATTGGGAGTACTGCTTTCATCTTTGCGGGCGGAGGTCGGGGTGGAGGGTGTTATCGCAGCCCGGAGTGGACTATGGAGGGCTGGCTGGATTCTTTCCGTCGTTTATTTGGAGTTTTGGGATTTTCTTGGAACGGTTGGCTTTCACTATCTAGAGTACCTATCCCATGATAGAGTTACGAGTACTAGGTACATAGAGGGGTGTGGGAAGAATCATGATTCATGATTCATACGAGATCACTGAAGTCTGAAGTTTAGTCATTGCGAAGATGCGCGTGCATGGATCATGGAGGACGTTGTTATCATCCTTCACTTCACCCCCGTACAAACGACTGCTACGCGAGTAAAACTTCCAAAGAAACGACTCCTACTGCTGGCACAGTATCTGGAGTATGTAGAGGGGTGTGGGAAGAATCATACGAGATCACTGAAGTTTAGTTGGTCATCACGCACACGCACTACTTACGTGTGAAGATTATCGCACTGGTATTATATATACATGGATCAACGATGCTGTCGTCCTTCTGTTCACCCACGCACGGGTCCAGGCCTCAAAAGCACAGAAACAACTCCCTCCCGGGAGCTGCTGTCACAGTCTCCGATGAGGAAGCAACGGGAAGCAAAAGAGACAACTCTCTGTCAGGGAATTGAACCCTGGTCTCCCGCGGACTATCATCTGGTATGACAGGCGGAAATACTAACCACTATACTAACAGAGACTTTGATGTAGGTACTTCTCTGTATAATTATATCCTGTGAAAGATTTGTTTTCTGGTTTTTGGCCAATGGCGGTGGTCTGGCTGGTCATTCACGAATCACAAAAACTGGTCACTGCGAATGTGCGGTCGTGGCGCTCGGCTGCTTCCTACTCGCGAACCCATCGGCTACTCTGTGGTGATGTGTGGCGTTGTGGCGTTGTTATTTTTGTTCATTCATTGATTGCATGCGACCTATCTAGTTCATGGTAATATCATCTACCCGTGCACCCCCCCCCCGTTTCCACGCCACTGTCCAACCCAACTTTCATTAGGCGGCCCGATGTGACTTCCCCTGCCCTCCGCCCTGGCCTTTCCCGACAGTACGTGAGCTCACCAAGCAGAGACAGAGCTAGGAAGGGGCAACAATCGTTCCCTCTCGCCACGTCCGTCTACACCGCTCGCCCCACACCCGCGCCTCCCGTACTCGCGCCTCGCACTCGCCCCCGCCCGCGCCCCCGCGCCCTCGAGTCGTCCCACCTCCACCGCAAGTCTCTGTTCCGCTATTCTACATCACTTGGCTCCTCAGCTTCAGGGCCCTCCGACTCCTCCTCCTCGACTTCGTAGAACCGTGAGGCCAAGCACTTGGGGGCCATTACGGGGATCGGGTCAGGACTCTGGCCAGGTTTCGGGCTGTACGATACTTGTAGCGCTGCGGGATTTCGAATAGGTAGAACGAGTAAGATCTAGCGACCCCAGGTTCCCAACGCATTAACGGAAACAGTCTTGCGTTAACTTTCCCACCTCTCCACCACTGTAACACAGCGCTACTATTGGTCCAGATGTACGATGTCGTCCCATCCACCCATCCACCCATCCACCCATCCACCCATCCGCCCATCCCATCTTCTTTTCAACCCCTCACTGTTTCCGACCCAATTCGAATCTCAAAGCCAATCCAATTTCCGCACGATTACTGCTGAGCCAAAGTCAGCATGACAACATCTGGCGCCAGGCAAACCCTGTGGAGGGATGCTACGAACTCGCTGCCGTCCTGACTCCAGCATCCAGGAAGAGGTAGGGACTAGGGAGGCCTCGTCGCGTTGAGTCTGGTTCTTCGACAGGCAGGTGGTGGCATGCCGCATGCATGTTGCACCTGGCATGCAGCACGGCAAGATCGGGACTTGGGAGAAGGTTTGACGTCGCAGTGGGATAGCATATAGCTATCGGTGTCGAGTTACTCGGCTGACTGACCCGCAGATGGCTGGTTGAATTCTGGGATACACCTGCTTGACGTCGACGGTCGACTCCGAACTCGGCCTTACTCTTGGTGATTGTCCGGAGACGCTTGAGACCGGGCCTCTGATCAGGTGAGCACTGAGCACTCACCATGAACCTTTCCCAATTTCCACGAGCGAGACTAACCTTCCGATGGAAGTACCGGCCCGATGCCAGAGAACTTGGGCTAAACCATTGTCACCGAGAACTCTAATGATGAATGGTTCAAGGTAGAGTGCCGGTAATCCGCGATTCGCCTACCGACCAACATCCATCACTTACAGTTCACAGATGGGTAGTGGATAAACAACCGACGATAGTTAGTTCTGCTGGCGAGCGGTGGTTCAACTTTCCGTCATGTGCGGGTTGGGAGGCAGGCCAAAGAGCTGAAGCGTATGTATGATCCGGACACGACCAATCCAATCAGGCATGCAGTCGGAGCGAATAGCACGATCTTGAAGAATCAGAATTAAGAAGCGCCAATCGGGTCCGGAGTTGGCTGTTATCTCTTTTCCAGGCTCCTGGGAATCCGGATGGTTCGCGACGGTAGCCTCGGAGGCAATTGCGAGGCTTCAGCCTCCAGCCGGAAGGCCGCAAATCGGCCCCGCCTACTGCACAGTCCCGCCGATGTTTGCGACCCGGCGGCACCGTCACCTGTCTCACCGTTCACCGCATTTTCACATCCCGGCTACGGCCCACGGCTATTGGATGCCTTTCGTGTGCGCTGGCCATGCACGACTTTGACGTTATATCATCGTACATGAACATTGAACACGTCCAGAACACGCTCAGGCGCAGGGATTTTTATCAGTTGCGACACAAGATGTCGTTAACAGCTCGGGCAGCAGTCAAGCTTCGCATCCCACTTCACCGTACGCTGTGAGCCTTGGTATTCGTGGACACGAGGTAGAATAAGGCTTTCCAATCAACTTTGATGGTTCGCCATCATTGATCTTCCACCTACCTACTCTAGTGTTTATGGAGCGAAGATAATTCGTCTGGCGATCCACAGCCGTCGATAGTACCTACCTATGTTGGGCTGCGCGTGCGCATCTCCCGTTTGCAGTCCACACCCAGGAGGAGGGAGATTGAGTCCTCAGCCTTGTTCTGGCGATGATGTTAAATGACTTGTAATCCATTACATCCTCCCGATATCGCATTACCACAGACCTCAATCAACACCAGCCACCTCTTCCGAAATCCCGATACCACGACACCACCTTAACGATGAAGATGAAAAGACAGTGCATCTCAGGCCGCTACATCACCAAGGGGATCCTCCAGGACTACATCAACGAACACTGGTCCGGTATTGAGGGGATAACAATCGAGGTTTGCCCACTGTCCCTCCCCCTGCCTCTCATGAGTCATCCATCCCCCCGCCAGTGCAAAGCTGATAGATTCCCTTCGATCAGACCGTCAACTCCGAATGGATTGTGAACGTCCCCGAGAAGATTTCTGAGGTTAGTTTAATCTTGATCAATGCACAAAGAAGGGTAGGCACTGATAGATCTTGTGCGAGGGACGGAACAGGCCGATATCATAGCCATGCAAGACAAGTGCGCGGACGGGATGGAGAAGTGACCATTGTTCGAAGTTCGAACTCGGGATGAAGAGCGTGAACGCGCAGATGGCACTGTAGGCGGTGCGGCGGTGGTAGCGACGGCGGGCCGGTATCAGACCAGGGGATATAACTAGTATGTGCCAAGCTGAATGTGGGGCGGATGTGATAAATTGATATCCGTTGATTGATATGCCATGCATGCACAGCAGCCGGCGGTTGCTTTCGGTAAGCCGTGAAAGTTGAAACTGTTATGCCACTGAGTGTCCCTTGACCAGTGCACGAGCCTTGCGGCATCGCATAGGTAGGTATGCAGCGGTGGTGTGCACGCTGATGTGACACCTCACATCGAAGGCGACCAATGGACAATGTTTAGAACTGGTTTGGGCGAAGAGTCGGTCGTGCTCGGAGAAAAGTCCCGGCTGGCCGGATTGGTGTGTCTACGAGAGTATGTAGCTACGTGAGGAGCTGATATCATAGGTAGGTATCACCCGCTTGGTAGGCCCATTAGGTTTCGTTCCGGAACCCCCTCAATGATAATGGTGAGTAGGTATGGCGATGAAGCTTGATTGTATGCACCTATGTAGTATGTACCCCTAGATGCCCGGCAGAACGCAAGCAAAGGAAAATAACAAGAGAAAGACACGAACCGCGTTCGTAACAAATTTCCTAAGCCTAAGCATCACTGTACTGCACTCGTATTGCTTCGCGCTTCTTCCCCGTATTCCTTCCACTGGAGTTGCTGAGGTTCATAAGTTGAACAGACGAACCGTTAAATTGAAATCGCAACGCTGATGACATGCTACGGGACTGTGATCGACGATTCGGGTTCCATCGGGGAGACGATGCTTTCATAGCAGTCCCTAGGGGTCTTCTTCGGCTCAGGCTCCTCCTCGTCGGACTCCAGGAATTCAATGGGCAGCCAACTGAGCTGCAAGGATGTCTTGACCTCCTACAAACGTATCCAGATCAGCCGCGTTCAACACGAAAAGGCCTCGAGGTGGGGGAACTCACGGTCTCACAATCCTCGAAGCGCTTATGTGCCGTCTCGGCGGTGATACGGTTGCTCGGGTCGATCTTGAGCATCCTTCGCAATATATCGACCTCTCCGGGGAAATCTGCACTCAAGATGCGTAACTTTTTATGAACCGAGGGCGCCAGACTATTACCAACGTAGTAGTACGGGGTGCGATCCATTTCGCTTCTGGGGATGTCTTTCTGCCGGCTCTTTTGGAAGCTGCGAACCCCCCGCGCACCCTCCTTGATCCAGACGAGAAGCTCGATGCCGATACATCCGATGGCCCACACGTCAAACTTCCTGCCGATCTTGCCGCTCTCGGGTGCCTTGTACTCGGCACTGTAGCTGTGTTTCCCTGCCTCGGTGCCCGAGTCTTGCGATCCGAGCTTGGTCTTGGAATATGCGGTTCCAAAGTCGATCAGGACGAACACGCCGTTGTATTTCACTAGGATGTTGGAGGTCTTGATGTCGAAATGATAATTCCACACCTCGCGTTGGTCTCTGTGCAAGAAAGCCAGCGCACCTAGCAGTCCCACGTAGTGCTGCAACATCTCGGCGGGTGAATTGGTGCATTCGTTGACCTTGAACAGATCTCGCAGCGAAGTCTTGCATCGTGGGAAAAGAATGTAGTAGGAGGATCCATGGTCGATGGTGCATAGAGCTGGCAAGACGAACGGATGGGCGGCGAATTTCTGGATCTTGTCGTATTCTATGTTCCGATCGTTGGAGGTATTGAATTTCTTCGCCGCGACGGGCGTCTGGGTTTCGTCACTCCAGTGAAGGCCCGGGATCAGGTTGCCGGCGTAGACGACGCCGTGGGACCCCCTTCCGAGTGGCTTAGCGAGGAAGGAAACCGGCAGCAGATCGTCCTTCCGGATGACATGATGCTCACCAGACCGAATCTTAGGCAAGAAGAAGGACTTCTTCGCCCGCCAAAAGTCGGTGGAGAAGTCCGGCGGTAGGCCGTGCCGCTCGTGGAACTGCCGGAACCTTTCCCGCTGGAACGAGTCTCCTTCGAGGGCTTGGTCGTTCAGTCTATCATGCACGAAGCACGGCAGCACATCGGTCCATTTGGTTTCGATCAGGATGCCCAGGATGAGGCAGAAGCGTTTATGTATCTTCGCCGGAGTCGTCTTCAGGAAGCTCTTTCGTATCGCCCTGGAATCGGTACTGTCGTCACACAAAGACAGGCCCATCGTCTCACATATTGAGGAGATCTTGCACTCCGACAGGAACTTGCGGACCTTGTCTGGGTGATATATCGCCACGGTGCCATTGGTCGTTCGGATTTCTTCCTGGGCTTCTCGCTGAAACTGCGAGCGCAGGAGCCGTGGTTCTATCGAGTTCACAAACGTCCACTTTGACGATCAGTTATCGTTTCCAGAAATGTTTCATACGGGGTTCCCTTACGTCGTCATGCGTTTCGGCCGGCGCCATGGCTCCCCAGAGTATACACAGCAGCCGATGGACGGATGTGAAACGAAGTTGGCGGAAAGGTTCGTGCAGACGATCTTCGAGGAGTCGTTTTCCGCGAGGTATCGGTGGATATGTACTTGTACTGGCGAGACGCAGCCGGAAGGAGTGGTCGACAAGTCAACTGGGCAAGCGAAACGACAAACGCACGCACTGCCAACAAAACCATGCCGATTCCTCGCCGACAAGGCCGACGCCTCAGGTCTGTAGTGCAATATGTGCGCGACTGCAGCGGGATTTCCTTTCAAATCGGCAACGCTTCCGTAGGAATTCGCATTGCGCACAATGCCTGGGATCTGACGCCGAGCCAGAGTAGTCGGCAACACTTTAGCATGTGCTCACAGCACCAGCTCCTTTTTTTTCATCATATCACGCGGTCTGTACCACCATCGGTGTACCGCCCGTATACCTACTCTATATACAAGCGCCAGCCTCGCCGGCCGGGCCTCGATCACCCTCCCCCACACCCCGCAAGATTCGGAGTCGGCCGGCTTGTAGAGTATTAAGGCGGACTTTCGACTGCAGGGACCGGAATGCGCCGAGAGCGCGGCACTGCGCGCGCGCAAAGCACAAGGCTAGGTACTGCCACGGCGATGCCTCCGAGTAGACAGGTATGTGTATCTCCGCGAGGCTCCAGCCATGACGCAGACCGGGTGTCTAGACCCCGCCACATAACATCAGAAAGCCGAATACGACAATACAACCAGAAGGACGAGGTCACCGGTTCAGACGAACACGTAACTGACTCCTGGTGCCACGTAGAATCACTCGTACATCATAGGCTATAGCCCCCACTCACCAGGTTTCGCCCCACTAGTAATCTGGACAGGCCCCCAGTTGCTCGCCAGGCTGCGCTCATGTGGAGGATCGTATCTGCCACGTCAGAACCGGGTGGAGTCCATAAGGCTGAAAGCGGCGGAGGGACAGCCGTGCATGAGCGTCTCGGTACTAGTAGGCTATAACTTAAGAAACGACGTATGTACCTAAGGACAATCCGCCAGCGGAGCAATAAGCAGTGTTTGGTCGGAGCGCGGAGACTTCAGGCTGACTGGGACATACCTCGAAAAAGACGGAGCCGGCACTCCTTAGGCGGAAGTTAGGAGAAGGACGAAGAAACGTGGAGTCGAATTCTAGATATCCTAGATTTGTGGACAAGATGGAGATCGGACGCGATGGAGTTACTAGTAACCGTTTTCGAATCACGCTCGCTGCTTCTTTGGTGCGCGATATAGGTACATAGGAGGATCTGCAGACTATTTCATAATCAAGAACGGTAGAATAGGTACATACAAGATGATATGAAAAAGAAAACACAGCCCCAGTCACGAATCATCACCCGCAGTCAAAATGTCCCCCAGCTATTGTATTTTGGTTACCATTCCTCAGAGTAAGGCACACACTATCTCACCACGAACAACCCCCATCATTAATACATGCGGGCGGTTTTCCCAAATTGTAATGGCGCAATGGCAATGAGCGCGATTCCCTACGTATCGTTAGCACGTGTATCATACCACACCACCAGCACACCTCTCCATTCACTGGGTTCTCACCATAACAGGATGTGCCTCTCCGTCATGTTGCATGGACGCTGTTATCTCATTAGTTTTTTCCCGTCCGAGCCACTAGAGGTGGGATATCCGGATAGACTCACGGTATTTATTCGTGTCGTAGTAGGACACAGCAACCAAGTTATCGCCAACCTTGACCTCTCCGAAGTTCTTGCATGCGCCGGCATCGGAGATGTGTTGGAAGCCGGGTGCGCGGTGGCCATCATGTTGCATGCCGGGAGCGACGAAGCCCGGCGTGCGTCCGTAGAGCATTTCGGAAACGCAGACTACTTCACCGTTGAGGAAGACGGTGGTGCTGTGGGGGTGTATTAGTACTATGCGACTCGGACTCCCCGTCAGGAGCACTCAAGGGGGACGTACTTCACTCCACCGTCGTGCACGTGCCCAGCGGCAAAGATCATCTTGCCGGCAATGGTGGAGTTCCAGCCCGGTGAGCTGATCGCGTATACGCCCTCCTTTGCGGGAACTAGAGCACAACGATAAGTCACACGGCCTCACATGCAACTTCACAGGAAGGCACTCACCTGAGCTAGCACCGCACCCCGTAGCATCGAGCCACGCCACGTCGATACCGACATACTTTTCCGCGTTCGCCAACTCGACGTACTCATATATCATAGTGATGTACACCGACTTCTCGACAGTCCCCTCATTCATGAGCTCGATGATCATGCCGTACTGATCGGTCGGTTCGACCTTGATTCCGTAATCGCCGTAATGATTGATCCTAGTGACCACGCGCTCGTTTCCAGTAGCAAAGATTCTCCTGCGGGTGCGGTAAAGCAGGCTGCTCGGGCACACCAGGTCGGCGTTGACGCCGCCGCGAGTGTACAGCACCATGTGGTGCAGCCATGCGCCTGTGTCTACGTTCGCTATCGTGCCGTTCACGTACTCGAGGCCTGCCTGTGCAGCGGTGATGTAGCAGTTGGTGCAGGGCTTCTTGACGTTGCTGGCCATAGTGGAAATGGACTTGCCCGCGGCGATCGAGTAAGGGCCGTAGCGGATTTTGATCTGTGAGGGGATGGGGATCAGCTTTTGCGCCAAAGATATGGGGGAGTGGTACGAACCAGCTTGGCACCAGGTGTCTTCGCTGGCTTCAAGAGATCCAGAGGCTCTTCTAGGATGAACCCCGGTGGCAGGCCGTTGGTTGAGTTGGTTGAGCCGTTCGTGGGAACGGTGACGACATCTGGTAGTGAGACTTCCGAAGTCTCTTTACAATCTTCTTTGTGATTATGCGCTTGAGGAATCGCGACGACCTGCGCCAACTGGATTGCGAAGGGGAGAAAACAAAGGAGGTTAAACTTCATGGTTGATGGGATGTGCGAGTGCTGTAAAGAAAGTGTAGGCCGGCCTAGGAACGAATGGAAATGCTGGATGAGCGGTGAAGGTGTGTGCTTCTTCCATCAGCAAATGCCAGCTCCTATATAAACCGCTGAAGAGTGTGACTATAATCAAAATTCTCACTAAACATGATCGGCCCATGATTCCTCGGCTGGGTCCCGTCGCACGTACGATTCAGTTAGTTGCCCCAATTCGGCGTCGAACACCGAGGCGGAGAATAATGCTGTATTTCGATATCATCACTCGGATACGCTGATAGAGGAGGGCAATTAACTCGGCGTTGATTGCTTTCGGTAACCCGGGGGTACCTTGGAGTGGAACTGATTCGAGGGCGGCCGTCACAGATTCCCACAAGTAACCGGTGGATCCTACAACACGATATTCGGGAATGAGACCGAGATCGGTCTCAAAGGCTGGGGGTTCTGTCGATAAGCATCCTAACCACGAAATTAGCTGGTTGTTTCCCGCCGAAAGCAAATAAGAGCTGCAGTACAAAAGGCGCCAGTAGACCCCGCTGTTTGGGAATTCTGGAAGCGTGTAGGCAAATGTCTCACTCGACCTAGATGCTATATCGAAATGTATCACGGTGTTTCTTCATAATGAAAGTTATCTCTGTGTTTTGCTGCCGTAAAGTACCTGCAGCAACTCAAAACGATCCTCGCGCGGACCAGCTTCACTTGCCGCGGCGGAGGATCTACGAACCACTTTACATGAACCATGTACCCCAGCTCCATCGATTTCTCCGTGATCCCAACGGTGAAGCCAGTCGCAGGACGAACATTTTTTCTCCTGCAAGTTCTATGACTTCATGACGACTCTCTCGGAGTCCAGCCTGAGCCATCAGTGCATCGAACACTCGAATCACATCTTTTCAGCAAGCTTACACGTGTGTATTTCTCGGACGACTACAAAATTCAGTTCCAACAGGTTGCCGAGTGACCTCGAGAGTGGGGATTCTCGAGTGTTCCAGATAGATAGGGACACCATGCACCCTGCGTTTCCACGATCGTACCTCTGGTGGCCAGGAATCCCAGGATCCTCACCGGCCAGGAAGCGAACGCCGTGTACATGGCTTTATCCAGACTCCGGCGATCGTCGAAGGTTGCGGAAATCGAGTGCCTGCTGAACGGGAATTTTGAGACGACCCGTCGACTGTGCGAGGGCTGAGCTCTCGTGATTTCGTGTTGAAGCATTCCAGCTATCGTTTGCTAGCTGGCCACGCTGCAGCGGACGGTGCTGTTTTCCAATCACATGGTGTTCCAGCCTCAGATGGTTGCAGGTTGATTGCCCAGCAACGAGAAAGGGCTCACAGTAGCTCTAGAGCCTGATCCACAACTAGCTACACCGGCTCAATATCCTTTGTTTGCCCTTGTCGAGACTACTATTCGTACTCGCCCGTCCTGCGATCAGGGCTCCGCACTCTGTTCTCTGCGATGAAATTATAGTACTGATAAGGAACTTCGTTAACACTCACTATCGCAGATCCATTCACAGAGGGATGCCAACTTGCCTTTCAAGTCTCATGAGTCATGACCAACCGCACCGCAGATCGCAGCCACAGCGAAGATCCAATATCTCGCCTTTGGACACGGTGAGCGCGCCAACTGATATTCTAGTATCACCACCAGTCACCCAACGGCTATTCCGCAACCAAGGCCGAAACGTGCATCCCTTTCCCGGCGGGCCTGAGCCAAGACTACCGAACAGTGTACCCAGCATACCCATCGACATCCGAAACAGAGCCGACCTCGGGACAATCCCGGCATCCCTACGATCGGTTTTATACTACCTGTTATTTCTCGACGACCCAAAGCTATCTGGGCCCTGGAGGTTCAGCCCCTCCCTCAACTTCCCACGGGGATCACACTCCCAGCGTTTCACGCTGTCTTGTTTCTCTATCCGACATCTGAGCGCGGCATAGGCATAGATCTGGATTCGTTATGTCCGTAGCGACATCCCGGAGACGTCTACAACCACTACCCCCAGTGTTCGACACCGCGCCATCATGGCAGCATAGCAGCATCCGGATGATGGATCCCGAGGTACAACTCGCCGCCTGACCCGGTGGGATGGACTACATGTACACATTACGGGCCAAGAAAACTCCCACCTCGGTACGGAGCGCTGCGGCCTGCGGGGGCAGGGATGCTGATCGATGCCGGTCAGCATGGGGAATATAGTATAAGTACGCCCAACCTCTATTCTACTCTTTGAACTTCGCTCTTCGCCATCCCGGGTGAGGTAGTGGAGGGAACGCACCAAGAATCCTCCTCCAACGGCTGCACTCACTTTGGGTTTGTCAATTGGTCGAGTGCAGCCTGTCTTCTATGATAGACTATCGCGTTCTACACACTGTCCGGCTATCTATCCTGTCGGGGGTGGCGACACCGTACACGACCGTCACCGCCGCACCGTCTATTCTCTCGTTTTCTCTTGTCTTATTTGATCGTATATCACTTTTTTCCTAGCTCTCGAGTTTATTTCAATACCGTAGACGCGTCTATTTCCTCGAGACAGTTATGGATCACAAGTCAAGTCACTCACCAGCGAGTGATACTATATGCGCCGGTGGAGGATGTTGGTAGCCGGTGCATTGCAGCGCTGCTACCTCGCACAGCGTCAGTTTATCTCGTATCCAGCCTGTGTATAGTAGACTAAGGCGAGCAACTTGCCTTCTGCGCCTGCGGAGCCGAGTCTGCCGACGAGTGAGTGAAGTGTAACGGGTGAGACGATATGATATGCACAGTTCGAGTGTGTGATGATGACTGGCCGTTGACCCCCGGATTCCTCATCCCTAAGGGCGCGTCCAATGGGGGAACGGGGGCGGCCGCTGCTCTAGATGAGCGCTCGCGAGTAGAGTATGTAGTCGGACGACCGTCGACGAGGGCAAAGCCGCAACTTCCCATTCTTCCCCTCATCCTTATCCATGACTCCATGACCTCAGCCCACATTCCAACGGCCAATGTCCAACGACCAACACCATGCCCTGCGCAGAAAGGTAGAAAGGTAGAAATATCGTATCCCCGGTACGTGTAGAGTACATTAGGTACATACATGCTCCGGTACGCTGCACGGATATATAAGCGCCCCGCGGGCCATGCATGCATGCACTGTGCAACAAAACAAGCTTTTCCCTCACTCCCCTTCGCTCCCGAGTCCCTTCCTTCGCTCTTTTCCTTTCCTTTCCACGTAATCACACGGGTGAAATGTTTCAACCAACTTGTGCTCTCGCGGCGGGCATGTATGTATATGTAGGGACTGTTTGTAGCTAGGGTGCACCTGCCCGTCTCGGACTCCAGGCTCTAGGTGTACTCCCGCATATCCGGCTACCTAGGAATTCTATGCATTGCAGAATGGTGGCTATGTGGAGTATGCCCCCACCCGCGTGGCCGGCGGTTAGTTAATATCGAGGCCGGTGAGGGGTGAGGGATCAGGTACCGGGGATATCCGAAGGATGTTGCGTCGGTCTGGGGAGTGGAGTGCTCTTGGGCACTAGTTAGTACCGAGTTCGCGAATCCTGGTGGATCGTCGTCTGCGATGACTGGTCCACAAACTTGCATGTCGAGCGTTGGAATTTGGAAACGAAACACCTTCATGCTCCGATGCTTCGTGCAAGGGATCCGCTCCTCGTGCGCCCTCGCCTCCCCCTCAACGTTTGACGTTGCGGAGTAATGCTGGTTGGGCATGTTCATGCGGGATCATGCGGGATCATGGGGCCGGAAATTGTGCCTGTTGGGGCACGGGAGACGGAACTGCTCAACCATGCGGTAACATTGCAGATCAGCGATAACTAACATGTCATCTCGTCAGCAAAAAAAGCGAGCAACCCTTCACCGGACGGATTGCCGCCGCCAAAAAGGATTGGACGATGGATCTTGGATCATGGATGCTGCAAATTGGAGACGCTGGAACTTTGAAGTCATCGCGTCGGGCTGGAGAAGTAACTCTATGCTAGAGATATCCCAGCCCGCCAGGGCATGGACGGCAGGCCATCAGAGCCGGAATCCGTCCCTCCGCCGGCAGACAGTTCGTCCCATCCGCCAGATCCTCCAGCGCCGGATCAAGGACCAAGGGGAACTCCCTTTCCCCGACGACCTGAAAGCTGATTCATCATTCCCCGTAGTTCGGTTCACTGGACGCACGGCCGGTGTGCTCGGCTACGATACCGCGCAGTGGACGCCGCAGCCTACCGAAGCCTAAACTTTGAAGGCCGAAGCGCCGAGTGACGAGTCTTTCGCCTCTGCTCCGCAGTCGCCCGTTAAAGTTAATCTTAAAGTTAATGTTAAAGTTAGCCAAGACTCGAGTTTAATCTCTTCCACACGTAGAGTACACCGTGATGTCTGTGATGTCATGCCGGTGATGCTGGCTACCGTCGTCGGTAGTTACCTCGTGCACAACTCTATCTCGTGCAGCTGTAGATACTGGACGGCGGGGCGGGCACGTGCATCAGCCCTGGCTCTTCGACCGTCGAGTACTATGTACCGATAGTCGGGGTGGAGTGGAGTCGGGTGCAGCTCGGTACCTGGAGATGCACCATCCATCACTGGACTTGGACTTGCTGCCGATTCCGGTGCCATGGCGCCGAGCCCGAGCCGCAGGCCTCCGCTACCGTGGCATTGTTGTTTTCACCTGCGCCTGGAGTCTGGACTCTAGACCGTGGAAACCAAGCCCGAAGGCCAGAAGCACAATCTGCTCGATATCAGGATCAGCGCACAGTGCACACTCAAATGATGGTACCCCAGGTATCAGCCCTATCGCGCGTGGTGGGATCGAGGTACCTTATGTACCTATCGACTTGGCTCGCATCCGTGATGTGAGATATCATATATCGATTCTTCGAAACAAACATTGGTGGTTTGGTGGTTTGAACTTTGGCGAGGAGACGGGGAGTCGGGCACGCAGACTGCAGTGCCAGCAGTTGGATTCAAGGTCTCTCACTCTGCCGTTGCACGGTGTCACCACGCACTTGGAAGTTGGCAGAGTGCAGTCGTAACTTCTAACTTCTAAGTTCCAAGTCGACGATTTCAGATGCAACGACGATGCAACGGTCCTTGTGGATAAATATACATCTCGTATATATGCACCTGCCGCGCCGTCGGCCGAGTCCCGAATCCCGATCATACGACTATCTTCGCACCCCTCCTCACCATCACCACGGCAGTGAAACGAACTCTGCGCATCGACAACTTCCAACATCCCAAGTCAGTGCTCCCCCATCCTCCAGTCTTCACGTCCAGCTGCCAGAGTAATCAGTAATCTGTAAACTGTAAACATGCGTCAGTCCAAGCTCCAGCGGCCAGGCTCCGCGATCCCGGGCGCGGGCGCGGGCTAACTTTCAACGATCTAGGGCCATAACCGGTTAGATAATAGTCGATGCTATTATTGGCTACACACCAGTGACCACAGCCTAACCTAGATAACCAATCGGGGCTGAACTGTGAACCGTGAACTGTGGAGAGGGAGAAGCTTGAATTTTGAAGTGAAGGGCAGTGATCGTCAGAGTCGGACCGCTTCATCGATCTCCCGTTGGTTGGCGGGCACTATGTAGAGTTTAGGGCGGGGGCCGAGAAGCAGTGGAGAAGAGGACGAGAAACAGGAGGAGGAGGAGGAGGAGGAGGAGAAGAAGAATCGACCGTGGCGAGTAGACTACTAGTACTCTGCAGTAGGTATCATAGCCAGCTCTCCACTCCCAAGCTCTCCACTCCTAAGCTCTCCACTCCCGTACGGTATCTCGATTCTCGAGGCCAGCGCATCACGGAGCCCCTCCCAAAACCTAGCGTTCGTTTCAAGTTTCAACTTTCACGAACGCGAGTGAGTGAGTGGGGATCCATTCTCCACCTCCACCAGAAATCCGGTTCCTCCGTGCTCCCTGGGCCTCCGTGCTCTCCGTGCTCTCCAACGAATCGCCGCTGTCAGCCAGTCCTGTCCTGTCAGCCAGTCAGCCAGTCATCCAGTCAGCACCAGAACTCACAAGCCGATCGCTCGCGAGTCGTGAGCGAGTCGCGACGATCAAGCCTCGTCTCCCCGTCCCCGCAGAAACGATAACGATGACGATGGCGAGTGGTGATTACCCCGCATACTGGCCAGTGGCCCACGGAGGAGGAGGACGCGCAAGCAAGGCACAGCTGTAAGGCGTAGTCGACTCGTTGGATTGGATTGGGTGGATTGGGGACAGTGATACGGTCATAACTAGAGTACACCGCAGTGAGCTGCATGGAACGAAAGAAAGAAAGAAAAGTGTCGGCCACACGATCGACCTACCTACTAGGTAGTACTGTCGACCACTGTCCAGTAGGTGAGTATCTTGCACTCCCTTCTCTGTCGCACTTGTTTGTCCTTTCTATACGTTTATAGGTATTAGACGACATCGACTGTCGAGCCGAAACTTGAAACTTGAAAGGCAGTGTGGGGTGTTGACACGGTCCTGTAGTTACCGCATATACCTGTACCGCATACCTACATACAAGTGCCAGGTGCCAGGTGCTTGCTTACTGCGATGGAAACGATGGAAACGATGGAATGTGATATCATACGCTCTGGTTACTCTACTGAGTCTACACTATATACAGGACCCCGAGTCGCGACTCGCGAGTCAGTCTTGCATGTGCGCTGTGGGTACTCAAACAGCCCGTCCCATGGTCATGATTCTTGAAGGGTATGTACTGCCGGTATGTAGATACATACTGTGAATCTGTGATCTGTCGAATCCCGCCGCATTGCATCTACTATTTGCGGTGATGATGGCATGGCGGATTACCATACATCCATACCATCCGTCCATCCATCCATTCTCATCCCGTCCGTCCTACCAACCTCCGCCTCCACCTCCGCCTCCATCCTGCAATCACTGTTCCACTGTTTCACACCATTCACTCACACCGTTCACTCATGACGACAATGACAATGACAATGACAATCATGATAAATTACACCGATTCCCTTCGATTCCATTCCATTCGTCGCCCGCAACCTCCGCTTCCCCGTCCCCGTCCCAACCGTATTTAGAGAAACTATTGCCAGAAAGTAGAGTACCTAGGAAATCAAAAAATCAAAATAAACTCCGTATGCCAAATAAAACCCACAAAGTAGACGTGTACATAGGAAACCACCCGCTCGCCTCCGCTCCGCTCGACACAGTGCACACCCCACCCAACACAACCCCCTAAACATCGTCGCCTGGATCCTGATTCAACAGAAAAAAGAGAATAAGAAAAAAAAGAGAAAGGAAAAAAGATATACACAAAGAACCGGATGAAAGAGCTGTTGATCAGTCGATCGCATCCCGCTTCCCGCTTCCGTCCGCCGCCCGCTATTTTGTATATACAACCGTGCCTGCCCCTCCCCAACAAAAAGAAAATCGCGTGGTAGCGGCAAGATCTAGAGGATCCAGTGCGACAGCACCGACAGCGCCGTGACGAAGCTGATGATGCTGGGCACGACGATGGCGGTGCGGAACGCGTCCGATGTGGTCGAGTACACGAGGTTGAAGCCGATGGTGCTCGAGTTCGTGCACATGCCCTCGGGCATGGGGTCCTCCTCGCCGCGCTCGACGAACGTGATATCGGCGCACTGCAGTTCGTTCATTCGTTAGCCATTGTTCGCGGAGAGGAGAGGAGAGAAGGAGAGGAGAGGAGACATACGTTGTAGAGACTAGCGCCGTGCAGCGCAACCTGGATAACCTGCAGCGTCGCGTTGTCGCCAACCTGGACGGAGGCGTTCTTTGGCAGCGGGAGGTCGGGGAAGCAGAATTGTCCCGGGAAGGGGTCTCGGCTGGGACCCGTGATCTGGAATACCGGCACGATCACGTTGGTCATGTTGGGCGGCTGCGTGCCGAAGCCCATGTTGACGTAGAAGAACGACGTCGGATGGCCCGAATTCCAGCCGGGAATGATGGAGAGCGAGCCGCCGTCGATGGGCCATTTGGTGCGGTTCGTTGTGAGTCGCTGTCCACCGCCTGGAGGGTGTTAGTAAGTGTGAATGGGGGGTGGTGAATGGGGAGGTGAGGTGAATGGACAGGAGGGTGCGTGAATGGGGAGGGGAGGAAAGACAAACATGGATATTCCCATTGCATGTCGTTCTGTAATGTGTTGCCTCGCCATGCTGGATACACAATCTGGAAGTGTGCCGAGACGGTTTGTAGCGACACGAGGAGGAGGAGGGTGATGGCCACGAGGGTCGATGGCAGTGGTGATGATGTTCGTCGTGACATGACTGCTCGGATGTGATGTGATTGAGAAGCCTTGATGCTTGATGCTTGATGCTTGGTGGTGATGTCGAAGTGGAGGTCGAGGTCGAGGTCAACTGGAGTGAACGAGGACGATGGCGATGGATGCGTGAATGGATGCTTGGATGTGGGCACCGATGCGGCAGGCTTCTATTTCAATCCGACACGGCGTCCGATAACTCCTATAACTCCTTGGTGTGGGGTGGGGGTGGACACCTGTCGCAGGTGCGTATAACAGGCAAGCGAATTGTCGCGTTCGTCGAGCCGCTCCGGTGGGTGGTGATGATGATATGCGGGAAGGGCTGCTGTTATGCTCCTCCTCCTGTCGGTCAACGGAAATTTACGTATGCAGTAGTTCCGCAGGCAGTCGCTATTGGCTTGATGATGATGCTCGACGATTCGGAGAAGGTGGGAGGTATGTCGCGAGGGGGCGTGGTATTCCAGTACTTTTTGTGTATTGTTGGTTGCTGTGTAGGACTTCAAGCCTGACGCCCACGCGAAATGGGGGACGGGGGGTGTCTGGAGGTTTATGTATAACCGCCGGAGCACTCTCCCCTCCCCTCCCCCTCAACCTGGCTGCTGCGGGTTTTTTTCCTGTACGTACTCATCTCGTCACAGAGTGGGTGCGGTTGTGAATGTGTGTGTGTGTGTCTGGAAAGTGCAAATCACATCGATTGTTCGTGTCGGTCTGGCTAACGCATCGTGATTGGCTGTGGAACTTGACCGAGTACCTACTCTACCGCCAGGTGGAGGGGGCCCCTTCCCCCATCGAGCCATCACCTGCCTCGTAGACGCCTGGACTGGCTGGGATTCGGCAGCAGCCTGCAGGTGGCGACGGGCCAATCATCCAGCGATCCAACCCTTCCTGAGGATGGTCTCGGCGGCAAGACGGGTCCCTGCGAATCCATTCGCTGATTCTGCGGATTAGAGGGGGATGGTATGTAACTGTCGTCGAGATGGCGAGCACGGATTGCAAGTGCGTACGAACTCGCAGTCCGATCGGAGTATATAACTATGGGGAAAAGAAACCACCACCCCGAGACTCGATCACGCCGAAAGACAAGCACTACGCTTCGTGGGCACCGGGCAGTCGATCTCCCTCGCCGTGAAGAAAGCTTGCCTATCATAGTACAGATAGTAGTGGAGTAGCGAAACGAGCGAGCGACGAACGACGTGACCGCCATCGATCCCGGCCGAGATCTCTAGCGTCGTCGCGTATGTAACTACCTAGCACCCGGGAGTCCTTGCTCTGCTTGCTCCGCTCGCTCTCGCTGCAGGCACTTCATCATAGATAGTTAGGTACCTATCTCCGGCTGTAAGGCATTAATTACCTATTGGGTGGTCCCTTTCGTTCTGCGGCGAAGAATCCGCCCTCGTCCCTCATGCAATCAGACCAGACCCTCCGTCAATCCTTCCCCGCAGCGCAGGCACCGGTGTGCTGGGTAAATTGTTCCGCCGTCCGTCCGTCAGCAATATGTAATCGAGCGAGATAGATGGTTACCTAGGTAAGTAGGTATGTAGAGTACTCTACCTCTCTCGTCCCCGGATGTGTTCTGTGCCGCCGACCGGCCCACTCCTACGCGGGGTGCATACCGTACCTAGGATGTATAGTAGAGTAGGTCGGTGGAGTGGGTACTTGGGTACTTGGGCAAGTACTAGCAAATGTTGTATGGAATCTGCCGGTATGATATGTATGCAGCGTCGCCCATGAACCGGAAACTGCAGGAGGGCATCCACGCAAACCAACAGCATCGAGTCCACCGCCCATGCGTTGCCGCCCAGTCCAGCAGCAGCGGCGGCCAACAGCATGAAAAATGCAGCGCTTCTCCAAACAGCACTTTGGCTCTCCTCCTCGCAAGTCGCATCCGGTCCCGATCGGAACCGACCTGGAGGCTGGTCGGCGCGTATATGTAATAGGGCTGATGTGATTCCACAGTTCAAACTAACCGAGACGGCTCGGTGCGGTATGTACGGGGTGGTGGTCTGGTGTCGGCTCACAAGTGGGAACACACGTTCAGGACTTATCATTGTACGAACACCCGTGCCGGTCCCGAACGCATCGATGCTGAGGTGTTCGTTCGGGAAAATCTGCCACAACAACGATTGAGGCGCGGGCGGGAGTCTTTCCGGTGCCATTCCAGAGTCACTAGCGTGAACCGGCACGTAAGCCGCGACATCGATTTTGTTTCGCGTGCAACCTTTAACGAACCATGGCGGAGTGGACTGGGCGAGCTGGAGCGCGGGAATCAGTGACTTTATCGATTGAGGCGACTGCTTCAAGCGAGGCCGATGTGAGGGAGAGGGGTGGAAGAGGGGGAGATGAGGAGGCCTAGGGGGGAGTACTTCCTTTGTTGCGGCCGGAAAGATGTGAAGCCAGTTTTGCGAGGGCTCGTTGCCAATGCCTCTCTAGGCCTGACGAGAAAGGAAGCGCACACAGAGGAGAGAGAGGAGATGGGGGGTTGGCCGTCTATTTGATAGATGATGATCAAGAAAAGAAGAAGAAGAAGAAGAAGACCCCGCCATGGCCGCCAACGTTGAAGCCCGCCAACCTTGATGCCCACTACTACCTAACCACATTCGTTTTCTCCCGCTGACAGCTCCTCCTCTCGCAGATAGCTCCTCCATCACTCCGCCACACCGGTTTCAACGTTTCCGTGTACCTATGGGTGCATGGTGAGGACCACAGTCTACTATGCTGGTACTAGCCACACGCACCAGCCTCACCCAGGCCGAATAGGTAGACACGCAGGAGAATGTTGAGTGGCTTTAGCACCACACGAACAAGAGTCAAGACTGCAACACCATTCCGGGATACAGCCACAGCTGTGCGAGGCCCATCATCCATGACATACTCTACATACCATTGCGTAATTCGACAACCGGATCTCACACTCGGAGGGCCGCTAGAGGTGCCGCTCAAGCCGAAATTTCCTAGAAGATCAAAGGCCTGAAAGTCCGAGTGCTCAGTTTAGTTGACCGCAAGACTGCCCGGACAAAAGCTTCCTTGACAACCCTCACGTGGTGATCCGCTGGTATTTACGACATTATTCGGTCTCAGGGTGGGGTTTGTCACGTGATGTTCAAGGCAGACACGCTCGCACCCGGGCTCTGCGGCCCTGTTTCTGGCTCGCGCGTCGGGGGAAAATGGGGTCTCTTCGGAAATGGATGTGAAAAAAAACCGTCAGTGCGGTACAGAGTGAGTGAGCGAGTGAGTGAGAGCTCGTGTCCAGTCGGCTACTTTGGTAGGATTCTATCTTCGGAGAAAATTCGTGTCCAGCCTTCGGCCTCCGGCGGTCCTTCTATGTTTCGGTTTACTCTTGCTTTGTCCGTCGATTTGGCTTATTGTTCTCGGCCCTCGTGCATCATTATGTGATGTATGGATGTGCGGTTCCGACTTCTCTGCCTCGTTTCGTTTCTTCAGTCTTTTGAACTTTGACGTCTGTTTCTCGGCTCGGTTCTTTGTTTGTCCGAGCCTGTTGGGTCTCCGGCTCCGTTTGGTGTTTGGCTCATGGTTTACGAGGTCCTTCTTCTAAACGGTTCACTATTCATCATTCGAATGCTGATGTGATACTCTTCTCTTGTACTGTCACTCCCGAGCTCACCGCCATCCGAGCTGATCACCATGGACTCCAGCGCTGCCGCAGCAGCTCCAGTCCACAAGTGTCGCGACATCGAAACCGAGTGCCTCGCGCTGTACAGGCCCGGCGGCTATCATCCTGTGCACCTCGGCGATGTCATCACGCACATCATGTGCGACTACTTGGGACAACAATTGCCCGCATACCACCGGTCCGTCATGGCAGATCACGCACAAGCTCGGGCATGGGCCGCACTAGCAGGAGCCGATGGATATCAAACACTTCGCGGAGCTCCTGCGAGACATGCTGCGGTACGATCCCACCGAGAGGATCGAGGCGAAGGTGATCCTGGAACGGCTCCCGAAGGCCGTGGGCTGCACGCTCACGTCGTCTGAGCGCAAGCCGGGGATGTGCATGTAAGAAGCTGCCATGTGCTACTGCGAGGTGGAAGGTCGCAAATGTCAGGGTTGGACTGGGCATTGGTATACACCAACCTGGGACCACAAGTGAGCATGGTTATGCCACGATTTGGGGTCACAGCTCTTGCCCTGCGCTTGTTTTCTCGACAGAAAATAGGTAGCTTGTTTCGTTCGTCAGTCTAGCTATATACATAGGAGTTTCGATTGGGGTAGATATTGGATGCAGAAAAGTGTCCTGACCGAAAATGTTTCGTTCCACGCTAGACATCCAGAATCACTCACGAAACCAAATCTCCTCAAGTTTGTGAGTACCTGAGCAGCTGCATATTTCTACTATCATATTGACTGAATAAAAACCTTTAACAGCACCAGCTCCGGTGGCCAAGTGGTAAGGCGCGTCACTTGTAATGACGAGATCCGCGGTTCAATCCCGCGTCGGAGCTTTTGAATTTCTGAATCATGTTCAGGTAAAACAGTACGGATGTGCCGTTCCGCCTGTCACGTACAGGCAGTATTTTTGTCTCGGATAATGAGATTCACAGAACGTGTACTCTCTGGGTCGTGGGTTGGCGATTATCAATAACTAGTTCGAGAATATCGACGACTGATTAACCGCGCGGAATACACTGGTGGATCTCATGCTTTGGATGGAATTAAGGGTCCCAAGCGATGCGGAAGGCGATGCGGAAGGGCTACAGGATCAGCGGGAACAGCGGTATCATGAAACTCCTCTATTCATGCTACAGAAACCAACCAACCCACACAGGGAGAGGTAGAGAAAGAAAGCCCTACATATACATACACCCACCCACAACGGTGGGAGAGGACCCTGAGCTAGGTATGGGAGAAGGAAGAATAATTTGTTTCTCTGATCCAGATCCTTCAGTTCGAGTTCGAATATTTTTGGCGAGGATCTGTTGGTTTATAGTCGCAGGCCAAGCCGATCTACAACACCTAGACCGAGTCAATAATTGACACTCACTCACCTCCTTTCCATCGTCGAGCCGGTGTGACGGCTAGTGTTTTAGCAAGGAGCCGGTGTTTTTTTTGCGTGTCCTTCATTCTTCATGATGGCCTGTGTAAGTCGTGGACAATCTCGCCGCCCCGCCGCCCCACCATACGAACGAAGCTCACACTGTTTTCTTTGACAGCTTGTTGGGTTCTTCGGAGGAGTACCGGCGATGACTGGGGTAGATATGGCATGTCCCAGTCCGTAGTGGTAGCTTGGAGGAGTGATGGACAACTTCGCCGACCGCCCTACCATGTAACGCCCCGACAGATTCTTCCAAATTCTACCGACATTCATTTTGAGTTTCCGTGACGACGGGTAGATCTGGTAATGGTCCTACCGTAGCGTCATGGTCCTGCACAGGGCGTGCAATTTGCACCGACTCACAATCACGTCGTAACAGAATGCGGGGTAAAACTAAAAACCACGCGTGATACGTATCATGAGAGTTTTCGAGCAAAGATCAACTCCAGAAACGCAGGCATCAAAAATCTTCATCGGGAAAGCGATGCTTGATATTGAAGCTCCGACGCGGGATTGAACCGCGGATCTCGTCATTACAAGTGACGCGCCTTACCACTTGGCCACCGGAGCCGATTGATGACAGACAGTACCATGAGCTGAAATTACTGGGCACACATGTCTATTGAGCACTGGCCTATCCAGACCGTACCATTGACTGATCTCACGCCGCAATACTTGTCCGCATCTTGAATAGGCACCAATGAAACGATTCTCAAAGGTGAAAGCCGCATGTTGCATATACAGGCGCGACCTCGCAGACCTGACCGGCTACAAAAAAAAAGCCCGGCTACGTAGGCTGCTGGACTGCCGTAGACGAGAGGATGCCTTGAGGTGATAGCTATGATTCGCTTTCCACATCGTTACCAGTACCTAGTGGATCCTCCAACGCTCATGTAGTGACCGCACTATTTGGCTACTTTCTCTCATCGAATCGTACGGTTCCATAGGAGCAAAGAAGTGGGAGACAAGGTGGAGACTCACAATTACTGGTGGCTCTGGGGCGTGAGCAATGAAAATGGTGACTACGCAATAACAATTTTTTTCCTTTGCGAATGATAATCACGCAACACATCTAACGGTGAATAAGAGTTTGAAGTAAAGCTGCTTGCGAGAGTACTTGCGCCAAACCCGGGCGTCTCGCCCGGTTGGGAACGTCTATATCCATGTGGTGCGCGGCTCGCAGCGACTGATCTTTTCGCCTGCCTGCCTGGTGATGTATCCTCATAAACGCCACAGGGAATGTCTAACATGATTAGCTCTGGTGGCCAAGCGGTAAGGCGCATCACTAGTAATGATGAGATCCGCGGTTCAAATCCGCGTCAGAGCTAACCAAGCCAGGTAGGCGAGCTTAATAATGGGCGCCCTGATCAGTTTTTTTTTGTTTTGTTTTTGTGGCGGCCGAATGTTGTGAACGTCGGTAGATGTTACAGATCATTTCATTTGTTACTCGCGGTGTTCACCGTGGCTCTGAAAGTCGGGGTGTTCGGCTTCCTTATCGCTCGGCAACTTCGATATTTTCATGAGCATCTCCTCATAGATTGAGCGAATCGGCGTCAATGACCATCGGTACCGTAGATGTCCTATAGCACATATTCTCACTCGCATGTCAATCGGTGTGGCATCGTCATCAGTCTTCGGCATTACCGTTACGCTAGATAGAGCAGTCCGCGGTATATATAGCTCCCCACGTTTCTATGCCCCAGATAGACGCGCGAATATTGCGAAAACGTGCTCGCTTCGTGCAAGAGTTACCGGTCAGCCTCGCTTTATCTCGCCTTATCGAGAAATTGTTTCAGACGTGGTAGTAGGGTAGATACATGGAAAGGCCGAGATCTCAGCTCGGGTCGTGCATCCTGATATGCAGCTATTTGTACCTAGAGTATCTAGGTATGTTGGTAGGTGAGACCATCTTCTAAGGTCTCATCTAAAGGGATTCTGCGACTCTGCACTGACTGGGAATTGATTTTTTCCACCTATCGTTACTCTATCCGGGTTCTTCTAAGGGCTCCGGGCCGTAAATCTTCATGGATTCGAAACGTATGAAACGGCTCTCCTGCGCGGGAGTGTATCTACGGAGAACCCGCAATCTAGAGCTATTTCTGCCGTGCTGCTGCGTCGGCGATAACGTAGCACGAAGCTGGCCGTGTCTGGTCCCGAATCTGGGAGTGATAAGAGGTACAGCAACGGACAAGAGTGGGGCCTGGTAGGCGTGGTGGGCCGAAATCATCACCCCACGTTCTCTCCCGGACCGTTGGAGCTGGCTGTTTCGGGTACGTCCAACCGGCCGACGCTCACTTTTTTTTTCTTCGCGAGCGCGCTAACTAGCCGATAACGCTACGGCACATCGGTTTTTCCGGGCCCGTGAGCGCAGTGTGTACACTCCACCATATGTCTGTAACGGCCATCGTGTTAGGGTGGTGCGAATGATTGGCCGGCGGCCGTGGCCAGCAGCTCCCATAGATGGTGGGCTGAGCTGACGTGATGTACGAATATGATACGAGGACCATATGATGTAGAAGGTTTCTTCTTCGTCCTTCTCCCTTCTCCCCTCCTTCTGAAGATCCATTCTGCCAGTTCCAGCTATCGATATACATCTCCAGAAACGTCCCACAGGCGCTTACAAACATGCCAAAAACATCCACACGCTCAAGCTCCACGCGCTCGAGTTCCCCCAGCTCCTACAGCAGACACCGCACATCACCCCATCCGCCGCTGCCGCTGCCGCCGCCTCCCCCGCCCATCTCAACGCCGATCGACCTCCAAAAATGCTGCCAATCCCCTCGGCTCCTTCCAGCCGCCTCTATCGCTTATGCAAGCCGCTCGGTGCTCACTGACCCCTTCGCCTACGCCGACGCCCTCCTCTGCTCCTCCATCCCGCTCCGTGCCGCCATCACCGACTGGCTAAACACCTTTTACAACACTACCGCTACTGCGGAAGAGCTCTACGTCACAGCAGGTTCCTTCCCCTCCCCCTCTCCGACTACCCGCCAACATGTGCAGAATTGACCGCGGCAGGCAAATATCAGGCCCTCGAGGGGATCCTACAAAAGTTTTCGGATCCGGTGTTTACACGCTCCGTGTGGCTACTTGCGCCTTCACCACGGGGATGTAAAACAATATTCGAGGACTGTTGTCTTGGGAGTAAGATCCGGTTCGTACCGGAAGATAAAGAGGGTATCGACATCGAGGCGCTAGAGCGGGGACTGTGCGAAGAAGAGGCGCGGGCTACAGCGGCGGTAAATCTAAGACCCGTATGTAAACACCCTGCCCCTCCCCTGCTTTCCTTCCCCGATCTCCTACACCCCCCACCGACCATAATTAACGAGGCGGAGTAGGCATTCAAATCACCAACAAAATACCCTAAAATATACCGGCACATAATCCACCTCACACCGACCTTCCGCGATCCGACCGGCAGCACCATCTCCCTCGACCGTCGTACGCAGCTCGTGTCCCTCGCGCGCCGCTACGATGCGCTCATTGTCGCCGACGACGCGGGCGACTTCCTCCGATGGGACGCCGCCTCGCCGCAAATAACACCAATGGTATTCCTCGATGCCAGTCTTCCCGGGAGGAGCGACTACGGCAACGCCGTCTCAAGCGGCGATTTCAGCGTGCTTGTTGCGCCTGGTTGCAGGGTGGGGTGGGTCCAGGGCACGACCGCGTTCGTGGAGGCGATGGGAAGAGGCGCGGAAGCGGGCGGACTCGAGGCTTCCTGTGTGTGGAATCTTCTGACAACGGGAACGTTGCGGAGTTTTCTGGAGGATGTGTTGATTCCCACATATTCAAAACGACATAAGGTAGTGCTCGAGGCGGTGGGCAAGTATCTCAGTCCGCTGGGAGTAAAGAGGAGAGGGGATGGTGGGTGGTATTTGTGGCTTGACCTGCCGGATTGGTGTGATGTCCCGGTACTGGTGGAAAGATTGAAGAAGGAGGAGAAGTTGGTAGTTGGACATGTGGGGGTTTTTGAGGGCGGGGGTGGCGAGGAGGGACTGAGGATTTGTTTGGCTTGGGAAGAGGAAGCCAGGATTGAGGAAGGTGTCAAGAGGATAGCTGAAGCTATGGTGAGATTGCGGAGGAAGGGACATATTGATGTTAAGGATTTGTTAGGATAGGGTAATCATACTAAAGCACTCGGCGGCTACACATCTCACATGTCCGACCAATAGAAATTAAAGAAAAAACATCCATTACTGCGACGCTTCGGCAGGAATCCAGCGCGAGTCCTGCTAATCTTAAGCTCCATGGTTTATCCGTATCCGTACGTATCTGGAGCATTTTCCCGCTGCCGATCGTTATGACGTTATCCGTTCGTAAGGCCCTCTCTCTCTCTCGATCATCGCTTCATCCAGCAGACTTGTGAAATTGGAACTTTTCTATTCGCTCGCGGATAGTTGCCCGTAGGTAACGATGACCTCCAAACTACGGCATCATGACATCGCGCTGTGTATGGCCTCGAGGGAGGAGGGAATATAAACCCATTCTCCGTCCGTATCCTCCCATGTCCATCATCATCACAAACCTACGATTAATATCTCCAAAACTACACCAAGAACACAATGCAAGCCCTACGAACCCTTCGCGCCGCCCCGCGAGCACCGCTCACATATCGTCTCCCCAGGAATGCGCTTCGTTCTCTCGCTACAACCGCCGATTACCCCACCGTCTCGGACGCGATCAAAAACGACCACCGCGAGCTCGAGTCGTACTACAACAACATCCTGTCCGCCACGGATGTCGATACGAAGATCCGATGGCAGAACCAGTACGTCTGGGAGCTAGCACGACACAGCATCGGCGAAGAACTCATCGTTTACCCCGCTTTCGAGCAGTACCTGAAGCCTGGCGGCGAGTCCATGGCCGCGAAAGACCGAGCCGCGCACCAGGACATCAAGGAGCGTCTCTACGAGTTCCAGAGCATGTATCCGACCGACACGAACTTCGAGGGCACGTTGAAGAGCCTGATGGCCACCGTGAAGGAACATATCATAGAGGAAGAGGAGCATGATTTGCCGGCGTTGGAGAAGGCGTTGAAGGCGGGGGCGACGGATGGGGATAGCGCGGGACTGGCGAAGAGTTTCGTGAGGACGAAGATGCTGGTGCCCACGAGGAGTCACCCAAGCGCCCCTGACCGCCCGCCGTGGGAGACTGTGGCAGGACTTATGGCCGCCCCGATTGATAAGATTAGGGATATTTTTGCGAGGTTTCCGAAGGAGGCTACACCGAAAGCTTGAGTTGGAGGGTGTTCAGTGGTGGATTTGTTGGCTGGCTTCTGCTGTCAGATTCTGTATAAAAAACAAATAAAAGTCACGCGGATGCGTTTAGTTCCAATCGCCATGATCGTGCATTTCGTCAAAGAGCCTATCCCAAGCATTTGGGCGGGCCATGTAACGACCAAGGCTCAATGGCTCCATTAGGGCCTCCACCTAACTCCAAGCCCTAACTCCAAGCCCACTCCAAGCCAATCTCCGCTATGTATCTGAAGTCGACATTGGTATGTCATCGCATGCGGTCACTCGCTCGTCTAGAGAGTACACTATTAATAACGCTTGTGCATTCATTATCCATTCAACTTTCACTCTAGTTGCGCTTGCTTTGGGTTACACGCTCCGACTCTGCAGTTATGTACCGTCTTCGCTTCATCGGGCTCGCCCCCACTGTTCTCCCGGCTTCCGCCACTATTGCCAAAGCCCCTTGTCTACGGCCTGATACCGACCCCTACGGTCAGCTTCAATTCATTGCTGTCTGTTTCCCTTGCTCAAACAATTCATGAAACTTAGGCTCCCACGGTCCGTACTTTCTTGAATCGTACTTTCTTGAATCGTACTTTCTTGAATCGCACATGCCATAAATTCCTCAATGCTGACAACAAGCAAATATTAAACCGGTGATCCCTTCCATCTTGAATCAATGCCTTCTGCACAGTCAGAACCATCAAACCTCAGCCCCACTCTTGCCCAGGCACATGTATGGCTGTGACTTTTGGCTAGTGACTGCACCTCTCCCGTTCGAACTTACGCTGCATCCATTGGCGAGCTGCGCGTGCGACACGACATCAGCCGCTCCCCGGATACATATAAACGCCACAGCAAAAGGAAGTTCACAGCACTCCATGATCCGGCATCCATACACTTGGCTGTTGCCTGAGAACAGTTAACTTGGAGGCTCATGCGACGCCCGAATCAAACGTCTGACTAAAGGTATGACCGGTGTCAATTTTGGGGGAAGCGAAAGGACTATATACGAGTACATATGCCCCACGTCCCGGCGACCTTGAGTTGAGCTCCAAACTCATTATGGGTTCTCGACCAAGCTTCCGCCTCCAGCGCTCGGCGCACCTGCTCCCCCTCGCCCTTACCTTCCTCCTCACGCTGACCACCGCGCAAAAACTCGTCAATGGGGTCGCAGCCGGCACCGATGTCGCCGCCGGCGCCGATGCCGCCCCGGACGAGGCGGGTAACTGCGGCTTCGAGGGAAACCAAGATGTCTACGGCCTCGGAATCCGGCTGGGACTGTACTCGCAATGGCTGTCCACGCTGATCAGCAATTTCATGCATACGCAGAACCTCACGCGGATGAGGGATATCAACACCATGTTTTCGCTCGCCATGTCGATCGCTCTCATTGCACTGTCCACCGCCACCACGAAACCCCGCGCGATCGAAATGTACATCATCATCATGCAGATTGTTGGAAGTGTACGTTTGGCATATACCCGTGTACGGACAGCAGCACGTATGCATCGGAGGGCTAACAGCGCGTGATATATATATAGTCGTGCACAATCTCTGCGCAAGCCACGCACAAGTCCAAATGGGGGGAGACCTCGTGGGGCGGTGTGATCCGCTTCATGATCTACTTCGTGGTCGCAGCCTACAGCACATTTTTCTGGTTCAGAGACGTCAACCTGCTGCAGCCCTTGCCGGCGGGCTGCGAGGCGTACGGCTTCATGTTCATCAAAGTCCCGCTGCTGAAGCCGTGGTTCCGCACGACGCACAAGATCATCTGCTCGCTGGCGCTGCTAGTCTTCACTACTCTCTTCGGCTACATCAGCTGGCAGCACGGCAGCAGCTTCGTCGATCGCTCCTTCGTTGGCACCCACCGCCTCCGCAAGAAGGGCGGGTTCGAAGGGCTGCTCGCCGACGCTATCGATCCGAACGTGCAGATTCCCGTCGTGCATAAGTTCACGCCCATCCTGTGTATCGTCATCCTAGGCGTGTCCATCTCCGCGATTGAGGCTCTGATCCTGTGGAATGGCATCACGCGCGTCAATGATGCGCTCAGTACCGGACAGTTGATTCCGCTGGTGACCGGAGTGGGAGGTTTGATCAGGGTGCTGTATTTGATGTATTCCACGCCAGGATTGAAACTGCATGTAATTAGACAGGAGAGAAATGTTTCGGTTGGAAGACAGCAGGCTGGTGCCGGTCAGAAGGGATTGGAGATGGCCAGGCCGGGCCAGAGGGGGCCAGAGGGGGTTTGGCAACCACCGCAGGGTGCAGAGAGGATGGTTTGATGATAGGCGGTTGCATGTAGTGGGTTATGTGAGGGCTCCGTATTTTATGGTAATGAAATAAAGTGATCCATTTTTCAAGTACACCGTTGATGGTAAAACATGTAGACGATCATAATCAATCACACATCAAAAATCTCATTCCCAAATGATTCCCACCCGCTAAGTATAAATAGAAGTCAAAGTCCACCCAGCGCCTCACTACAAAAGATACATCAAACTAAAGTAACAGATCCATAGAAGAACGTAAATTAGATGACCTCATGGTTTATCATCGCAGAAAAGCATATACCGCCTCAAATCACTCCGATCGTATTACCTAATGCCCAAACTTCCACCACCTCTTCTTTTCCTTCCTCGCCTCCCCCTCCCCAGTGGGAAACGCCGAATCTAATGCCGCACTCTCACTCCTCTTCTCTAGATTCTTTCTTGACTGCTTCCCCCCCAAGAACCCAAACAACCCCTTCTTCTTCGTCTTCTCTTCCTCCCCTTGAATCGGCGCCGAAGACGTTTTCTTGAAGCTCTGTTTCCTCAGCTTCCCCGGACTACTTGCTGCCGTGGCGGGGCGCACACTACTCCGAGCGGTAACGGGCCTTACACCCCCCTCGTCATCGCTAGAGTCTTCGTACCTACTCTTCCACGACCTGCCCTCGCCACCACCACCAAGGCCGAACCGTCGGCGCACACCACCCGCTTCCTCGTCGCTCGAGTCTTCAGAGAAACGTCTCGCGGGAGCGATGGGAGCAGCAATGCGCATAGAGCTGCGGAAGCCGCAAGTTGCGCGCGGGTGGACGCGGCGGAAACTGGAGACTGAGGCTGCGTCGTCGTCGTCATCGTCGTGGCGAGGGGGCTGCGAGGTTTGGCGCTGGGAGGAACGGCGGCGTGGGGGTGGGGTGAGGGAACGTCTGCGAGAGGGGGTGGGGGTTGGCAGGGAGAAACTGGCCGGGAGCGGGGGTGAAGGGGGCCGAGGAATGGGGGTGCGGTTGCCTGCATTGGTTTGACGTGGAGATTGCGGGGGCGATGAAGCTGTAGATTGCGGGGGCGCTGAGGGGGTGGTAGCGACGATTAATGGGTTCATCGTAGGTTCCGCCGGTGGGGTGACGTCCTCGAGTGCATCTTCGTACATGCTGGAGCTGTCAGAATCGCTGGCTGCATCATCGGCGGTCGGTACGAATGATGTCTCTGGGAAGGATCCGGGCACGGGCGTTATTGGGAGCGAGACAGTGCCAACTTGCTTGCGGTGAAGGGGCTGTTGTGTGAGCGCAGATGTCTCAAGCGGTGCGGCTGGCGATTTCTCAAAAACCGTAGACATGGCCACACTCTCTTTTTTCTCTTCCATCGGCGTAGGCTCGATCAACACCAGTTCAGGCACTGCTTCAGACCCAAAGGAAATCGGATCCCCATTTGCAGCAACCGGAGGCGCTGGCTCAACCAGCGTCGTCTCACGCTTCCTCCATGTCTCCATCTCAGCCGCAATATCCCTCTCCTTGACACTCCCAAACACCGGTAGTCCCGGTCTTGGCGCGAGCTCATCCACCGTCACGGCCGGCGGCCTTGAATGTGAGAAAGAAACAACACTCTCCTCATCCGAGAACGAAACACGTACATACGTCCTCTTCCTGTCACTCGCAATCGGGCTCGTATCGCCGGGAACCCTCTCGGAGATGGGATGCTTCAGCGCGCTCTTGGCAGGGCTCACCGATCGCGGTGGTGGAGAGTGTCGATGTGCCTCAAGCGTCGTGCCGGCGAAGTGCGTGCGCGCGGGTGACCGCGGGACCACTTGGACCTCTTCCTGCGCGATGCGCGGCGACTCGAGTAATGATAACGTCTTCCTTCGTTCGGCCCGCCTCTTCTCCATCTCCTCTTCCTCACGTCTAAGCCTCGTCTCCTCCTCGCGTCGAAGTTTAATCTCCTCCTCCTCTTGGCGAAGTTTCCTCAATTCCTCGTCCGCCTCCTCACCCCGTCTAAGCCTCATCTTCGCCTCCTCCCTCTTCCGCCGGATATCCTCCTGATCCTCCCTCCTTCTTCTATCCTCCTCCTCTTCCTCCTCCACGATGGGAGCACTCTTCCTCCTGCGTCTCGTCTGTTGCCTCCTTTCATCCTCCACGATGCTGTCCAGATCGCTAGCATAACTCCCAAGCGACTCAGCATACGCGTCCTGCCTCCGCTTCACAGGCGCCAACCCCCTTCCATCCTCGGACTCCGACGAAGAACTAAACCTGCGCCTCTCCCTGTGCACATCCGGATCTCCACGTAGCGATCCTCGCGATAGCACGCCCCTCGTCTCATGCTTCTGCGGTCGCAACGATTCGCGCAAGCTCTCGGCGGCGTGTACCTCCTGCGGCGGGGGACTCCTCATGGTTTTTCGCATGCTGCCGGAACTCCTAACCGACGACGGCGGAGGACTTCTCGCGCCATCGCTCGCCGGCGGCGGCGGGCTATTCCTAAACCTGCGCTGTGTGAGGGAGCCGGAACTCCCCCTCCGCCCCATCCCCATCCCCATCCCCACCGCTGGCGGATCCGACGCAGTAGACGAGTAGCTATCGCGTCGCTGCAGCATGCGCTTCGTGGGAATACTCCCCGTGCGCTGCTCTGGCGGCGGCGGCGATACGGTCGCATCGCGGAGGGCGGCGCCTGCGGCTGCCGCCGCGAGTGGGTTGTACACGGAGGCGGCGGCGATGAGCGCGGACTGCGAGGGCGCCGCGGGGGAGGAGGAGCGCCGGGGGCGGCGGGTGAACATCGCAAGATTCTCGAGGTATGGGTGTATGTAGCGACGGTAGCGGTGGTGATAGATAAGGGTGTACGAGGAATGTAAGTGCTATGTATGCGGCGGCTGGTGGGTGATAAGACGGGAATTGTCTATGGCGACGATGACGACGACGCAGGTTGGCAGTGATCTGCGATCGCGGGCTGGAAGGGATTTGCGCAACAACACCGGGGAATTCAAAGTGCAACGGAGATCAGAAGAGAAAAAAAAAGGTATAAAGCAGAGGGAGACACCCATGAGAACAAAGGCCTCCAGTTCTCCCCTGCTCCTCCTAGTTCCCTGTCTCATCTTATCTTCCAGGTCGCTCCCAGTTCGCAGCGAAACTCGTCATCATCACCATCTTAACACGCGAGCGAGGTCCACTTGTTTCCCTGGCAGACCAAGTCAAGCCATCAAGGTCCCAGGCCTCTAGCTCTAGCGCGAACGACCAAACGGAACTTAGGGCCGCGCAGCGATGTCATTGGCCCACAACAGCCAACTCGACAATTTTGCAGCGACACGGCGGCGAGCCGTATCTAGAGAAAGCTGAAAGCCGAAAGCCGGAACCCGAGATCCGAAACCGTGGAGTGATATAGCGCTTGCAAGGAAGCCGGCGGCTAGTGATATGTACATGGAGTAGATTGTAGCTTCGGCATTAACTGCTCTGGTGGCCAAGCGGTAAGGCGCATCACTAGTAATGATGAGATCCGCGGTTCAAATCCGCGTCAGAGCTTTTTGTGCTGGGTGACATCCCGCGTCGCGAGAGATCCGCGCGTGAGCAATCTCTTTTGACCCTGACGGGCGCGATTGCAGGGGGACATGTGGCGATCTTGTCTATGTACCGGCCGGCTTCCAGAGCTCGATCTGCGCGTTTTAATCGTCATCATAGAATATCACACCAACGCTGTAGGACAATCACGATAAAACGGCTGGAAAGAGTATGATGAGGGCGGTACATATAACAATATTTTGATCGGACAAGGACTACAGACAACACATACCTCAATGCTTCGATTATAAAGCAATCGTTATATTCCCATCAGCTCCAAGCTAGAAACTACGGTTGTTTATCGATGAATGGTAGGATTGAATTTGTATGATGACATAGAATCCCTGAATTAGTTGTAGCAGAAGTGGATTGAATTTAGGACCCCTCGATTAATTTTAGCATGTATGCGACAACTGACTGTACTGATTTCTGCGGCAACATATTGGCGGGAGGGAATCTTGAGACCAGCACTCGGAGCTTGGGACTTGGAGACGATACGGAGGTGCTGGCGAAATCCACTAAGTATGTCATATACGCTAAAACCGCTTGGATTCCGTACAAGGCTCTGGTGGCCAAGCGGTAAGGCGCATCACTAGTAATGATGAGATCCGCGGTTCAAATCCGCGTCAGAGCTTTCTTTTTGCCCTCAACCACTTCCCACTTTTCTGCGAGGCAGCACGATTATTTTACAGTCGAGGATTCTAGTAAGGGGCTTCATCGCTAATAATGTACACGATCGGCTGACAAACTTTATCAGGCCTCGCCCGTCCCACTGTCACCCGGCACGGGCCGCTATGCACCCGCTGCCGGTGGATCGGTGGGATGGTGGCTGTCAGAACACAGTCGAACGTCATCCGCGCCGTGCCGGGTCTTGATACATCATACATGTGAGAAGTACTCTACGTGCATAGAGTACTAGCTCGAATCGGTGATGCTTGATTGCTACGGAATGCTATATAGGTAGCGGAATACCGACTCCCGAGTGACGGATGGGTAATGCCTCCGGACGTGGTGGATGTCGGTGGGTATCTTTTGCACGTGGTTAGGCTGGCTGGCTGATGCAGCAGAAGAAGGTTGCAGATGAAGGTGGCAGCACGTTTTTCTGTGTGCGCGTGGGGTACAGCTGAAGCAGGCAGGCAGGTATGTACGATATAGTAGAGTGGATGCAGGGCCCGTATATACTGGCGAGGTGTATTGAAGGGTTATTATGTAGGTATGGATGGAGGGGTTGTGCAACTCAACTCAAGTGGGTTATGCGATGGTTGCGTTGCCTTCTACTTCTTATGCTGGGGAGAGCATCTCACCCCTGACCCAGGCCTCGCAGTAACCACCTCACGAACTGTCCCGTACAAGGCAACGCAGCTTTTGACATGATCATTAAATCTTCATCATATACACGAAACAAAATGCAATGCAACATAAACACATCAAACCAAACATGACAGACACAGGTATATGCAGCCTCCCTCCCCTCTCCTCCCCTCCCCTCCCCACATCCTCCCCATTCTTATCCCTTCCCCCGCTCTCTTTTCCCCTCTCCTTTCCATCTCATCATAAAGCAATAATCATAAACGCCAACTCCACCCAACATCTCCCACCCCACCCCACCCCACCCCACCCCACCGCCCCTCGTCACTATTTTCCTACCATTACTTACAGTCCGGAATCGTCAACCCCTTCTTGAGCTTCCGGTTGACATCGAGCAAGCCCCACTTATCCTCCCACTCCTTTCCAAGCTTTGGCTCGTTGTAGCGGATCTTCCAGGGTTCGTCGAAGCCCGAGAACCTACGCGCATTTCCATTAGCTGCTGCTCAATTGGCGCGGAGATAGGGTGGGTGAGGGGTGGGTTAGATACCAAAAGTATTCCGTGCCACGCGCATTTTCCTTGCATACAAAGTCGGCCATGAAAGTGTTCATTTCATCGATTCCAGCGACGGAGCCGCCGGTGGAGCCACCACCGGACGGCCAGCCGACTTCGCTGATCATCACTCTTGGCTTCGGGCTGAGGCCGTCGGTAAGCACCACATCGTTCTCCTGGAAGAAGGTGTATGTCCAATTCGCCGCCTTCTCCACGACTACGCCGGCAAAGAACGGGTGTACATTCGCCATGAGCACGTCCACCTCGCTCGCCATCTCCGTTTTCCAGTTGGAGCCGAGGTCGCTGGTGCCGACAGGGATGTTGTAGCCAAGCGTGGTGAGGTTTGTGCGCACTTCCGAGATGATGTTGAAGAGTTGCGTTTGGGTGAGGGTTTTGGCAAAGAGCACTTCGTTGCCGACGGCTACGCCGGCGTACTTGTCATGGTGCTTCTCGTCTGAGAGGAGCGTGTACAGGTGGTTTAGCTGTCGTGTGTTGGTGGTGGAATTGCCGTCGAGCCAGACGCCGATCCAGACCGTCATGTCAACGCCGAGAGCGTCGATGGCGTGCAGAACCATCTCGGTTTGGTTGCAGTCAGTGCCGTATAGGCGGACTTTGTCGGTCAGTAGAGACAACACCGCGATATCACGCGTGATGTTGTTCTGCGTCGGCGGCCATGTGAGGCACTCGGGGTACACGCCACCGAGAGGGGTGTAGTCCATCCCGTGGAAGACTTTGTGCAGGTCCGGGTTGTTCATGAGTGCTTTGATCTCTGCAGAATTTTTGTCGAGTAAACCGTTCTGGCGGAGGTCATCTGCGGCGGAGGGACCACTGGGGGCACCGCTGGAGTTGTCGTTGTTGTTTCCGCGCTTGGATAGGAGGACGCCCGCTGCGGTGCCGGCGGCGATGCCGGCGATGATCACGACCAGTATGATGCCGATGACCCAGCGTCTTCGCTTTCGGGAGGAGTTTTCGTTGGAGCGGAGCCAATCCGATTTTTCTGTTGCTATGGGTTAGCAAGATCGTCGACGAACACGGAACGCCCAAGGGAGTCCATACCATTAACACCCGCCCTCGCCCCACTCGCAAGCAACCCCCCGCTCTCGACCGCCCCACCTTTTATGCCCCCAGTGGCCCCGACTCCGGCCGTGGCCGCCGCAATCCCCCCCATGCCCTTCCCCTTCTTCCCGCCCTTCTTTCCCCAGTCGTCATCATCATCACTCAGCACATCGTTCGCGCCATCAAACTGTGATTGGCTCAACGCAGGATCCCAAGTAGTGCTCATCCTCTGGTACGGATTATCCGTGTACTGTCCCAGCAGCGGATCAACCAGCACTCGCTGTCGACCGCCGGGGCTATCGTTGCCATTACCGGTACCCCTCGCGTGTGCCGGGGGCGCAGGCGGACCGGGAAGTAGAGGTGCTTGCGACGCGGGCGTCGAGCGCTGCGATGGATATGGGTATGCGCCATCCGGCTGTCCGCGTTGTGCATACCCGAGTTCCGGTGCCCAGTACCGCTCATCGCGTTCTACCGGGCTCGGGGCGACATCTTCCTGCACGGCGTGGAGTGCGGCCGCGGCCGCCGCTGCTGCAGCAGGCGGTAGCGACTTCCGGATCACGGTGGGCTGGTGCTCGATCCCCACCGAGGACATGGAGCTCTCCGAGACCGAACGGTGCGGTGGCTCGCCCCATGATACGTCCGAGGGATATCGCTGTGGTGCTTGTGGGGATAGGTAGTTCTGGTGGTGTTGTGAAGGGGACTGGTGGTATACTGGTGGCTGCGCGACCGGCGGGGCGTAGAACTGTGGTTCTTGTGACCGTTGCTGGTGGTAGTGGGCCGCCTCCTGCTGCTGCTGCTGGGGACGGAGGGGATAGTACGAGGGGTCGTCGTCGTTGGCGTCGAAGCTGTACGAGCGCTGCATTCCGGCCATGGTTGGTGATCCGACGCGGGCACGAGCGTGTGAGTGTCGGAGGTGTAGAAAGAGAGTGCAGTCCGGTCCCGTTTCTTCTCGTCGAGTGTGTAGAGTAAAGTCTGGGGGTGGTGCAGTGGTAACGGTGGCGGTAATGGGTAGTATGTCCCGGACAGGGCGGTCGCTTACAACTTGTCAGGACAGGAAGGAAGCGGGTGTAACACTATGGCGTTTCGTTTCGTTTCTCGTCTGGATTCAGGCGGCCGTGATATCAGCCGTAACGACGCGGAGTAATAAGCCCTTGCATGCAAAAGAAAGAAAACAGAAGCACGCTGCGTAATAATCGCGAAGAGTATATAGTAGGAAGGGGGCTACTGTGTGGGGAGAACGTGTTCGTGTGGTGTTGGGGGGAGGATGTGTTGGAGAATGGTGATGATATTCCCGCCCAGCACTGTCCGCCACCTCCCACCACCCACCAGCCAGCCCCCTCCAGGCCAGCGCGCAGGAACCCGTCCGGCCGTTCCTTGCTTTGTTGATTTGGTGTTGGCGCGGCGCGAGTCGCTGAGGCAACCAGCCCCAGCGATCCCAGCCTCCCCAAAGACATAACAAACGGCACGCGCCGGGTGCTTATTGGTCCAGCCTGCTTTGTCGCAAAAAAAACAATAACAAAAACAGACAGCTCTCAGCAGGAGGAAGTGATGTAAACAAAATTAAGGGGAAGCGAACATCGAAAGCGAGGAGCTCGCTCGCACAGTTACGAAGGTTATCGGATGACAGGATGTCCCCGTCAAAAGCCTTTGCACTGGCTTGCAGGCACGGTCCTGCAGCGGGGTATCGTAGACGACATGTTATCCGGGATCGCCGCTATGATGGACCGGATTCCCGGGTGAATGCACCACCACACCCAGCCACTGCTCGAATGGCTCACGGAAGCGAACGATAAACAGTGAGGAGGATCACAACTTAGCACTCAGGGAGCGGAAAGGATGGCCACTCAAATATTTTAGAATCTTCGTTCTGCACGGGAATGAGTAAACACAAGAGTTCATTCAAACTGGAATCATTCAGAAGTACGCCGCCATAGCTTAGATGGGCTGAATGAAACAAAAAAGAGTCTTCATACTGCAGCCTAACTCAGGAATCGGCTTCTGATCCTACCGAGTTCTACAAATTAGGAGCAACGGTCATCACAGATGCCGGGCAATCTTGATGAGGTTGAAGTGAGGTTGCAGTGGAAGGGAATAATTATCATCTACATCGACAATCGTTCATTGATCTTAGAGGGTTTCTCAAGACTGAATGTCGACCCGCTCTGTCTTCGGGATTGTCAAGCCGAATGGATCGATGCGGCCTTGCTGTGTCTTTACTCGACCTTCACCTTCCGTCCCGCGCTCATCATGAGAGTCCATTGGGCTTAATAGGTACACTGGGCATCACCCCGTTTTTACTTCCCTCAGTTGGGGATGATGATGGAGTACAGGAGTTAAATATTTCATTCACTCTGCACCAAGGAAAAGCGTGCATCACACAAGCAGTTGAACTCTAGGCTCACAGCACGATCTACGAATGCAGTTGTTTGTTTCAGCTAGTGTATAGCCACTGTACATGGCAATCAACAACACTAGCCCTGGTGGCCAAGCGGTAAGGCGCGTCACTCGTAATGACGAGATCGCCGGTTCAATTCCGGTCCAGGGCAGTTGTTTCTTTTGTTTTACAACTTCGTCTCTACTCCAGAATCCATTGAGCGGGAAGGCGGTCAATAGTGTTTTCGTCTCCAACTGCTGGTGAGGGTGTGTGGTTCGAGTCATGGGTTTTTGGCCTTTGTGGGACACATGGCAATGTCTATTTCAGTGAAGCCCAAGCACTACTGCTTATCGAAAGGGATTATCCGTCTGATAGCCATGGCATACCAATTGCTCCGCATGGTGATGTGATCTCTCTCAAAAATTGTTACCTCTGCTCCACGAAATCGTTTGAAGGACCCTCAATAACACCGGCTCCAAACTTTCCGAAGCCCAGGATTGTTTGTATATTTGTGATGTCATTCCAAACATCGCCAAGATCGCCGATGGCATATAGCGCACGGCATGGATGGTTCATCTGAAGCCGAGGTTTCACCCCATACCCCGCAGCTGATCCCCCACCGCGATATGTAGCTCCGGCTCCGCTCCGCACCTACCCGCAACGCCGGATCACGCTCTAGAGCGCCGAGGCACCCTCCATTCCCCCGCCATTTCCCGTGTTAATAAGGCTAGCGAATTCCCTCATCTCGACAGGCTTGGGATGAACTTAATCTCCATGTCTCCGGCACGCAAAATTGAATCCTCCACTTGCCGCTGTCGGGCCGGTCGACGGGAGAGTTGGAGATGGGGTCCTATATAAGGCCCCGGATGGTTGGCGGGTGCTGTTACTATGATATCACAGGTACCCGCACATACGCACACTTGTTACACTACACTACGCAATCGCCGCGCACTCACCGCACTTCAACTCGTACAGCACAATGGCCGCCCTCATCCCGCACTGGTCGCAGCCCTCGCACCCCTCGATTCTCTCGGTGATCCACGCCTCCGCCGACCGGGACTCGTTCTCCTCGCGCTCGATCTCGCAGGTGACACTCCCGGCGGGCGCCGTCTTCGCCGCGCTCAGCACCCCGCCCCTCACCCCCGCAAAGAAGGCGTACTCCACTGTCCAGACCTCCGCCACTACCCACGTAGAGCTCAACTCCGACCTTGTGTACATCAACCACTCGTGTGCGCCATCGCTGGAGTTTGATATTGCGCGCATGGAGATCAGGGTCGCGAGGGATATCAAGGGAGGAACCCTCAACCAGGGGCAGGAGTTGACGTTCTTCTACCCAAGCACTGAGTGGGACATGGCCCAGCCGTTCGACTGTCACTGTGGCGAGGAACAGTGCAGGGGAACCATCAACGGCGCCGGACAGATGAGTAGGGAGAAGTTGGAGGGCTATTGGTTCAACGAGTGGGTTGAGAAAGCCCTGCAGGAGAAGTGGGCCAGTGAGGAAGGGAAGACGAACAGCACTGCCAATGGTCACTCCAACGGCATTAACGGCAAGACGAACGGCACCGCCAATGGCCACTCCAATGGCATCAACGGCAAGGCGAATGGAACCAATGGTGTCGCAAATGGCGTCAATGGCATCAAAAACGGAACCCATAGGGAGAGCAATGGCTTCTCCAACGGAAATGGCCACTTCCCTGCCACCCCTGAATTTGTGCCGAACGGAAAGGTTGAGCAGCCTGCGGGTGCTCAGAGGCAGGGCGCGTCGGCAAGGGAATTGGCCGGAGAAATGGGCGGGGATACGATGTAGGTAACTCCTACTGGGGGGAGGGGGGGAGGGAGGGGGAGGAGTGGGGAGGAGCGAGGGGCGGAGTGGATGGCGGAGGGGAAGAGGGCGGAGTGGAGGGGAAGGGGCCTGCGGTTGGGTTTTGGGTTATCGTTTTTCTTGAGTTTTCTGCGTGTGGGCTCGATAGTTTAGGTTTCCGGAAATTCAATACACATCATCCCTTCCCATCTCCATATCAGGATACGGACTTGCAAAAGATGCAACAATAGAAGGCGTTCGTGAGATGGTCCATGGATGGGAACCACAAACAAGGTAAACCAAAGGCGCGGATTTGTGGCATGATAGGGAATACCGCCATCCGTTGACACGAGGAACCAGTACGTCCCCGTAATCACTGCTTCTTCGCGTGTCGCCGACTGCTCTGACCGGACTCGAGGTGGCACATGCGAAATCTCCGCGACGATATCGATGTAAGGCTCCTTCGAGAGGTGGCCTATATTGTTGGGTGGATAATGAAGTAGTTGATCTGGAACCTGAAAACTTCCATTGTGAAATGTCTGCTGTCCGGCGGTGTTGGCTGCGTGGACGTTGTCATGAAGTGGATGTCGATGACTGGCCACCGAGTCCTCGGGTACGTACAGCTTCCTCGACAACAGCGATTTCCGAGTAAGCTTATAATGGACCTCCTCGTGGCTCATTCACTCGACCAAACCGCCCGCAAGCTAGCTGAAGAACGATGCACTTCAATTTCCAAACATCACTTATCACCACCCTCACCGTCCTAGCATCCCTCGCAAATGCCGACGAACACCACCCGTAAGAGCATGCATCTCATCCCACCTGTGCACCGATCTAACACCCGCAGACTATCCGCCTTCCTCCCCGTTCCTAACGCGCTCTCGTCCTATCCGGGCTACGCGCAGTTCACCTCCGCCGGGGCCGCCGTAGTCAATGAATGCTTTGCGACGCACACGCTCGCCAGCGAGATGATGACGATGCCTAAGGCGACAATGAAATAGCTGCACCGTGAAGCGTATGAGCGGGCTTCGAAGTTTGTGGCTACCCAGACGTATATCACGGATGCCAAGGGGAAGAAGAGTGTCATGGCCGCAGTGGAGAAGAATATGAAGGCTGATGTCGGGAGCGGGTTCAAGAGTAGTGCTGCGACGGTGGGGACTGCGGTGGGGATGGCGGTCGTCGTGGCGGTGGGCGGTGTCCTGGGTGCGGTTTTGATGTAGGATGTTGTTTGTTTCATCATGCTGTAGTAGCGGCCCTATCGTTCACTGAAGTGCCTGGCTCGACTGGGTTCTCTCCTTGTGTATGTGGGTTAAGACGAATTTTGGAACGGAACAACAGAGTGATAACGGGTGTTGGAAGGAACCATTTCATGCAATGCTACTGAAAATCAAACGAGGCCAGCCATATTCACGAGTGATAGATTTCCATTAGCAAGGAGCTCAGCTCAACCGGAATTGTACAGCACAGGTGTCAATTTCTAAGCTCTATAACCATCAACTCCTCTTAAAACGCCGCAACAACCGCCACGCCAGCCGCCACTCCCGCCACCACCACAGCAGCCATTCCCGCCCTGTCCCGGACCGCAGCACCAGGCACGGGCAAAAGCGCCTTAAAATCCGCGGCCAAACTTTTCTTCGCCGAGCCATCCACAAACGTCTGGGTCGCCACAAAGTGCAGTACCTTCTCCGAGTACTCCTTGCTCAAAGCTATGAGAACCTTATCGTCGAGGGTGGTTTCGCCCATGACCGCGCCCGGTGCGATCGTCTGTGTGGCTATGAAGACGGATTCGAAGGAGGAGCCGGCGGCCAGGAATGCAGTTATGCTGGGGACGGCGGCGTAGGCGGTGGCTACGTTGGCCAGCGCGGCCGCATACGAGGATTGCTGCGCATCGTTCAGAGTCAATTCCCGTTCTTCGAGGTCTTTCGCACTGATGAACAGGTTAGACGAGAGCGGAGAGGAAGGTGCGGAAGCAGAACACCTACTTGCAAGTATCGAGAGCGTAGAGGAGAGCCACCATTGTGCTCACGAACGTGGGGAACATCATTTGTATGTAGGTCGCGATTTGGCTGCCGGAGAGGCGGATTGGATGTGACCGTGGAAAGGTACCACTGACAAAAAACAAAAAAAAAATACCCGGAGGATGTGGTCTATCGTAGGATTTTAATCTCAGACTGAAGAAAAACTAGAGAGCTGAAATAGACTCGTCACGGAAGGGAGGAACGGGTTTATAACCTCTTTCGTGTCTCACGAACAGCGCACAACTCGTATGCTGAAACGGCACCAGGCTTCCCGAGCATGCACCGTATGTTCGTCCTGCAGTTAGCGAAACGTAGGCTTTGCTGTTCTGGATCTGGCCTCAAATTGCTTTTGATTGAGTATTCCTCACGGCGAAACCACATTCAAAGCTGCTCAAATCCGCTTCTTCAAACATGACTCCTCACCAGACTCGCTACCCCTTTACTTCGGTATCGTCAGCCATTGAGTGTAGCTTCGCTCCTAATTGATATTGGCTGTGAAACAGCCCTTCTATAACATTTCAGCCGCACGGTTTCGGACTTAAGGTTGAGGCTGAAGAACCAGCGCGTGTTGGAGTCGACATGTTGCACAAGTCATGAAAACAGTGGTACATGGCGACCAGAATATGCGATGCGGTGACGGGAAAACGAATAGACAAATGATCGCTTTGCCGGGTGAAATACTCGTTTTTCGAGTAACTAGCAACGCTTTGAAAGTGGTAATACGTTGGTTCATATCGGACTCCAGTCTGCCTTCTTGTTGGATATCGCGACAGTGGGCCGATGACCACGGGGTCCGTGGGGGCAGTGCGGCAGTGCACAAGTTGCAAGCGGCCAGAGGCAACAGCGGGGGAGGGTTCTTCTGCACAGACCCTGCAGGTAAGTTACACGGGGTTGAAAATGAAAAGTGAAAAGGGAACGATGTGGTGCTGGTTCCTGTTCCTGATGGTGGCGGGGCTAAATGGCGGCTAGCTGTGGGAACAGCTGCTTTTGTGTATCGGTAATTCGAACGTGTGGGGCAGAAACCTCTATACACCGCCCAAGAGACACCAATTCTGGTTTACGGACTGATGGTAAATATGCAGTACGGACTGGTAATGCGATATACCTACTTAATGTGAGCGGTCCGTAGTACTGTTAGCTTTGTAGGTACTGCGATGCACGGGCCAGTATTGCGTCCAAAGTACATAGGTACCGCTGTACTACGGGGGTTTGGCTGTTGAAGTGCGCAGTGCGCACTTCGAATGCCGGTGACCCTTCGTCCAAATGAGGGTTGGTGGGTGCAGTGATGAAGTGGAGGTTCTGATGACTGCCATCAGGTGGGTAAAAAATACTGTGGTAGATAGTATCAAAATGTTTTGTTCGACTCGGACCTTGCTGCAACTCGACACACCCGTGCCACCGCCGTATTGCGCAACGCAACCCCATCACCATGGTAGAGATTGTCAGTACAGTATTCTACCGGTGAAAGGAAGTACCATGCTAACATAGACTACGCATTTTGGAGTCCCAACGGCCATCCATCAGTCCTGTTTTCACCGCCACCACTGCAGATACAGTGCCACAGCACCAACAGCGGGACCTGCCCATGGCCCATCCATACTATCCAGTCTTACTTCATCCCCATAATGGCCCCAAGGCTCGAGCTCTCTTCCACTACTGCGTAGCACTTTGCAGTGGTCCTTTAGTGGCGATGGTACGAGTCGAAGATCCTCAATCCACCCTACACCAGGAGTTCGCCTCACCCCTCCGTGCAAAAGCCCGGCTCCTACATCTCAAGCAACGTGCGAGCTAGATCAATGCTATACGGGAGATATGGCTCCTACGCAGTGTGTTCAGTAGCCCGCCCAAATAGTGGGCGGGCTACGTGGGCGCCGCGCCCACGTAGCCCAGTGCAAAGTTGATACTTTGATTGTCTCGAGAATGCGCAATAGTTGAGAGTTCGCAATAGTTGGGCTTCAGCAGGACGCAATAGTAGGATTAGCGCCATGTAATCGTCGAAGGGACCCTAGGGTACAAGTAATGAGGCAAACCAGCATTTTATGGTCAGAAGTCGCAAGAAACACCACCCCAAAATGAGGTCACTCAATTAGTGAATGGAATGAGGTGCAAGGTGTCGCATTAACGGAGATTTCACTCAATGCAGCATAATGATGAATGCGACAAGACGTAGAATGCGCTGGGTTTTGAGATGGTATTCATCAGGAAAAAAAAACTCCGATGGGCGCGGGGAGACGTTTGTACTGCTTGAACTGCACATGGCATGACATAATGGCTGGATAGGCACGATGCCATGTGACCACAGATGTCCGTGTCGGACCGAAGCTCTGCATGCCGGACCGCAGCTCGCCATGCCAGGCCACAGCTAGCCAGGTGCTGCACACAGCGTAACACTCTGACTGGATTGGCACGGTGCCTGGATTGAAAATAGTCCATGAGTGATCGCAGCTCGCCATGTACCGCACATAACGTTAGATTCTGTATAATGCCTGCTGTGCTGGCATATTCGCAATTTCTAGCAAGTTCACGTGACCTTGCTCATATAGATAAATATTGTATTTGCTATTATACAGGATCCTCCTCCATCTCCCCTCCGCCTTCCCCGCCCCCCACCCTCTCAGCCTTCCCCACCCTCTCAGCCTTCCTCGCCCTCCCAGCCCTTCCATTCCTTTCAGCCCTCCCCGCCGGAGCTCGTCCTGTCTTCGTCCACTTCAACACCCTCATTCTCATCGCCACCAAATTCCCCACTTTCTGGAGATCAACGTAGACGAATCGTCTCTACATCGTCCTCGTGCTGAATGTTGTCAGTTGCCCTTGTCTCTTGCCCGCCGCGAGGGCCGTCGTAGCTGGTGGGGAACGAGGGCGAGATGGAGGCGGGGAACGAGGGCGAAATGGAGGCTGGGAACGAGGGCGAGGTGATGGTGGGGAACGGGCCGAGTGGAAGTGCTGAACGAGGGCAAGGGCGAAATGGAAGTGCTGAACGAGGACGAGGGCGAAGCTGGGAACGAGGGCGAGGTGATGGTGGGGAACGGGGCCGAGTGGAAGTGCTGAACGAGGGCGAGGGCTAAGCGAAATGGAGGTGGGGAACAAGGGCAAGGTGGCGGTGGGGAGTGAGGGCGAGGTGGCGGTCGTGCCCGTCTCTTGGGCCGGCCGTCTCAATCTTCTGCATTGCTCACGGCTTGGAAGTCCGTTGGGGAGAAGGCATGATCGATGCGTCGGTATAGGGAGTTCGATGTGTGGATTGGTGGAGTACCAGATGCTGGCAGGTGCTACAGGCCGGAAGAGGTGACGCATGGACGAGTTGTGGGAGCAAGGCAGAGTTGTGAGAGCATGGACGAGTCGACGGGTCGGAAGAAATGACGGCACGGAAGAGTGGTGGGAGTACGCACGAGTCCACGGGCCGGAAGAGACCACGGCACGGAAGAGTTAGGTCGCTTGCCAGTCGAGGTTAAGGGAGCGGAACAGTCAAAGAATGGAAGAGTTGTGGGAGCACAGCAGAGTTGTGGGAGGACATACGAATTGATGAGCTGGAAGAGATGACGGCACTGAAGAGATGACGGCAAGGGGGAGATTACCGAGCCTACGATTTGATTCCACCGGAACAAATGATAGCGCCAGAAGAGTTGAGGAAGTAACCTAGTCAAGAGTCCCCGGAGAGTCGAGGGAGTGGCTCTGTCAAGACTCAAGGGCGCGGAAGAGCTGCGAGTGTGGTCAAGCCAAGGGCCCTGGGAGAAGCAAGACACCGGAATAGTTGAGGAAATGGCCACCTCGAGGGCGAGGGAGCAGAAGAAGGCGAGTCAAGGACAAGGGCGGCCAAGAGGTGACAGCACGGAAGAATTGTGGGAGCACGGCAGAGTTGTGGGAGCACGGCAGAGTGGTGGGAGCACGGCAGAAGTGTGGGAGGGGGCAGAAGAGATGACGGCACGGACGAGTCGACGGGCCGGAAGAGGTAACGGCACGAAAGAGGTGAGGGCACAGACGGGTTGTGGGAGCACGGAAGACATGACGGCGCCGGAAGAGAGGACGGTACTGAAGAGATGGTGGCATTGAAGCGATGCCCGCGCCAGAAGAGATGACCGCACCGATTAGTGAAGTAACGGAAGATGTGATGCAGCCGGAAGAGGTGACGGAGAGGGCGAGTCGACGGCAAGGGCACTGAACAGTCAAGGCCCCGGGAGAGATGAGGGAAGAGACGGGGTGTATGAACAGGGCGGATATGTATTGCCATTATGTAGATAGACCACGTGATATCAATCAATAAAAAGATGTGGCAAACCCCACCTAACGTCGTGCTCACGGAACATCATTTAAGTTAGGGTGAAACGGCCTGCCACCATGCCCTATGCATCCACCGCATTTACCACAGCACTGCATAAATACAGAGGCGACAGCCTTATGGGAGTAGATTTGTTTTCCTGATATTGTTGCAAAATGCGATATTTTGGGTAATTTGCAGTGTTATCAAATGCGTTACATTCATATGGGGTACTATACGGCTTGTTCTCCCATGCAGTCCTCCCGTTGCGCCGCAGCGTACAGCCTTGTCCGACCGCGGATAGCCTCCTCTCCTCCCCGCAGTCCCCTCCTATGCCTTCCTACAGTTGCACCACAGCGTACTACCCTCTCCGACCGTGGATAGCACCCTCTCCTCCCCGCTGCCCCCGCTGTCCTTGCTGTCCTGCGCTGGCGGTTAGCCCTCGGTCTTCCTACAGTCTCTCCGCTGCAGATACCAGATCTTCATCACCGCGGATACCATCCTCTCTCGACGATGTCCTCGCAATGTCTTACTGTGCGGCCGTAGAATAGTCAGCTCAGTCTCCCCGCGGATATTACTGTCATCTCACCGGGGATACCACACTGGCCTAGCTGTTCTCGCCTCGACTTCCTATGTAGTCCTACAACATCAACCCATTCTTGTAGCGAATGCCACACTGTTGTGGAAGTGGTGGAGCAGTTGTCTGTGTGGGTGGGAGCGGTTGGTTAGGAGGAAGTAAGGGACGTGGAGAAGCAGCTATCGACGACAGGAAGACGCGAGAGGGGGAATTAGAGGAAGACAAAGTGATGGAGGAACTGTCAGAGAGAGGAGGCAGTGATGGAGAAGCTGCCAGCGAGATGAAGAAGTGGAGAAGGAGATGTCAGCGGGTTGAGGAAGTGGGGGAAGTAGAGAAGGAGCTGTTGGCGAGATGTGGAAGTGAAGGAGGAGGTGTCGGTGGGAGGAAAGGAATGTGGTTATTAGTGGGCATCAACGTTGGTGGGTATGGCGGGGGGGGGGGGACGGTCATGGAGGGG